TGTCTGATATACTGGTTAAGGCAAAGAGCCCATAGAAAAATGGTACATGTTCTTGTAATCAAATGTGTAATTACAGTTGCCATAATTTAAAAAGATCTGTTAAAGGAATATAGATAAATTGAGAAATTTTCTGATGTCTGAATACATTGTAGAGAAAGTTGGAATTGTTTAGATTGGAACAGGCAACACAAAAAAATGTCCTTAGTCTTACACAACCTCAATTTTTGTTGAGAGAATTTCTGTTAAGGAACATTGAAGCAATGGCATTTCTACACTGAGGAAATAAAAGTGATTAAGAGATCTCCAGAGCAATATATTTAGATTGGAATAATTTTTTAAATTTTGATCCAAATATTTTTTTATTTTAATTTTCTCTCCTTTTTCCTTTCCAGAGTGAAAGTTTACTTTTCAAACCCATTTTCTTTTTTCACTGTCAGCTCTTTTCTGATAAGGCTTTGTGCTTGACTTTTACAACCTCATTGACTTCCTGATTTTATGAGCTTTTACTTACAAATGTTCATACAAATATTGTGCTAAAGGTTTGTCAGAAGCACAGTTTTAAGTTCTTAACATTCCTGTACATGTATCTGTCCTGCGAACAGGCAGGGTACTCAAAAAGTGATCCCAAGCTAGCTGTATAATGTGCACAGTTTATTAAACAAGCACACTAAGGCAAACAAGCACACTAAGGTGAATCAGGTATATATATATATATGTGTATGTATAGCACAGAGGAAAATTAGCAAATCATTACTGCATAGAGAGAACAGAGATTAAGAATTACATCACCAATCACCACCTAATCATCATCCATGCCCACACTTCAAGCTGAGAAGCCTCGTTGCAGCCGATGCCAGGAATTTGGAATTTGGAAAATTCCTAGGCAGTGCATCACCCATAGGTGGGGCTTCAGATCTGGCCACAAGAGGGTCCTGCTTTTATACCCTTAGAAAAACAATTGGCTTTGTGCCAGATATGTAATTGTTCACTCTTGGGGTGCAGTTTCTCTTGGTATCACTGTTGTCCATGCTGAAGCATTGGCCAGGTGCCCTGGTGTGGCCAGGTATGAAGGTCATAGACACCTGCACCCTTAAGTTTTCCTGCCTTTTTCCGACAAATAGTCACATTGAATAAATACATATACTTTATAGAACACATTTTGACAAAACCATACTCTCTTATGTCTCTCAGTCATGAGCAGGAATCCATTGTTGTACCTGAAATGTGAAAGTTCAATATAGTTGGCTTTCTTATTATTTTCATTGGGAATAGTAATCTTTTCTAAACCAAAAGTGAAATATGTGTGCGTACAAATCCAGACAGAAGGCCATATTTAAACTAAAACCTACATACTTGTAAAGACTATAAAATGTCAGATGTGCCACATTGAGGAAAGGAAGCTGCTGTTATATCTTCAAGGTACAGGCTACCCTTGATATGTAGCCCATAGTTTACATTATTTTTGATGAATTTTCCTGTCTATTTCTGTCCTCTCCCTTCTGCTTTTGTACTCATTTCCATATGAAACATTGTTATTCTTCATACAGCATGAGAGGTTCAGTTTTCTCTTGGATTTAATTTGCCTTGCATGATAATGGAGAAAATCTGTCATTATCTTTCAATAACGTGACCAACATGTCTTAATTTTCTCTGGGACATTGAAAATGGAGTAGAGATTCCTGAATAGATGTAGATCAGGTCAAAATTCATCTGAACTGTCCTTTCATGACAAATTATTACAAACTCTGCCAAAGTTCTGTACGAGGAGAACAGGACAGTATTTGTGACAGTACATCCTCCTCCTGTATTTTTTTTTTTTGCCTGTGATTTTTCTGTCAACTAGGTGGGTGAAAGTCAATGGGGTTGGATTTTTTAAAAAAACTTAAGATGCAGACACCATTTTTGAAAGCCTGCCTAACTTTTGTGAAGTGCTGATTACTTCTTTTAGAAATACTTTCTTATTTTTGCTTAGAAATGTAGAATTGATTGGGTTGGAAGGGACCTTTAAAGATAATTTTGATCTTTAAAAATTATTATTCCTGCTCCCACCAAGGGCAGAGACATCTTTCACTGCATCAGGTTTCTCAAAGCCATGTCCAGTTTGGCCTTGGACATTTGCAATAATAGGGTATCCACAACTCCTCTGAGCATCCTGTTCCACGGTCATTTTCATTTGCACTTAAATCCTGTACAGTTTGCCCTTTTTAAAAAGAGAAAACTTGAGTTTTGCTGAGTTTTATCTGGGGTAGGTCATAAAATTTGTGGTGAACATGGTTGTTTGGTTATGTTTCTGTGAAGACACCATGGAAAATTGAAATAATTCCTTGCTGATAAATGTAAATAATGAGAGAATGTAGCACAAATGCAAGTAGAAATCAAGTTAATCTTTCAGGAGATAAATGCTGCAACTACAGATTATTGGCTAAAATTAGTTATATAACAAAGCTTCTCTTTTTGATTACTATATGTTGGCGTTTTTTTCTGAATGTCAGACTCTTGAAAGTGACAGACTGCCAGCACTAACTAGAACCTATCCTTGTATAAGCATATGCTAAGAAAGGACCTAATATATTGCATGCTCTTTAGTAAGTGTACTGTACTAGTTTCTAAAACATTTATAAAGTAGTATTACTGCAATGTGTAAATAATCAGAATCTAGTAGTTCTTAGGGTAGTTGAAGGGTGACTTGAATAAACACCAGAGCTGATTCAGACCAAGGGCCTATCTAGCCAAGTGTTGTAAACAGTCACCTAAGGAAGAGTAAGAACTGTGCATGCATATGTGCATGTATGGTAAATATACCTGATATTCTTCCAGCCTCCAGCTATTTTCAACTCAGGGGATTTCCTGAGCTGCTTCTGATCCTCTGTTTCATATCCTTTAGTGGATTTTTCCTTCCACAACTTCTCCATTCTTCACCTGAACCTTTATACATTTCTCATATTCACAACATCCTTTTGAAAGGTTTTGTGTTTGGATTTTGGTTTAGGGTTGCTTCTGCAGGTTTTTCTGTTTGGTTTGGTTGTTTTTGTTTTGTTTTGTTTATAAGGCTTACAGTCCATTACCTGAATAACCACTACCTTTCCACCTTTTGCTCATTTTGAACCTGGCTCCTACCAGGAACCAGGGCTTAATTCAATGATTGCACACACTTAATAATTCAGCTCTTTCATTCTTGGCTTCACACAAAACTCTTAAGCGAATACCATCTGGTGCTGGTATGTGTTTGTGTTTATTCTGTCTAACTTTATTCTAACCTCAATCCATAGCTGTTTCAGAAGGTAAATAATAATAATAGCAAATTTCCACACACCCCCCTTATTTTGTGGGCATGGTTTTTGAGGACTTGATAATATAGCACTTTCCTCTATTACCTTTTTTTTATTTTATTTTTTTTCCATTTGTCAGTGGTTTAGGTTGTGCTTTGGAGGAATCATTTAATTATTTTGCATACAGTGATGGAATAATATTATAAAAATGTTAGAAGAATTAGCAAGGTCATTGTTTCTGGTACTTCAAAATCACTCGTGAGTGATTATGCAGTAAAATAAAAGCAAGAAATGTGAAATATGAGAGTATGCTGCAAAGTTCAAGCAGGTCAAATTCTGCTTGTACATTAAAAGAAAGCTGGAAATTGAAGATGAACTAATTATTTATTAATTAAATATCTTGTAATTAATTTTACCCGCATTAGAAGTATCCATCTCATGTTTGACTTCTAAATGATACTCCTATAAATACATGAAACTGTCATACTTGCACTCTTTTCACCTAGTGCTCAGTGAAAATCTGCTTTACTGAAAAAGGATATTCCCATTATGCTAAAATTGCATTGCACTAGATAAAAGCATACATTCTCAATTTCTTTTTCTACCAAATCTAGACATTAGAATTTTAGAAGGTACTTCTAATTATGACACTGTGCTGTGTTTTTTTATTTCACAAGGAAAATCCAGTTGTTTCCATGTACTTCTGGTAATGTTTGTCCAGAGCTAGATTAGTTTACACTTCTTAGAAAAACAAATACCATTATCAGACAGAGCAAAGGCTTCACTATCATGCCACTCCAGTCAGTACCAGTACTGCTTCTCCCCTGTTCTGTCCCCTCTGCAACTCCCAACCAATCTTTCTTCCTTTCATCAACTATAAACTTTGCGATTTGTGTCAAATTAAACTAAAATAAAATTACCAGCTTTTGGATCTCATCCAAAAGTTCTTGTTGCGGTCTTGACAGAAAACTTAACATGTTCCTGTATGAACGTGCAAAGAATTTCATTTTAAATACGCTAGCAGTATTCAGTAACTTGTACATTCTCTGTAGGACTTATGTAATGCCTGTATTGGATTTGTAGTTTGAATGTGTTAATGAAGGTTTTAATTTATCAGAGGCCTTTCCAACATGCTAAAAATATGCTAACATTTTTGCTGGTAAACTTTGGAACATCCTGATAATGTAAAGTATGTTGGGATCTTTTAGATCAGAAAGATAAATTTGAACACTAGCAGTCTGGGAAGCCTGCCCTTCTAATGGAAAGAGCACCAACCTCTTGTTTTTTGCTTCTTCAGATAATAAAATTTCTTCTGAGATTCACTGTAAAAAGTTGAAATCAGTTCTTCAAGGAGACATCAAACAGAGAAATGTAATGATTACAAATGAAAGCAAACACATTAATAATGCCTTAGATTAAAAGAGGCATTTACGTAAGGTGAAGCTAGACCAGCTTTAGTATAGCTAGAGATAATCACTGTAAAGACCAAAAAGAGCTAACAGGTGAATAAAAGCCCCTAGAATTTGTTTATTATGGCTTTGTTGTTGGTTTTCTTGGTTTATGAAATCCATTGTTATTATTTAAAATCCATAAATACTGATAAATCATGGGTATGATACTATCCTTTGTTTGGAAGAGAAGATGAAAGTCTACTAAAGTACTAAAAGCAAAAATTAAGTAAATTGAACTGACTTCTGTAAACTTTGTGTTTTGGTTTGTGGTTTTTTATAGGTGAAATGAGGAATGATTTATATATCACTGTAGAAAGAGGAGAGTTTGAGAAAGGAGGGAAAAGCGTGGCAAGAAATGTGGAAGTGACAATGCATGTAGTGGACAGCAGTGGTCAAATTTTAAAGGTATCTTTGTTATATGTTTTTCCTTGGTGTAGTCCATTTTGATACACTTTTTTAGATGTAAATCATCTTTTGTGGCATTGTTGAAGAATACAGAATTGCTTTGAAGAAGTCATGTTTATCTTTTGCTGTCTTTAGATATTCAAAGTATATCCACTTTTCATGAAAGTTTTATAAAATGCATGTTTGTTTTATTTCTGTGATCAATTACATGATTTATCTGTGATCAGATAAAATGTAATTGCCAGCAAAATAATTAATGATTCCATAAGAGGCCTGAAAATGTTGAAGAAAGATTAAGCTTTGGTGAATTTCTTATTTCATAATAATTCCTCTCATGAGGCACTGGAATGGGTTGCCCAGGGAGGTTGTGAATGCTCCATCCCTGGCAGTGTTCAAGACCAGATTGGACGTGGCCTTGGGTGATATGATTTAGCGTAAGGTGTCCCTGCCCATGGCAGGGGGGTTGGAACTTGATGATCTTAAGGTCCTTTCCAACCCTAACTATTCTATGATTCTATGATACACAGAACATGTTTTGATAACTTTCATTTTTTTGTCTGATTTTAATAAATCAGAGATCCTTGATGTAAAAATCGCCACCATGTATCCATAAAACAATAAATTAATGTTCCTTCTTTTCTTCAGTTTTGATTGCATGCTGCTTGTGATAGTTTACAAACAGGCACTGTTTCATATTTTAACTATTGACAAATAACTCTTTCTCAGATTTTTTTCTGAACCAAAAGATTTCTGTTCACCTTTCACCTTTTCCATACATAGTTAATATAATTTTTCCCTTTTTATTTGAAAGTACTGTTTTCACATGTTCTGCATGATTTTGAGGGCTGTTGAGTGACAAGTTAAAGAAAGGCTGACACAAATAGTCCTAGTGCAAATTGTGTGTGTCTGTATATGTGAAGAGAGATTGCATGTATAAATGCATGGCATGCAATGTATGTATATTTTTATATATACATAAATAAACAGAAGTGTGTGTATATGTATCTTCTATATTCATATATATATATATTTACATTTTTAAAAAGGCTATTAAGGTGCAAAGGTGATGTCTTATGATTGCTGAGGAGAAAAGCTACAGCTTAGCTTTCCCTCAGGGATTTAAATAATACATATCCCCAAGTCAGGATTTAGACAAATCCATTTGCCTGTTGTGCTAATGTGCTGTGGAAAGACCATCATGGGTGTTGCAAAGGCAATCAACAGTTTGCATCTTTCTAATCAGAGAGTCCAGATTTCTTTACTGTTTCATGCTGGGACATATCGCTGATTGCAGCAGGGTTACGGGCTTATTTCAAATGACTACAGACCTTGAGACTGGGCGGTTCTTGTCTCAGTTACATTCTTGTTTGTTGCTTGGGCATAACACTGGATAGACTGTGCTGTGTCATGGGACTTCACATTTTTTGCTCAAGCCTTCTTGATTACCTAGTTCCCCCTATATAACACTTTGATTCTCATCAGTGTGGATGGTTCTTGGCATTTTTTTCTAATCAGTAAATACTAACAAAGTGCTACTATTTTTATGGGTTTAAAGATAGTGAGCATTGAACTACACATATGGCATTTATGATAGGAATGTAAATATTAAATAGTCTTCATTAGAAGAGAGCCTTGATGACATCTTACCAGTGAACGATTCTATCTTTAAATCTTTAATCATTTTTTTCTTCATTAGGATTTTATCTCATTTGGCTCTGGAGAGCCACCAGCCAGTGAATACCATTCCTTTGTGCTTTATCATAACAATGGTCCCAGATGGTCTGAGCTGCTGAAACTTCCTATTCCTGTGGATAAATTCAGAGGAGCACATATCCGCTGTGAATTCCGGCACTGTTCCAGTAAGTGCTGTTCATGACTTCTGCTAGTCCTCTCTCTTACAGCTGCAGTCAGCACATGAGTTTCCATAATACCTCAAGAAAAGGACAGCTGCATGAACTTTCTCTGAAACGCTTTCATGACAGCTTCTCAGGATTGCAGCTCTACTTGGAACTCAGTGCTTTGGGAAAGCTTAAATACTGGGAGAAACCAGTCTAGTTTATTAAATAGAAATAGACAACATTGCAGCTGCAAATATAAACAGAATTTCAGGTAAACTCAAAATGCATATTTAGAATTTGCCTGGTGATTTATCTAAAATTATAGCTGTCCCTTAGTAGATGTTTAGCAGTCCAACCAATGGGAAATGTACATAGGTACATCATGGTCAATCAACATTACTTTTTTATTGTGGGGCTTTTTTCCCCACTTATTCTCTAAATATTCTGAACAATTTTAGAGTTGATTTTGAGGTAAAAATTGAGGTCTGGGTCCTTGTTCTGCATACCAGGGCATGCAAGACAGGTTTCATAGCTATGGTGCTGACTGCTCACAGACTTGTGATAAAATTGCAGTTCTTTTAAACAGATGCCGTTGTTTGACTCTTTTTGGTGATGTAGATATAGCAAGATTTGGTTATTTAGATTGCCATTGTGGAAAGTGGTGCACACAGTAAGTGATAGTATATTTGGATTTTGGATGCTTAAACTTCAAAATATAAGGAACAAATAGGAAGAAATTTGCATTGATTTCTTCTTTTTGAGTTTTAAGGTTTTTATAAGCTATGAAGTAATAAAGGAAAAACATCAGTGGTGTGTTTCAGACAGATTCTTTGCTCAATCTTTCCTATGCAGCACAAGTTGGATATTTTTGTTATCATTACCTGCACCCCAACTATGTTAAACCCTGTCTCAAAAGTCATACATATACACATTTCATTAAAAAATGGTTAATTTTCACAAGTGTTAGCATCTGCACTCACTGGCTTCAGTAAAATCTGTGCCATCTCAGTGTTCTGCAGTCTGCTTTGTATTTAGGTGATAAACGAACTTTGGAATTTAGGCATCTAAGTTTGAAAATGGTATCTGCTGTCAAACATTCAACAAGGAACAGCGACATCTTCAGTCATATCTATAGAGGCAAATGCTTTATTTGAAAATAGAAGTGCAGTGTAGCCTGAGCTGACCTAAAATGGAGACCAGAGGGTAGAATGTGTCACCTGAAAAAAATCCTTTTATTTTCATATTCATTTGGATTTTCTGGAATTATGTATATTTTCTAAAACTGTATATTTGGTGGCTTCCTTTATTTGTTGTTACTAAGTACCAAACCATTACAGAATACTGCTTTTTGATTAACATGAGATAAATAAACCATTACAGGAGATAATGTGTAAATCTGAAAAGAAATGTAAGATAATATTAGACTGTCTAGCTGCAAATAGCTTCCAGAATTCTTTTTTATGTTGTATCATATCTGTTTATTTTGTCAAAAATGTATATTAAGTGCTGCTATTTACACATGCATTTCAGCAAAAGAAAAGGGTGAGAAGAAGTTGTTTGGCTTTTCTTTCATGCCCCTGATGCAGGAAAATGGGAGGACTCTGCCAGATGGCACCCATGAACTCATTGTACACAAGGTAATTTGAATTAGTAATGGTTAGCTGTAATGAGTCCTCTGGAACATACTTTATATGCCCGGAAACATTAGGTTGAGAAAGTCTGTATTCATTAACAAAGGAGTGATAATCTCTTCACCATTAAAATGTCAGTTGCTGATTGTTTCATATTAAGATTTTTGTTACAAACTGCAATTGAATCTAGGTATACTTTTCAGTGCCCTGGTTTTACTATGTCTTACTATTATATTAAATTCTATTTTTAATGGATTTGACAAAGACAAGTTGAATTAAAACACACAAAGTGAAGCCCATGATATCCTCTTACAGAATTGCTAAAGTTGGCAAATCAAGCAAGCTTATTTATGCAGATCTAATCAATGTTATAATTGTTTCGAGATGCTTCAGTTTAGTGGAATTTTTGTTTCCACATTTAGCAGTTATTGCTGTTCAGAGGATTTCATATGCTTCCAGCCAAATTTTAGATTTTTAACACCAAGGTTTGTAGCTATTCATTTAACATAACCTCTGCAAATTTGTTGATTTCAATTTCAGATATGAAACTATTACCCAAAACCAAAGTTGCAACAGGCATAGTGAAAATTCTTGGTTTTGGCAGAGAAAGAATAATAATTCATATAAATTAGGGATTTAGTCCTTTGTTTTTATGCAGTACAGTTATTTTAGCTGCTTCATTTTCACAGTGTGAAGAAAACACGAACCTTCAGGATTCTGGTCGCTACCTCAAACTCCCCTTTTCAAAGGGAATTTTCCTAGGAAACAACAGCCAAGCAATAAAAACCACTAAAGAGTCCTTCTGGATTACGTCCTTTCTCTGCTCCACTAAACTCACGCAAAATGGTAGGATATGTTGATTATTTAAAACATGATGAATTCAAATGAGTGTTATAGCTAGCCTTTTATGTTCCAAGTAAGCATGGATCTACTCAAAAATAGCTTATGTTCTATCCATTATATAAACTGGTTTTCTTCATAATTTTTTTTTCCAGATGGAAACCAATGCAGCATGATAAACCAATGATTTTGAGTAGCTCAAGTATGCTTTTTAGATTAACATGATATTGAAATCAAATGCAACACTCTTGGAATCAACTATCAAAATGCAGCTGCTTTACAAAACCTCCTAATCTGTTTGTTGCCGAGTTTTAATGTAATACTGTAGGTTTTAGGCTGTGGCAGTTTGGTTTTAGGCACAAATTGCTTTTTTGTTGTATCGCTTCTCTTCCTTTAAGCCAACAAACATTTACTACTACTTAAAACAATCACTGGATATAAGCAGTAGCAGATAGAAATACATGTGTTTGCATGCTTTGCCATTGCTATGTATAAAATTCTGAAGATTTTTGTTTGTTTGCCATATTAACTACAGTTTGTAACTGAAACAGCATTCCACAAATTTCTAAATATTTTGTATTTGCTTAGTAATGTGACCATTCTTTGGTATACACACAGTTCTGTATTTGTTTTTTTCTAAGCTGTTTATCACAGTTTTAAATCTGGCTTTGCTCTTTCTTGTGTGTGAATGATTGTGTCTTTACCTTTCTTATATGTATGATGAAAAAATTGCTGATTGCTTGCAGATTGATTATAGGTGTTTAACAACAACTAAAGCAGCTTTTAAAATTGAAATAATCATCTTAATTTTCACTATTTAGTAGCAAGTGTCCCAAATAGAATTATATGCAAATAGTAAGTGGTCTGTTTCATTGTGCACACATCCATTCTGTATTCTCATAGCAATTAGTTTCAAAGTAATAAAAGTTAGCCAATAAAACATTTTCCTAAAAGTTGCTAATAGGCAATCAGAGACTAAATTTGCTTCAGTTGAAGGCCTGGATTTAAGAAATCACATGAATCTACCTATAGTTACACATGCATGAATATGCTGCCTGGAACTTAAATGTTTCACTGATAAATAGTTGCACTGTTGTCTGGGGTTATAATACTTATTTATGTTCACAGTACAGGAGTTATTTTGTAGTTAATGTAAATAGATGTGTGACAAGGGGCATAAAAGTTCCTTTTTTTTAAAAACCATATTCTAAGTAAGAGGGTGTAGAATATCTGAATAATATTGATCGCCTTTTCAGCTCTGAAAGAGTTAACAATTATTTCAGCAGTACTTCAGAGGGTGGAAATATTTTCAGTAGACAGGCTCATATTTTCTCCAAGGATCTTTCTGGGGAATTTCATCTTGGTGAGTTTCCAAATCCCCATTCTTTTAAACAAAAATTTGCCAGAAAAACTATTGCATGCTCAGAAAATAGAGCAAAGCATGTGGATATTTGGTCATGTGAGCATTACTTCAGTTATCCCTGAGAGAATGTAGCATATTTATAAAAAAATACAGGATTAAAAAGATCTGTGTATTTCTTTTCTAGTAACCATTTGTATTGGCAGTTTTGAAAATTGCTAACTACTTTTAAATCTGTTTTTATGTTTGGAGATTTTTCTGAAGCTCTCAGATCTGCCTGTGTCTGCAAACAACATGTCCAGCCTGAAAACTATTTGAAAATTATGCTATTGATCTGGCCATGGTGTGGGGGAGGATCCCAAACCCAGACTTGTAGAGGGTGTGACTGAGTTAGGCCACAGCTTTACTAGCTTACTGGGGAACCTTACCCAGCTGTCATTCTCTCATTGATTATCCCCACATGCCATCAGCTCTCATGCATATTCAAATCATGGGGACTGGGGAAAGGAGGCTGCCTCCCAGTTGTTGGGATCTACAATTTCTTTAACTTCAGTATGTTGGAGGGGGTTTTAGCATTATTTCCAAACAATTTTCAGAAACCTTCTAACCAGGGGAGACTGTGTTCATCAACATATCTCATAAGAACATGTCCTTATCGAATCTGTCCGCTAGTTAGCTTTTCCTTAGCTTGACTCTTCATCCTGGATAGCTAATCAGTTGATATTGGCAAAAAAGTATCCCAGCTTTTATATATTATGTTCTTAGCTGAGTAGTTATATTTCATTATCCTAAAGAAAACCCAAAAAAGCAAGAGAGTAGACAGTGATTTTTCTACTGAGTAGTTATCAATACAGTTATACTTAGTTTTTGACATATAGGAGGAATTTCTGCTTGACAGAGACTCAGGATCCATCCAGCAAGTCAGAATATTTTAGCAAGTTGGCATCTACTCGCTTCTCAGCATTGATCAGCACATCACCAGTAAGCAGCTGTTGATCAGCAGAGCAACATGTTATAGAGCATGTCTATTGCAAGGCAGAGGTGTTAATCCATCTATCTGCATTTGACGAAAAGCCAAACTGGTGATTAATGAAATAAAAGTAGCAGGGGGCAGCTTTCCAGAGTGACCTCAGTTTGGAGGGAGTGTTGGAAATCACAGAAGAGGCCTATTGGAAGGGAAATACAGACTGCCAGTTCTGGAATTCAGCTTTTTCCTTTTGATGTGCAGTAGTGCTACACCAGGCCAATTTTGATGGCTCAGGATTTATAGGAGAGAGATGGAAAGATCAACCCAAACCACTTCCTTACACACATGATTCTAAACCTTTTATTAAACTTAGCACTTTGGATTTAAATTAAACGTGAGAAGGGAAGTGCTTTGTTTGATAGGAATGGTAGGCCATGTGTAGCCTGTTTTAAATGTACAGATCTGATCAGGATTAAGAGAAGGCATTGGAAATGTTTTTTTTCTTCAGAAAAAATTATCAGCAGCATTGACTTTTTCCCATTTCCAAAACTATGTTTTCTTGCTGGGCCTATTTTGGGGGGCAATTTTATATTCTCATTTCTCTTACCACATGACACATTGCTATCCCTTCCCCTTGTGATTCACATGTCAGATTTTCTATTCATGTCATTTCTGTTTGGGCTATTCACTACTGTTATATCGGCCATGTCTTTCCGCCTTAAAGTTTCCCTTGAAATAAGTGCTTTGAAGTCAGTGTCTTACCTTTGCGCTCTCCTTCTTTTTTAATCCCCCAACAAATACCTAGTGTTGTGTGTCAACTGTCTTCCACCCAATTGCTCCAGCAAACCTGTAAAGAAGAGATTTGCCTGCTATGAACTGACAGCTTCAGCTGGTCTTGCTACTCCTCAACTTAAGTTGAGGCTTAAACAGAATAGGATGCATGCGGTGTGGAAGGCCATTTAATTATCCAAAAGACAAATGCAGTTCACTGGATTTGTAATGCTTGTTTCTTGAAAATTCCTGACATAAGGAATAATTAGACCTATAACTTGTCCTTGATTTTGGGGATGTGTCTCTGACACACAGATGGAATCCTTCAGCACTCTTAGTGCAATTCTAGAATTTCTTTTAAGCCAAACCATTCCATACTAGCACAGCGCAGAGCAAAGCAAATAAGAAACATATAAATGCATAAAACCAATTTGTACCTACCAAAATCAATAAAGACAGCAAAATATTAATGGAATAGCATGTAGGGTGTTTGCTATTAACACTTCTGGCAAGATTTGTACACAGGTGGAGATGTATTTAATGTTATTAAATACAGAAATATTGCTTCATTTCTTGTTGAGAGATAGGAGCTTTCCTGGAACAAACTGGGAAAGAAATGACACAAAGATGGGTATGGCTCAAATGGTACTTGAGTATGAAATCAGTCTGTGAAAGAAAGTTCCCATATAGTTGCTGAACCAAGAGGAAAACTTTCTGTTAGCTTCTTAGTTTGGTAAGTACTGAGCACATTTCAGAAGAACTAGGTCCTTCTAAGACAATGTTGGATGGTGATCAACTAGACAGTAGTTCAGCTTAAACTAATGGAAGGGTTGGATGGTGGTTAAGGTTTTCTGCTTCCAACAGACAGGCTTTAAGAAATCCTGAAAAGCTGAGTAGTGAAATGTGGAAGTAGTAAACTTGCATGTGGTGCAGCTTTGGGATTTGTTTAATTCAGTGGTTCAAGATTACATGGAACTTCTACTCAATACAACTTGACAGGAGGGCTGCAGACCTGAGTGGGTGAGTCACAGCCAGAAAATGTGAGGTGTAAACAGAGAACCTGCAGCAGAAGAGAGAAAAATTGTGGCAACCTGTTAGAGTTCAGCAAGGGTCAGGATCAAGTGAAAACTGCTGAAAAGCCAAGCCAAGTTTGCAGCACTCTCTTTTAGGATTTTGAATGGTATAGGGCATGAAATTCCTAATCTCATAGCAAAGTGGTATTTTAGTACATCTCGGAAGCTGAAAGCAACAATATATGACTGAAGAGTGACAAATACAGTATTTAGATTTAAGACAGCTGCAAGAATGGATAGGTTAACTGAGCCATCACCCTCCGATGAATTTTATGCAAGTATTTACAAGAAATCATGGATGAAAAAGTGGACATGTAGCTACATAGGATGTGCTGTAAGATGAGTTTATCACAGGCATATCATGCGAGAATAAATTTCTTGATCTTTCATTTCAAAGGCTTTCTTTATTATTATTCAGAGGAAACATAGCAGATCTAAACCATCTGGACTTCAATAACATGCCACATGGAAAATTGAAAAGATAGAAATTTGAATAAGAATTTTTAAACTGGTGTAAATATAGGCTAAACCAGAACTAGCAGGTTGCACTGTAGTGGAAGGAATTTCCCTCCTGAGTGGAAGGAAAATACTACCAGAGCTGAAGAATTAGGCTTGGGATTGATCTCTTTTTAAAGGGGTGGAAGGGATGGGGATGGGATTTACTTCTGTAAAACTTGAGACACTAGAGAGCCTGTTAATGAAAGTCGCTGCTAATATGTAGTTGAAAGAGCTTATCAGTTGAGAACCACAAAATCAAAATATGATACAGGCAAAGTAAAGTCACTTAGATTTAAAGAATTAATAAGAGTAGAAATTAGATCAAATCTAATGGTACAATGGGCAGGGTCATACCCTAATAGAGACTCTTGGGGATTCTGCTGTAGCCAGGGAGCTGAACAGTATTAAACAGGAGAAAGACCTATTTGTGTCACCAACATGATGTTTCTAGAAAAAAGCTCCCAGATTCCAGAACATGTGTCAGGTGTTTACAGCAGACATTCAAGCTTGGTATTGTTATAGGAAACACTCATGTAATCTTGTCTGTAATGTAGTTACCATTACCAAGAAAGCTAAGGGCAAATGAATTAAAACTGGAGGAGGTGCAAAGACACTCCCATACGTTTTAGCTCAGAAGAGTTTATTTTCCAGAAGAGATTGTATTGCTTGTTAATAAAGCAGGATCTTAGAGACATTGTGTTTGTTCTCTGTGAAGACATAGGAAGATGAGTATTTTAAATATATTCAAACTAGCAGTTAGGAGACTATTTCTGGCTGTCAGAGGACAGGTAGGGAAGACATCCTCTTTGATGGGATGAGAGACAGCAAAATAATTTCTTAAAATGGTAGCTGACAAATATCTGAACAAGATTGTATGAGACAGTTGCTACAGGATACTGATTTTACTGACCGAGAGCCATGTTCTTATGTTTCTATTGGTGGAGCAATTACAGAATGGAATGAAATTCTGTTGTTGGGCCGATCATATTATAGCAAATCTTGAGATGTTTTCTTTTGGTTTAATGATGCCAAGTTTTGCTGAGTAGACTGTAATAGTAGAATTTAAAATCTGAACTGCTGCTTTGCTTCCAACTTCAATTTGCATTTTGCTTTTGCAGGAGATATGCTTGATCTTCTGAAATGGAGAACGCACCCAGACAAAATTGCAGGTTGCCTCTCAAAATTAAAAGAAATTGATGGTTCAGAAATAGTGAAGGTATATATGTTTCTATCCTTTTAGATAATACGAGGGAAATAATTTATTTGCATGTCACAAAAGTACCTATTTATTAACAAACTCTCTCTTCCTCTCTCTAATCAGTTTCTTCAAGATACACTAGACACTTTATTTGGGATTTTAGATGAAAACTCTCAAAAATATGGATCAAAAGTATTTGATTGTTTGGTAAGTTTCATTTTGTGATGATGGTTAGCACTATTTAAGAACTAAGTAAAAAAAAGAAAAAAAGAGCTTTTTTTTTTCCTTTTTTGTTCACATTTAGGTTCACATAATAAATTTGCTGCAGGACAGCAAGTTTCACCACTTTAAGCCAGTAATGGACACTTACATTGAAAGTCATTTTGCAGGAGCACTTGCTTACAGGTGAAGTCTGTACTTTTTCTATCTAATTTGAATACTGACACTTATGGGTAAGCTAAGCAGAATCAACAATTAGGTTAAATTAAACAGTATCATTACAAATAAAATGCAGTGCTTGTATGAGTGCCTAGATTTATGCCATTAAAAAGAGTAAAAATAAGTTACTAGAAAGATTACTTGCTAAAGCTTTAACATTGGCTTAATTTTTAAATCTTTTACTTCAGTAGATTTCTTTAATTACTTTGAAAAACATAGGAGCCTTAGCACCATCCAGATGCAACTTGTTCACCATCTGTGTAGAGCACTGCAATAATAGGCATCACTTACTTTGCTGTACTCTCTGTATTTATCGCTACCTTAGACATCCATTTAAACCAATGCAGTTTAATGAAAACAGTGCATGGAATACAGCTACAGTTACTCCATGCTGGCAGGGGGTCTTCTGGCTTAACTGAGCTTGTGTATCCCTGTCAAAATTATTCTATTGCATATATAATACTGGTTCTCTGGTTTGTCAGAGGTCTTCCAGGTGGCTGTCAGCAGATGGAAAACTAAGTGTAATATTGATTCTGTAGTGATTAGTGAAATCTAGTCATATGTTTTTTATTTTGTCAGTGTTTCTCATATGACAGCTATTGGTTTGCATTTAATGTGCAAAGTTGACCCTTCTCCCACTCTGTGTTATAATACTTTTTGATGCGCTATTCTAGAGATCTTATAAAAGTACTAAAATGGCATATTGATCGAGTCACTGAAGTGGAGCTGCACGAGCACATACAGGAAGTACTAAAGGTAATAGAAATTGATGAAAGCAATTATATATATGAATTATATATTCATACAATACCAACAGTTTTAACTTAGTAAATGAAACAGAGTATGGAATGGTGGTAGTAATTCTAGGAAGCTGCAGACTTTTTCAGTGCAATAGTTTATTCATCATTCTCTTTTGTCACTAAATTGATCAATGGAGCTTACTACCACTTGACTCTGGAGCGCTTATGTTCCTTACTGAATGAGTAGAAGTTAGGTCTAAGAAATCAAATATAGATTGAATTGGTGGTATAAACTATCTGTTGCATAACAGAACCTAAATGATAGTCATGCATGCTGGCTAAATGGTTCAACCCTGACATTGGGGAATTCTACTGAAAATGGTGGGTGTGATTGCTCTTGTCCCATTTTGTACCATGAACAGAGCACAGTGTGGAGTCAGGCTGAGTTGTACAACACAATAATCCCATTTGGGACAGGTGCTACAGTCTGGGAAAAGCTGTCAGTGTTACTCTTCTGTGCCTTTCTATGCTGCTGTTATCTCAGGTGTCTTGCTGATAAGAAAGAACTGTATTTTTATTTATGTTCCAAAATTTAAGCTTTTTTTGTTTTTTATTACCTGGTTAACAGTTTATAGGAAAACAACTTTGAACAAGCAGAGGAATTTCAAGAGCAGCTGAAAAGTTTGAGCCTATTTCTTATATTGGTCTTGTATGCTTATGCAATAAGTGTTTCTGTAGCCAAAGACATGCAAAGGATGGGGGATGGGAGGCAGTGCTGAGATTTTGCAGTTTTTCATTAAAAATACAATTGTTCCCTGGGTTGTAGAGGTTCTGAAAGACAAGGCAAAAACATTTCTGATTATGCGCTTTTTGGAATGTTGTTAGTGTTTCATTAGAAAGATTTGACAATATTAAATAGCGTGGTGTCTTGTTTCAGACCCTTGCTGTTTGAATGATACAATCATCACATGTGTTCTATTTGAAGATGAGCTGGTTCATTTTTATGAATTATCTCTGATTTTGACATTTGTAGGCACAGGAATACATCTTTAAATATATAGTTCAGTCGCGAAGGTTGTTCTCTATTGCCACTGGTGGACAAAATGAGGAGGAATTTCGCTGCTGTATTCAAGAGCTTCTCATGTCAGTACGCTTCTTCCTTTCCCAAGAGAGTAAAGGAGCTAGTGCTTTATCCCAACTACAAGTAAGTTTTCGAGCGTGCCCTGCTTATTGCCATTTTCCATGTCCCACATAGAAAATGTACACGTGTCCTTACCTGTATTCCCAGGAATGAAAACGGTTTGGTTTTGTTTTGTTTTGTTTTTTTTTCCAGGGCAAAATGGCACTTTTAGCTTATCCTCATACCTTTTCTCCTATTGTGTGAAATTTTCATAACAACAGCTGCTGGTTGGTGTATATCTATGGCATATATAGATATATGGTGTATATATATATATATATATAGGTATAGCTAATCTTAAATCTAATATTTAATTTGAATTATAATAACTATATTGCTTAATATAAATAAAGTCATTTCTCTGTTTGGGGCATTTTAAGTTTAGTTTAACCACATTGAAACTGAAGGATTTGAGCCATAAAAACTAACAGTGTTCATGCTTTACAAAAAACTTGTAAGTCTTGATGAACTACATGTTTTAATACTTAGCTGGTATCTTTATTTCTGTGATTTACCTACTTCTGCAGCTCACAGACATGCCATCCTCCTCCCCTGTTTCTGTAACCAAAGACCTGTTAAGAAATTAATTTCTTAAGCTCTGTAGAAAATTTTTCTTCCAAGAAAATTGCAAAGAACAGAGAACAGAGTAGAGAAGTGATTCTTCCATCCCAAGTCATGTAAGCAGGTGGAGTGAAAAGATAATAGCAAAATTATATAAACAATAACATTTGGAATTCTTCAGTATTTTTAACCTTCTATGTCATCTGTTTTGACACCAGTGTGAAGAAGGGCTGAGGTGTGAGCATTTCTTAATCAGCAGGATTTGGAGAGGAAGAAGAGAATGTCAGTTCTAGCTTCTGTTCTCTGGCATTGCCCTCCTTTCATTTGTTTCCATACTCAGCAATGAATTTCTAACCCTATTTTAGGGTTGTTGACGTGAACCAATACTGCCAGTGCATTCTCATTCGAAAATGAAAATGTTCATTATTTGAAAAATTGAAAATATAGAGGCCATTATATTACCTGTTTTACAACAAAGCAAACCAAAGCAACTCCACTGAACTCCACTTGTTCTCGTATCAGCTAGCTTCTGTTATCCTTTTAAAAATTTCCTCTCCCACATAAATATTTTTCAATTATAAATATTTTTGTTTGAAGTTGAACTTCTACTTTCAGTTTGTCCTGGGAGAACTGAATAGTCATTAGATAATGCTTAAAGGCAAATGGTCACAAGGGTTAAGCCCATTAATGAACGTGAGAATACTTCTTCTGAAAACATGACCATTTTTAAAGCTACCGACCATGAATCATTCTACAGTTTCTTAAATTTCTGTAATTATTTAAATGCTTAAATGTCAAAACTACACTTCAGTATCTGACTGTCCATTTTTGCCCTTTCCTCTAGGCTGTGTTTCTGAGCTCCTTCCCATCAGTGTACTCTGAACTTTTGAAGCTTTTTGATGTAAGAGAAGTGGCAAATTTGGTTCACGACGCTCTGGGCAGCTTGCCAACAGTCATGCATGGGGATGAGTCCCTTCAAGCTGTTAAACTGCAGAGTATTGGGAAAACTGTGGAGAGTCATCTGTACACTAACCCAGGTAAGGTTACCCTGGGCTGCCTGCAGATAAGGAAGTCAACCTGTGTGCTTATTACATGGGCCAGCAGGTGCTGAAGGGAATAGTATCGCTGAAAGCAGTGCTTCCTGAGGAACAATTCTTCAAGTACAGCTCTATACAAGCTGTTCATTTAGAAGAATACAGTTGGTTACATTTAGTAGTTTGGTTTTTAGAGACAAAGACTCTTGAAATAAAGCTTTGTTTTGGTCTACTGCTGGCAATATGTCTGTGAAGGAAGTTTTCCTAATACTTTTATGTAATTGCAAAAGAAAAAGCTTTACTAGGTCTTTGGGTCTTGTTTCTTTCTGTTCTCCTTTGGGGGCAAACAGATTGTCACTTATTCGTGAAGTCTTATTTGTGTAACTCTTGCTAGCTCAGCACTTTCATGCATTTCTTAATGTAGCATAAAAAGGCTACACATATTCAAGTTATACTTAGTGCACAGTGTATAACAGCATAGTTATTTGCTATGTGGAAGAAAAGCAGCTGTATGGTGGTGAGCCTGACATTCTTTTTTTCTATTCTATGTGAAACCCATAGAAGTGACCAGATGTTAAATTTGAGATGAACTAATTTAGAAATAAAAGAATTAATATAAAGGAGTTATAAAGAATTATAGTGTTAGTTTACTCAAAAAAAGCCTTCTGGAGAGGTGTTTGGGTATTGGCTGATGGAGTTCGGTAGAAACAGCAACTTTTACCATCTAAGATAAACACATTAAAATGATGAAGGATCTGCAAAAACCACAGGGATACGCATAAATGTTTTGAGATGCTGCAAAATAAAGGAAGCGATTTTAGAACATTATTTTTTTTAAAAATGCTTCCAGTGATTGTAGTTTTAAAGTATGCGCTCTAAGAAATGGGTAAGAAGTATTGGATCCTGGCTTCTTTGCTTCATTCTAGTGAAAAGGGCTCACCTTTTCCCTTCTGAGCCTCCATGGCAGTCCCTTCCAGAATAGTTAGCTCCCTACAGCTGACTGATCAGGTCTTTGATACTCTGGGTAGACAATGACATATATATTCATGGAGCAATCATAAGGACACTCTAAGTTACATTTTTCCTTTTTGAAACTACTTAGGGAGCAGGTAACATAATTTCCATTTTTCCTCCCCTTGTCTTGGTTATCTCAGCCTAACTGGAAGATACAAATTAATAAATGTAATTAAAGAGAGTTATTTAATGCCAAATAAGGGGTTACTGGGGACTTCCTTGGAATTGTAAATCTACTTTCAGCTGTATGCCAATATTTTTTGTTTGCTTCCTTTTCTGAAAGTGTTGTTTTGTTTTTTTTTTATTCAAATCCAGTTTCATTATTAAGAACTCATGAACTGGTTTGGCTATGAATGCAATGAAAATTACATATTAATTTTTTTGTAGAGGGTGTGTTACACACAAATAAAATATATATTTGTTAGACCCCAGGAAAACTGGTGTGAAAGACATCCAGCAGTGATATAAGCTTCCAGTGTCCCTAATAGGAAGCTCAAGCAAACATTTGTACAGTATGATCTCAGTCATCTTTATGTTGAAGGGTCTTGTGGTGATCAGCATCTTGGTCTATTTGCCCTTCATGTTTTCTCTATTTAAAATACAAAATTTTAAGTAGACTTTCCTTGAGTCAATCCCTAGAAAGAAGTCCTTTTAAAATCATCTTGGGGAAATAAATATTGCACTAGACTCTTAACGTGCAGAGTAAACCGAACATCCTAATGTGAAGTTAAGGCTTGCTGCTGTGAAAATAATTGATTTCTGTCTCCCAAGTGAGGATGATGAATGCTGTAAACTGTGCTGCTAGCTAACTAGATGGAACACAGGAAAATAACTAGTTATCCAAACGTCTAATAATGAGGAGGGCGCTTCTTAGATAACATTTTCTGTTACCTGTTTTTGTATATTCTGTTTAGCATGGAAGTTTCACATACTTTCTTTTGCAAGGGCCTGAACAGCTAACATATTAGTTCCCACTGCTGCAGAAATCATCTGACACTAAAGCTATGCTTTGACTAAAACTGGGAGCTACATTTGGCATATTGTTGAAATCAAACATCAGGGGTTGATTTAAGGTGCCCAAGCACAGACGTTCAGTGCAATTTCAGATGTATTCAATGCATCTGGTCTCTGCCTGCCTCTCTAGAGAATGCAGGTTATATACTGTATTTACTGATCATGTGTGAGTAGGATGTCTGAAATGGCTCTGTATTGGTGCTTTGGTATAGCTTACTTAGAAGCCTTTTCCAGTGATTTTAAACTTCAGCTCTTCCTATAAGGTAACAACTAGAGAGATGTTAAAAGGTGACAATAGAAGTTACCTGCCTAGCTCCTGTGAAAAGTTAGTGGGTCTAAAGGCCTTACTTTACTTTACTTCTGTTTTTTCCTATTTACTTCTGCGTCTTTGCAATGCACATAAAATGTAGTGAGGGTCTAGGTTTCTTCCTCCAAAGAGGAAGAATTTTCTTGGAATCGCCACTGGTCAAATATCTCACAAGGATAATGCTGTCTATTTGTTTAAAATGTTCAATTACACTGATTTTTTTTTTTTTTCCAAGCAGACTGAAGTTTTGACTCAGATATAGTAATTTAAAAGAATATTTCATATTTCTGAAATTAATCTTTAAAATAGACTAGAATAAGTTAAGTTTTGTATGTCTGTGCAGGTGCTTTGCGACTAACTGAAAAGTAAGTGGGAAAGTTGTGCTGTGAGTTAAATATTTAATGTTAATGTAGCTTGCATTGCAAAGTCACAGAGATTGCCCAGAGTAATCTCTAACTATGCCAAGCATGTACTTGAAAAGCTCAATGTCATGATTTTTTTTCCTCTCTTTTAGTATAATATTTGTAAAGGGCAAGTATTAGCATTTTAAACAGTCAGCTAATTTGGCTTCCTGCACAGAAGAATAACTGGGACAATGAGTGATGGCTAAGAGTTCTGATTATTACACCATTCCTTGTGCTCATTAATTTTCCTATACAGAATGGCTGACTTTGCAGCTGGCAATTTTTAAGAAAAAGAGTAACCTGAGACAAATGTTGTATGCTACATTCTCCAGACTTTCTCACATAGCCCTCTCTTTGAGAGACTGAGAGTGCTTTGTTAGATAGGTGCATTGCAAATATGAAGCTAAGTTCTGACAGGCAAAGGGATATGAGACAATTAAAACCAAACATTGCCCATAACAAATATGCCAGCTCTCCTCGTCGTCAATACCATTACATCTCTTCACCTGAACAGGTCAAGACAGAGATGTGTTTAGATGATGGGCTTATAAGGAATATATCTGAAGCTGTGTAATATGTGGTGGTTAATTCAGTACCTGGCACTGTTCCCCCCCCATGTATATTTGAAAGGCATTGTAAGATGCTTTTTGCTAATCTGTTTGGTCTTGGTGAAACACAGTTCCTGATCATTTTTGCAAAAACGGAATACTTGAGACAGTTGAATGAGGATGCTGTTTTGCCTGAGATGCTTCAGGCCATGCTTAATGTAACTGTTGGCTATTTGTAAGACAAGTGTTGCTACACATAGATTCTCTGTTCTTCAAAATGGAGTACATAATGCTGTGCTTACATATGAGCAGCACACAGAGTAGTGGGCTCTTCAGAAAAGGTACCATATCCTGAGTGTGCTCATCAGGAAGCTGCTTAGACTTATCCAAGAAGGAACGCCTTGGCAGAGTGCTGTTCCTGTTTTCTCCTCACCTTCTGAACTGAGGGACTTGAATTGTAGCTTCAAGAGAGGTCCTGCTGTCCTCAGAGGATCTATGGCCCAAAGGATAACACTTAGACTAGTAATGGTGTGAAAGAACTACTAGATCTGCTCTGTGACAGATGTGGAGTTAAGTAGTGTTTTGACCATTTGCCTGGGAATGAAAGACCAGGTTCAGTGCTCTGTCAGCTTGGATTCAGCTTTCCATCATGTGCTGGACAGGAGAGTACCCTAACCACAGAGCCACAGGTTGGTTTACACAATGACCCCTTCCTCTCTCCTCTTGAAGATGGGTTACCCGATAGTCAACAATTTGATGTGTGTAAGGTGTAATGGAAAACAAGGAAAAGTCACCATCCCCTGTAGTCCAGACGCAAGGTTTTTTTTTTATAGGAATGGAGAGTCCTGCTTTTCACTTCAGCAGAAGCCATTAGCTCTGTTTTTTTAATCTATCAGTAATCAATAAGCTGATTTAGCAGTGAGGATCAGAAGCTGTCACAGGTCTGCACATTAGCCAGCTTTCTGCCTGCTTTCTCTTTGACCCTGTAGATCTTGTTGGTGGCAGCTGTGTACTCTTTGACATCTCAGAGTACCTGAGGCAACACTTTGCTGAGCTTCTGGTTTTTAGACAAAAGAAAAATGCCTTGTTGGTTTGGTTGAAATGCTTCTGCACAACTGCAATGCTAGAGGCAGATAACAAACTCAGGCCAGTCCTGATGAAAACCTACTGAGACACTTGCAGAAGTAAGCAGTTACTGGATAGAGGCTCTTTGTTTCCCAGTTTTGGGTTTCAGTGCCACTAGTTTTGGATTCCTTGATCATGTTTTGATTACTGCCATACAGTCTTTGTTTATATTTTTCTTCCATAGGAAGACATAGTGAGCACCTGAATAAATAATAAGCATGAAATACCTGTTTAAAAAGAGCAGGTGAGCTTTTTTAAAAAACAAGAATATACTTAAATAGTGTGTACAGATGAACTCTGATTTGTCTTGTTAAAGGTAACTAGACAGTGAAAAGAAGGGAATAATGAGAAAACCAAGATTAGTGCTATAATTCAGTGAGTGACAGAAGCATTCATCAAATAAAATCTCAGAATAAATCTATCTTTTTCTCCCTTGTGGAAAAAATAGAGGAAATATTTTTGGGGGGAAGTGTTTCTAGAAAGGCTAATCCACAAACAATGCCTGGTTGGAAAAATTATTTTAAAGGAGTATTTTCCCAGCTAGATAAGCTACATTTTTCAGGAAAGAATTACATTAATGAACAAAGGAACTGAGTAGATGAATATATTTAGATAATGTAGCGTATAATCATCATTAAAATGTTAATAGAGGAAATGATTCAAGTACATTTCTATGAGAACTTAATTTCTCAATTAGAGAAAAGATCTAAAAACAACAACAAAATGGAAACAGATAACACCCATTCAATTTATCAAGTTGTAAATAGGTGTGTGTTGTCACAAATGTAATTATTAGGCTTTTTCCATTTAAGGCTGTCTTTAATTAGAAAAAGAAGCAAGAAAAAGTAGCATGTTAATGAAGTTCTTGCATAATTTTGAGACAATTCAGAACTGAAAATAGCACCAAAGAGCTGTGTTTAGAAAATGAATTAGAGGAAAGGCAAATCAATTCATGTAGATACCAGTAGTCTAAATTGCTCATACTTAGTAGGAGTGAGGAATATGGTAAAGTGAAAATCCTGAATGAAATCTGACAGTACTGCTTGTCTGAAAAGTAGAACTCATTAGAATAATTTCAAGATGAACCTTGTTGTGACCTTGGCTTGCAAAGAGATCCTGTCACATGGCAGGGAACATTAGAACATAATTTCACATTATTTTGAATACAAGGATCCCTGTGCCAAAGTTTTTGCATGACAGTTCAATAAATCGTTAGAATTTTCTGTTAGATATAGTATATTCCACACAGTGGTTTTTTTCTCCAATCACGACATACTGATTTTCAGCATATTTTTATTCTTCAAGTCTTTGCTTTAGACTATTATGATTATGCAGTAAAAGCTTCTGCTTATGAAAAAATGTTGGTTAAAGCAAGTGAAAGCTTCTGCTTATAAAAAATACTGGTTTAGACTGAAAACACTTTTTTTTGTATGCATTAAAATTAAATGATTCTATGAGAAGCTTGTACTCATAAAATTTTTCATTTTTTCCAGATTCTCGATACATTCTTCTTCCAGTAGTTTTGCATCATCTCCACATGCATTTACAAGAGCAGAAGGACCTTATAATGTGTGCACGTATCCTTAGCAACATATTTTGCCTCATCAAGAAGAACAGCTCAGTGAGTAAACACTATGTCACTTCCACAAGGTGTTGAACTTCTTTATGTGTCTCAGTGACATTTAATGACACGAACTGGGCTGTGATAAGGAGTATTTTGAAGAGTCCACTGAGTAATGATTCTGCATAAACATGTCATTTTGATTTCTCATGAGCCTTTTCTTCCATGCAAGGATATTTTAATTGTAGGGCGTAGTGTTCTGCCAAGCTTTGACTCTTTTTGAGTGTTGTGTTGGATAGAAAATGTCCAGTTTCTCTTGGAGGCATTTTCAGTTGTGGGCTGATTAGTCATAGAGGACACAGGGATGATATAGGTAAATAGATTGATCTCAGTATTGCAAGGGGAATTGCACTTGGTTGTTAGCTGATAAACTTTGTGGCCAGTTTCTGATGTTTGCATTTGCAAATTGATCTGTGAAAGCTGCATATGAGAACTAGCTTAAATAGGTGTATTTCAAATATGAAGATGATGATAAGTTCTGACAGGCAAAGGGATATAACACAATTAAAACTGAACACTGCCCATAGTTAGTGCAGTACATGCATATCAAGGCCAGAACACATGACACTGTAATGCATTAGTGACAACTGTTTTATGTGTTTCTTCGTTTCATGCCGCTGTCAGCAATTAAAGTTGATCCATCAATGATTTGATATGGAAGTGGCTTGCCCCTTTGGCACTATAACAGCTTTTTCATTGCAGCTGCTCCTGGATTTGTGTTAGAGCTTATCACAAGATAAAGTACTAAATGATAAAGCATAGCTGTGGGTTTGGGTTGGGAGAAAGGCTTACATGTCTGGTCTTAATGTCAGGAGATCTTTCATTTGGAGTCGCCAAACCAGATGTGTGCACAATGAATGGACGTCTACATAAAATTCTCTTTAATGTTCAAGATATGCAGCTACTGGTTTTAGTAATCTTGCAGACATGAGAGTATTAACAACTTGGTGACTTTGATATGATTTTTGTGGATCAGTTCCATCAATTCATTGCTTCATTCCAAGGTAGTCAAGATAATTTAAAGATTAAGGGAACAAGTGAATTGACAGTCAGGCAGCTTTGAAAACTAAGGTCATCAGCCATTCTAATAGTTTGTGCATAAGTCCTCATGTTTCAGTTCCTAAATACATTGTATACTGTCTGCCTTCCTAAGTAGCAAAGTTAACAATTGTTTGGTACTAGATGGAGTAACAGAGAAGACGGCCGTGACACTAGACTTCTCTTGAGTCCAAACAGGAATCTGGAGTTTTGTTACAAACAATATGTTTTGGGTGTGTAGGAAGCTAAATAAATAAATAAATAAATCACTCCTACACCGCGATGTCAGCAAAGTTGAATGATCTGTTTTAGTTTGGTTGTGTGTATTTGATTATCAAGTGTTTCTTTCTGCAAAGAAATGTCAGCTTAAATCATGGATAAAATCGCTCAGATTAAGGTGGTGTCTTGCTGCAGTGGAGACAGAAAACATTGTGAAGCAGAGAAAATGTATTTCCATCTGAATTAAAAAGGAAAAGTAACTAAGCTTGACTTCATCAAGTGCTTTCGTGTGTGTAATTAAGGTATTCGTGGTCTCTTTTAGTGGTGAATACTTTGGTTGTTTTGTATTGATGTGGAGTACAAGCAGTTGTAGGCTTATATAAATGACTAATTTGTTTGTGCTACTCAGCTGATGGGAAGCAATGTAGCTGGTCTTTACTGCTGAAACAGGTCTTGAAGGTTGATCACCATCTGCTTGTTTCTGGTGATAGTTTTGAAGTGTGAAAACAGAATTCTACTTTTTGAATTTAAGCCTCTCTTGGTAATTTCCCCAGAAAATATATGGGCGTTACCTATAAAAATCTCACCCAAAATTTCTCCTATATTATTTCCTACTTTCTTCTAAACATTAATTGAAAATAGAACTATGCTAATTTGATGAAAGCTTACATAGTCAAAGTCCATCCCATAACTGTCCTCTATACTTCAGTTCAATGTAATTAACTGAAAACTGTTAGAGAAAAAAACAGTAGAATTAAGCAGTATTTTAATTAGAGAATAGTCCTTGTTTCTTGAATGTAACATTTGTAGTAGAACTATAATTTTTTTCTAAAATGACATCAAAGGAAAAATTACTGTGGTCATCTTTCTATTCTAAAATCTTAAACGTTTTATTTACTATTTAAGGAAAAATCTGTCCTGGAAGAAATTGATGTGATAGTAAACAGCTTGCTAGATATTCTGTTAAGGACCATACTAGAGATCACCAGCCGACCACAACCATCAGGCTCTGCTATGCGCCTCCAGTTTCAAGATGTGACTGTAAGTTTCTTAAAATGAAATATCTCACAGTTGTCACTGCTTGCACTACTAGATTTGTAACAATGTTGTTGTTTCATTGCAATTAACAATGTTAAGATTTTGTTTAGGAAACAGAAAATTGCACCTTTTTTATTTTCAGTGGAATCAGTAATATTTTTTTAATTAAATTTACTTCTAAATTGTGACTATAAAAAAAAGAACCCAAAAGACAGGTTTTTTTTTTTGAGACTGTTTCAGGTCAGGAATTATTTCATTATATTTCTTTTGCTGACAAAATTAACAGTTTTCTGAAACTGCTTAAGTTTGAATTCCTGAAAACACAAGAGTATTGGTCAATAATATTTTACTTCTAAAAATGCATGCATTTTTACATGATGAAACAGCTCCAAAATGCCTGCAGCATCCGTGATGCTAACTTGGACAAATCCAAATTTATTAATTGAAAGGCATTTTGTTGTTCTCAGGGCTGAGCATTTGAGCTTCATTTCTAGCACATGAGCATGGAGGATGCCTTTAGAAGATTAACAAATGATATTTTGGTCAACCTGCTATAACATCTCATGGGAATTAGAAGGTTGAGGTGGCATTTACAGAAATCCTATGATGAGCATCGATCAAACAATATGAGGTTTTATTTTGCTTTGTTCTCAGAAAGGTGCAAAGTTTGCTTTTGAAGGGCAAATCGGTTCTAATATGGCATGGGCTATGACCCCAGTATAAGCTGAGGGCGTAAGATTTTCTGCACTATGCTGTGTGATTTACATCTTATTGTATGTTTAATTAATTAATTAATTACCCATTTTTTTACACTGTAACAGTTTTAGTTAATGAATATACGGTTGCTTTTCAAATGAGAATTTCCTGAGATCAAACATTTCATAAGCATTTAATAGCTGTGGAAGAAGCTATGGGGTTGTTTTTTGTTTGCTTGTTTTATTTTATCCCACCGAGAACAAATCATATGAAGTGTTTTATGGAGCTAACCAAGCTCTTTAGTAAGATAACACCATGCTTTAATCACTGTGATTCAGCAGGGCTATACATCTAAGAATTGGGTGTTTTTTCTTTAAATTACAATTACAATTGTATGCTTTGTGGCATATCAGGCTATCACAAGAAAATCTAAACTGAAGTAAGTTTTGCAGTATTAGATTGTTAGTGTAGCAAATCTCTGAGCTTACTGGTTTCTTCTAAGATATCCACTTGCTTGCAGATTACGTTTTCCTAAAACACCATGACAGCCTAATTCATTCACACCACCAAAAAATTAGTCTCTGGAAGTGCTTTCAAGTTCCAAAATTTCCTTTTTATGCATCAGAAAAGCCATGTTATTGTCACCACAGGCTCTCAAAGAATACTTAATGTGGAAGTGACTCAAAGCACAGCATAAGGCAATTATATACATTTATGTAGAAACATCATGCACTATGAGCTTATGGAAACACACAGAGCCAGATTCTTGGAACTATTTGTAGAGCAAGTATGATAAAGTACTCAATATGAGTACAGCAGTAGAGTCTGTTCCAGTATGTTACCATTATTTCAATCTGCATGTATCACAAATTACTCTTTGTGAGATGTATCATGGCAGCACACTGGATAAAATTCCATCATACTTTTCCATCAGATATAGTCTTCCTCATCAAAGTAGTCCCAAACTCGTTTCACTGTGATCTGAAGCCCACATGTTGCTGGTTTTCTGCACAAAGCAGCAACATAAACCAGCAGCATAAAATCAGGCAGCATCAGGCCGTACGCTGCCATGACTGCACCATTTCTTTCATCTCAAGTAGTTTTGGTACCTTGGTACCATTTCACTCTGCAGTGAGGAATAGATGATAACCTACAAAATGGATGTGATGCTTTAAACTGAGTGCAAGGAAGACATGGCTTTTGGGTGTCAGTGTTACAGATGTTGCACTAAGAACCAGTGAATTTAATGCAATGGTGAAAGTGAAACTTCTGCTTCAGGTTGTCAGTGATTTAGACCTTTGGATTTCCTTAAGAAAAATGCATTTGCGTGTAAAGAGCTATCAGAAAACAATCAAATTAAAATTAATCTTTATTGATTTCAGATCTCGGAAGTTCAGTTTCTCAGAACCTAAATGAATTGCAATTGAATTAATGAGTTTTCTTTTTGACAAATATTGGGGTTTGTGATGAAAAAAATGCTTTCAAATGTTCGCAGCTGACTCCATTATCCTTTTCCCTAAAGCAAATCAAGAACATTCTTCCCAGAATTGTTGCAAAATTATTTTTGTTTATATTTGTTTCAAAACTGGGTTGACTAAGAGGTTGTGATTTTAGCAGTCTAAATAAGCTGTTTAAAAACAGATAAAAGGGAAACAAATCACAAATCAAAATTTTTCTGGTTTAGCCCTTCTGGAACTCTTTCAAATATTTTGCTAAGCAAGTAAACTGCATTTGGTGAAAAATCATTCTTTATATGGGAAGGAAGTTTATAATTAAACTCATGTATTTTCACAAAATGTGGAGCCTATTTGTAGATTAATTTCCTTGCATTTGTTAATTATTTTTAAGTGCTTATAATATGACAGTTTAAGCTCAGGCACAGAAGTCATCATAATATTTCTATTTTTGTCTTATCTGAATAGGGGGAATTTGTCTCCTGTTTGTTATCACTCTTGCGACAGATGACTGATAGACATTACCAACAGCTTCTTGATAGCTTCAACACAAAGGAAGATCTGAGGGTAAGTAACAATTGTTTTTCCACCTCTTCAGGTCTCTTTTTATTTCTCTTTAATTTATCTCCCTTTAAGAGATGCTCCAGTGCTTTGATGAAACACTTCAGTATTTAAATGCAATCTGTTTTTCAGATTATCAAACTTCTTCATGGGCTTTCTTGTATACTCAGGTCCAGTCTTACAGTGGGGTGAGGATTCTGTTGCTTCTGCAATGACAGGAGATAAGAACAGGGATGGAGGGGGGGCTATATATTTGCTTTAAAGCTGTAAACTCAACCTCCAAGCCTGTTCTAAGGATGGTATCAATCTAAGATTACACAGTTCTGCTTGATTCTTCTTGTCAGGCAGTTGGGCTTTTTGTCTGGTTTATTATACTTGTTTGTTTATTCATTCTTTGAATTATATATGGCAATGGCAAACATGCAGTTTGAGAAATGCATATTTAACTAACTCTCAATTTTTCTTAGCTGTGCAGTGAGTGTGTTGGAAGGAGGACCTGTCAGACTTGTAACGTCTGTCTGGCCTGTTTGATCATGAAAGAGAGTAGCTGCAGAACGTTTCAGGGCAGCTTCGACCAATTTCATTGATGCAGTTACCGGGTTCATGGTGATACAGCATTTTTAATTCTGTTTTGGAGGAGGGGGGTGTTTTGTTTTTTTTTTTTTAATAAGTTATTATTTTCTGCATAAAGATATCAACAAGACTTCCACTCTGGTAGACCCTGCGAAACCTACCTAGTACCAGATTTGATCTATACAAGAGATCTTGAGGAATCACTTATGCCCATATTCAGCCAGTGAACCTAGATGGGAGAGTAATTAGTCGCACTAGTATCACACTAGCTTCCTAGTGTGATGGTATAGTTTTAGATGTTACTCTTAAATTACCATTTGATAAACTGAAATACTGCCCCGAAAAGTCTATCATGGTGCAGTTTCAGATTTCCTTAAGATTCCTGATAGCTGTTTAAAGCTGTTTTGAAGAGAGCTTACCATTTGTGAGTGCCTTTTCTTTGTAGTGAGATCGTTATATTGAACTTGAAGGATAGGAAATGGTGCTAAGAAGTTGTCATGGTTTAAGAGTGCTATGTCAAGTTACATAGGGTGGATGACTTTTATACTAGTATTACAGCATCTGTTTTCACGTAGCATAGTTGCTGTCCTTAGGCATTTTTTTAGTGTATGTTGTGGAGCCTAGGCATTTTTTCTGAAAATATTTTCCCTTTTGTCTGAGTTCTGAGCAAGTCTATATTTCTAGATTCCTAGATTTTTATATTTCCTAGAGGTTTCAAGCTTTATTTCCATTTGATGTATCTATGAAATACAGTGTTGAATTTATTTCAACTTACTTGATGCTAGAACATGAAAACTCTGTAGAATTAGTGCTTGAATGGTGTTTGATTTGGTACATTTATATTCCCCCCACGCACATATCCTCCTATTATACAGACACATATGGAAAGCAGCTGTAGCCAGTGTCACCAGCTATCAAAACAGAGGTCTTAAGAATTCAAGTCCAGAATTTGTTTCCATTCAGATCTCCTCAAATCAGCACCAGTGATTCAGTGGCAGGAGGTCAGTCATCATTAATGCAGCATTGCTTCTCTTCTGAGTCTTAAATAATATATTGGAAATATCAAATACCATACAAATGTGTGTAACTGAGAGCAAGAGGAAAGGATAAGAGCTAGTATGTGAGGCTGATACTGCTGTTAATCATGAGATGATTGCGTATGACTTAGGTTATCTGAATTATCTCACAACTTACCTCTCTATTTTTCTGATTGTTTGCTAAGTGTGGCACTTTGTTGGTATTTTATACTGCTTTAAGAGAATGCTTCTTAAGAAGTGACATCAGTGAAGATTCAGGAGGTCAGAAGCACCTGTGATAAAACTTTTTTTCATCTCAGAGGCTTTTAGAGGCTGAGCTAGTAGCCATAGTTGATCTTGTGACTAGTACGTACCTTTGGGATTTAAGCTTCAGTGGTAACTACCATCAACTTGCTGTATTTTTTAATCCTCTTTTTGCCCCCTGGTCAGTGATGTCAAAGTGGACTGCATCTTCTCTAAGCCGCATACAAGTTACAAATCTGATACAGTCTTTGCAAGGGACTTATCAGTGTGTAATCCAGGCTTCTGAATTGCTGTCTGCTGTGCTTTTTTGCTTTGACTACCTGTTTATGATTAACCATCTCTATGAACAATTAGGCACTGATATTACAAGGTGTTTTTAATTTCTTCCAGGCTCATTCTCAAGGTTACTGTCAAGTGCATACTTGAATGCATGTTTGCACAGCATTTCTTACACAGTTAAAAAAATACCCCTCCCCAAACTGCTTCTCCAAACAAAAATTCCCTCATGCAAGCGCTTGTAAAAATGGAATGGAGGCTGCCATTTGTTCTATCCAAATATATCTGAAGTTCTTAATTAAAAAAAAAAAAAACTATACCAAAATTATTAAAGGCTGTTTCCAGCTTGTTAATCACAGTATAACGAAATGGAGACTTTGAAGGAATGACATTTTCGTACAACATGCATCTGAGTGATGCTTTAAACAAGTGGTTGTTTATGGAAATATTTTATTTTGTAAATATATTTAGTTTAAGTAATTGACATGGTGACTGTTTTTATTTTAGTCACTTCTTTGAGAGAGTCAGATTTTTTCCACACAAAGCAGAAGATAGAAGAAGCATTTTATGTTTGAAAATATGCAAGTGAAGAAATGACAGAAAATTAATGGCTGAGTGGTAGCAGCAGAGACAATAAATACTTCACTCACTTTTAGAAACATTGAATTTAATGAGGCAGTAATTTTAAATGCTTCTTTTTATCTTTCAATATTATTTTAAAGATACCTCCTTTTGCTTACCACAAAATACCATTATCTTCTAGTAAATATATTTTGCAGCAATCTATAGAAGAGAGGTGCCTTTGCAGGCAGATATTTGCTACCACAAAAAAGTTTGGATATAATTTATGACAAAAGGTAATGGTGGAAGTTATAAATAGGAGAAGTGGGAACGTGACTGAGAAAAAGAGTATATGTTAGCACAGTGCAGCTTTGAGCACCGCAAGGTGTTTTTTGTTAATATGTGTCAGGTTTTTAAGTAATAGTTTAAAAGAAAAAGATATATACCTGCAGAAGGCCTAGTTTTTATCCATTGGCAGTGTACCCTACATGAAGTGGAGAAATAGATATACAGGAGAGATCTGATGAAGAAAAAGCTAACAATTCATAGGTATAAATATAAACTTTACTAGGTTTTTGATCCCTCTCATCCAGCCAAAGGAGCCTGGCGGGTGCCAAACTCTATCACCAAGTGCTATTTATTCCACTGTTCTCTAATGACCCCTTGGACATAGGCTATGCAAGGTTTGTAAAGCATGGGGAATGTCTCTGGGGGAAAAGCCCAATTCTGGCCACCACCCTTCCGCTGTTATGCAGAGTCATCTGCTCATGCATGGGACTTCAGAAAGGATGAGTGCTGGGGCAGAGGGGTATCACTGAAACAAATATTTGAGTGGCTTCCTATGTAGATTGACAAAGCAGTGAAGGAAAGAAGATCTGGAAAAGAAGCTGGCCACAGGATAGATGAGTTGTCTGGGCAGAAACAGCCCAACGGCAAACCATCTTCTTTCTTGTGGGCACCTTGGTACTCTGCAAAAAAGCTCTAGGATGCTCTAGAAAGACTTGATACCACTACTTACTAAGTCTGCAGTATGATCCAAAGCAATGGATGATCAAGCAGTGAGCTTCAAAGTGGACTATTGACCCAAACTAAAACGATGTACAGGCATACTGAGATTCAGTGAAAAGTCTGACCTGCTTTACAGAGGATTTTACATGCATAGAGGAAAATGTGAAGGAAATTGCAAGGCAATTTTTGGTTAAACGAAGTCTTTCAGAAGGTCAAGTTTCTCTCTTAATCACAGTTTGATAATTTCATCAAGCAAATATTGCTGCCAAAGGAAACCGAACTGTGATACTGTGATATTAAGTGATGTAAGATAATACTAGAATCTATGTACACTAGGTAGGAATATTAAGGGATGGTATTTAGACTACGTAAAAGGACAAAATTACTCCCTTGCTGTCTCCTAAGATAGAAGGCATATGAGACATTAATTATATCTGTACTCAACCAACCAAATGTTAGTTCACATATAGTGCGGGCAAAAATGTTTTTTAAATGTTAAAATCTGTTACTAAATCATTATGATGTGTTCATCAGAGCAGATACAACTATGAAAGACAATAGGTTAGTGCAAAAGAAACGGTTCAAAATACAGTTACAAAATTGATCTTCCATGAATGGTGCTTCATGGTAATGTTTTGTGATATTTGGATCATGAAACAAAAATGAGTGATTGCATCATACAAAATGCCAGGTACTAGAATGATAACCAAAGTATTTTATGGAATTGGTACTTGGAGGTGGGTCCCTTGAGAGTGAACACTGATGCTGAATGTCAATGAGCGGTTCTGACACATTCAGGATGCCATTACATTAATGTCAAAGTATCAGACTAGTCAACTGGCATTCTACCCTTTGATTATTTTAATGCTTCTAATAGAATCCTAGGGAAATGTATCATCAAATATAGAGAAACTAAATAATGAAAAATAAAATTTAGCTACAGATTAATTCTGTTAATAGAAGTTTAACAGTTGTATCTTGAAAATCTGACAATTGACTAGTTTTTCCAAAGTTTTTTACTAATTACCTGTTTCAGTTATATTTCAGCTTTGAATTATACTGCATATTGTTTGGTTTTAATATGTACTGTAGCAGAGATCTGCAGTCTTACTTGGGCTTTCAAATTCACATTTTATATCTAACATTGCTTGTTACTAAATTGACGCAATTTTCTGTTTTATTTTTCTGTTAAAATTAGAAATAATTAGCCTGGTGTTAATGATTCAGAATGATTCAGTGCCTACATTTGCTTTGGTTTGAAGTTTGCATGGTACTCTGGTTTTAGCCAAGATACCTAAAGAAATTAAGTAACGTATGATTTTTGCCCAGGGAGGTTGTAAATGCTCCATCCCTGGCAGTGTTCAAGACCAGGTTGGATGAGGCCTTGTGTGATATGGTTTAGTGTGAGGTGTCCCTGCCCATGGCAGGGGAGCTGGAACTAGATGATCTTAAGGTCCTTTCCAACCCTAACTATTCTATGATTCTCTCTGACATTGTTTTCTTACTGACTTTTGAAGCAGCTGAATGCTTCAGATTTCAGCAGGCTGAATGCCTGAATTTCAGCAGGCTTTGGCAGTGGCTCATGGGTCTCAAAGGAACTAAGTTTAAACCTCATGAAGCCCTTGGCTTTTAAGTCCTCAGATCATTACTTGGGTTCCCAACAGCACCCATCTGGGCTCTTCAGTTCAGCAGCCGGTCAGTTCCCTAACAGCATCAACGTGTATTGTGTCTGGACAACAGGTGGGATAAAAATGGGATATGGGAGAATTTGGGACATTATTGTGAGGCAACCTGCAGCAGCATTCAGGGCATTGCCGTGTTGCTGGGAGTATGGCACAGAGCTGCAGGGATTACAGCACAGGGAAGAGAAATAACCCCTAAAGGAAAGAAGAGAAGGCAGAAGTGTTAAAATGTAAGTACAAGGTGCAAAGCTATAGGAAAGCAATCTGGCATAAATGAGTTGCTTGTAGAGCTACTTGTTCGTCTGTGAAGCTGGTCATCTGCATTCAAACACTGTGTTATCTGCAATGAGTATCGTTTATACTCTTTAATACAGATAATTTTTGGCATCTTGCTCAGAAAACAGGTTGTCTCTTTTATGTAATCTTCTCTGGTGGGTGGGTGCAGGGATCTCAGCTGCCTTTCCCAGTGCCTGTATTCGTCCCCCTTTACAGTGATTCTCTAATGAAAGACATCTGTTGTGCAATGCCAGTCATCTACACATTGATAAATGCAGTTGAGAATATATTTTGGTGTTCAAAATTATTTGATATCCTTTGTTTGTATCTTCATCACATCAGTGTTTCCGGCTAACTCTCTACAAGTGTTGTGGCCAGAATCAATAGAAAACATTTCAAGGTCAGGTACCACACTGCTTCTGCTAGGCATGTTATGTCACTCGCCTCATGTTCTTCATGATGTCAAAAGCTCTGTTTCGTTTACTAAAAAAAATACTGGCTGCTCTATATGCAATCAGGATGGGACATTAGAAGTATTACCTTTGTTGGTAATTTTATTTGTGTAAAGAAAATCTGAAAAATTATGCATGGAGAGTAATAGTTCAGTTGTTTATTAGCAAGTTGAATGAAATAGGACATGATAATGCTAAAAGCTCTTAAGCAGTGATTTCTACGTTCAAAATAGCCCACATGTGTTCACTATTTTTACAGATTCAGCAAATGAGGCAGAATTGTTAAGTGACCTCCGTACACCCAGCCAGCTGCAATAACAGTTCAGGGGCCGGGGCATCACTTTTTGAATTCTCTGGGCTTTGCAAATCCAATGATAAAATTGTCCTTATGCTCCCTCTCTTTCCAGCAAATAATGTCACTTCCAAAATAATTTTTGAAAGTGATGAAAACCTGGCATGATTAAGGAGATACTCAAACCCTGCAGTGTTTGCAAAGTGCTTTTTTGATTTGCAAATTGTTCTTGGGATCACATTTGTGGAAGTGTATGGGTGGAAACCAAATGCATCTTTGACATTTCTCTTATGTGTTGCTGTCAATCAAATGGCTAATTAAATTTTTTTCCTCCTTTTAATAAAAAATAATTAAATCACTATTTGAAGCTTTCTTCTGGATCAAAAACTAATCAGAGGTTTATGTCGAAAATAAATGCATTTTTGCCTCTGATTAAAGTATTTTTAAAGCTCACTGCTCTTTTTAAAGCAGCAAAGACATATGACTTCTTCTTTTCTTCCAAGGATTTCCTGCTGCAGATTTTCACTGTATTTCGGATACTAATACGACCAGAGATGTTTCCAAAAGACTGGACAGTGATGCGTTTGGTTGCAAACAAGTAAGGCTTTTTTTTAATGTTAATAAAAAATATGAGTAGTATGTGAATATCATGGTCTAAATAAAGTTATATGATGTATGTAATAAAAAATTAAAATATCTTTTATAATGCTGGCTGCAGTTTCTCATTTTTGAATTCAAGATTTAAAATCTCTGGACTTACTTTACATGACAAATTCATAATATAATCTGTACCCCTTTCTATTCTGTGTTTCAGTAAGCACATATAACTGGAAACTCAAACGCTTTTACAGAATGAAGATGCTATGCATCAACAGCTTTGTTTTCCAAGTAGCAAATGACAAGTCTCAACAGAACTCCATTTCAAATCTGTTGAAATGCTGAGTTAGTAAAGATCTGTTTGCTCCCAAGAAGAAATTATCTCCTGTGATATCGTTAACAATGTTGTGTGTTTGTCAATTTAGTACTTGTCAGAATAATCACAAATTAAAAATCACAAATCAGGAAGTGAAGTACAGCACAGGCAACAGTAACACAGGGCTCTAAGCGCTGCCTGGTGACACTTTGAGAGGTAACCTCTCAACTATTCTTTCTTTGCTCAGGCCTTATTTTTAGAGAAGCAGTTTCCCAGCATTTCTGAGAAGTCATTGGAATGGGTCTGAAACTGTTGAATTTTATTTCACCTGTGTCATCAGCTCTCCTTTTTTTTAGGCTTAGCTTTAGATCAGATTAGCCAGCTGAGCAGTCAACACAGTTGTACAAATACCAATGTCGGCAGAGGAGGGGGAATTGTGTTGGGCAGACCTAAGAATTCAGAATTTAGGATTGACATAAACTTTCATGGTACATATTGCAGTGCCTGAAGGAAATTGTTTTTTCTTCTGTGTTGTGCCTGCTGGCTCCAAGGAATTTAAATTTATGGTGCTGTACAGAATACTAGTAAAAAGATTACTGTTACAGTTAGATTTGGCAAAATTGTGTTCATGATAGTTATTTGTTATGTGTGTGTGTGGATATGAAAGCATCATAATAATTGTTCAAACTTTGTCATTTTTAATACCTCAGTGTTGCTAATCTTGCTAAGTTTGAATTCTAGAAAAAAATTATTGTTAATAATCAAAAAAATACATATGATCTTCATATGATTTTTTGTTCTGTGTATGATATTAAAGAAGATATGGTTGATACTGCATCTGGTAATCATGCTGAAGAAATAAATTGAGAAACACAGGAAGGAGGACAAAAACATTGGACCTTTGAGACTAAATATATACTCTATGAAATTGTTATATATTCCAGAAACAGCTGGCTTAGCAGATGGCTTCGCAACAGCTGACATGTACAAAATTAAGATTTAGGAACAACCTTGGCATGTTTTTTTCAGTCTGGTTGTCGTCAAGATTATGGTACTGAGTTCTGCAAAAGAATATTTGCTTCCAGCAGTATTTTAGTTATCTTCACACATCTCCTTTTATTAATCTATGTCATGTTGTTTCTGACCATCTAGGAGCTGACTCTATGTCCAGTTCTGTCAGGCAAAAAACCAGGCAGAAGCTGGCAATAACTGCTATGGGAATTGGCCATGGCAATAGGCAATAGGCTAATCAGATCGGCTGACTGAACCCGATAACACACAATTGCATAAGCAGTACTGCCAACAAATGGGATATAAATACATCATTACCAATTCAGTGTTCAATAACTGCTTTACTAGGCATTCCTTCCTTTGTGGAGGAAATGCTGGTTTTCTGTGAAACAGGGTCTTGGCCAGGTGTACTTTAAAGTGTGGAGTGAACTGAAAACTCATCGGTCCTATGTTATATACCCGTGGCTTAGTTTCTGTGCCTTTATGAGGCAGCAGGAAGGAAAATCCCCTTCTCTCCTCAGCTACAGAGGACTAGTTTTTCCAGAGCTGTTTCTAAACAGGAGCTCCTTTCTTTAACTTGTGACCTCTACTGCCATTGGAGTGACTGCCTTCTTTCCCTTCCTCAAGGTGTTCAAAAGCACATAGCCACAAAGTAGTAGCTTTGTTAGAATTGTTCCAGCCCAAAATCTGGAAGTGTAAAAAGAAGAGCCTAGAGACAGGATGAGAAATTAGGGCACTGCTTGCACCACAGACGGAAGTGGCTGTGAGCTATTCTTCCTGAGCTTCACTTGATGAGCCAGAGCTTTTCCAACGATCTGAGACTCTTCAGGTTTGAAGGCAAAACTTCTTCAACACCATTCTCCATTCATGTCTAAAAGGAAAAACTAGAAGCTCTAGCCCATCTTTTTAAGAGTATAATTGAGTAATCCATTAACAGACTAGACATTTTTAAGATTTGTCTGAACATGATGCTGGGACATGTAGTCAAGGTCGTGCATTGCTTAGAAAGGTTGGACCTTTCTAAGGTCCCTTCCAACCTGGTATTCTATGATCTTTTCTAACTCCTGCTTCCCAGGAATAAAATGACAGTCATGTTTCCTGTGTCAGATGGCCGCCTTCTTGCTGTCTGGGCTTCGACCCAAGAAGCAGTAGCTTATAAGGCAAGTGTGTGTCTTGGAATCTTCAACCATCACTGCAGTCACATCACCAGTAGCAGTCTTTTCTCTTCCCTGTCCCTAGAGTGAAATAAAAATTCAAACTGTCTAGTATTTACAGTATGTAGTCTGGGGAAGAAATGAGTCCCTAGTAAGGTCAGGTAATAAGCTTTTCCTGAGGTGGGAAAAATATTTTTTTGTCTTATTTATATATGCAGAACTTCAATTACTTTGAAAGATTTTTAGTTCTTAAAATGCCATAATTCTTTCAAAATATTTATTTATAGAAATATTGCTGCCCCCTGGCTTCTGGATTTTTTTCTTTCTTGTTGCAATGTTTTCAGTAAGCATGTAATATCTGATATTTGGATGCTGTCTCTGATTAAAAAAACCAGAGAAGATACTGTGAGGTCAAGAATACAAATCTGTAACCATCCAGAAACTAACATACTTCACGATGCCACATGTGTGATCTGTAGTTCTGAATGTTGGGTGCCCAAATGAAACTTATATTATTATAAAACTACCAACCGTCTTCCACAGTTTGAGACATACAGTAACATTTTAAAAGGCATACTTAGCACTAAAGAGAGAAATGGATCTTTTTTGAATTGTGTTCTGTGATGGAAGTAGAAGAATATGCAAAAAGATTCCTTAATGTTTATTAGCTTCTAGCAGTGGAGTAATGAAGAGAAAGTCACTCTGTTTAAAACTGCAGAACCTTGTAATAGCTGAAGTGAGCTAATCAGCAAAGCAAAATAATTATTTACAGTTATCTAATACTTCTAACATGGTTGTTACTACTGAGTGACAAAAAATATATTTTTCTATATCCTATGGAAAATATGATTTTAATTTATTTTCTTTCATTATAGGCATAGACTTACTTTCTACATCCAGTAGCCATTAGGCTGGTTTGCTGGCCCTCTAAGCAAAGCTTATATTTGTAACATCAAATAAGCACCACATAATGTAGAGAGATGCCTGAATCAGTTGCCTTGTGCTAAAGAGGAATCCAAAATTCTATAATAAAAGATGCCAGACTAAAACTGAAGCTTCTGGATATCACCTTCATAATGTCTCTCAACAGGAAATCACTGTGAAGTGGTCACTTACTTAAGTTGCCCTAAGGTTAGGAAAAGAACCACTTATCTAATGCTTGACTGCCATCTTTTGAGGGCATTTAACAGACTGACCTAAACTCCAGTTATATCATGTTTCGTTAACAATTGAGGTGGCTGTTGGAGATCTGAGTAAGTTTCTATTACTTGCTGGGCAAAGGTTTGATATTTATAACAGACTTCAGCTATGTACTGTGGAACAGTGAACTAATTTTCCACTGCTTTCAATATGCAAGAAACATTTTTTTTTCAGAACTCTGTATGACTATAACTAAGTATATCCTAACTGCATTTTGTTGAATGTTAGAAATGCTAGATCATTCAATTCTCAATTTGAATTTTATAAGCATACAAAATGGGTGTATGGATGTATGAATTTATTTATAGTAAAATAATTGGTCGTAAAGGAAGATTTGCTGTGGTTTTTATACTAAAATTCCAAATGTATCTACTGAGAGCTCAATATAGCGACTTTCAACAGAGAGCCCTTTTGGTTATCTGATGACCAAAAGACATTATAATTATTTCTTAAAAAGCAACTCAAACAGAATGCACAGTGAAGGAAGACATCAAATTAGCATTAGTTTCATTATGACTCCTTTGAAGAATCCTGTTAGCTCCCATGGTGTGGGAGTCTGAGACTCCTACAATGAACAAAAATTCTTGCTTTTATGTAATACACAGTGTTGCTAATGTTCTTGTTTTTATGTAATACAAAATGTTGCTAACAACTGAACCTGACCTTCAGTCTGTCACAAAAAGCATATCTATACATAGGTATGCATGTATGAATAAGTTTATGTATATAGAACAATAGATATATGTACAAGAGGCTAATAAAGGGTGGAAGCAAGGACAGATGGCCTGGGAAGAATACAGGGATGTTGTCCAGGAAGGTAGGGACCACGTTAGGTAAAGGCCAGTTAAAATTAAACTTGGCTAGGGATGTGAAAGATAGCAGGAAGGGATTCTATAGGTACATTTAAAATAAAAGACAGACTAGGGACAACGTGGGCCCTCTCCAGAAGCTATCATGAGAACTGGCTACCCTGGATTTGGAGAAGGCTGAGATTCTGAATAACTTCTTTGACTCAGTCTTCACTGGCAAAAGCTCTGACCACCCCGCCAAAGTCTTGGAAAGCAGATGTAGGGACTGTGAGAATGAAGACCTTGGGCCCACTGTAGGAGAGGATCTGGTTTGAGACCATCTGAAGAACCAGAATGTACACAAGTCCATGGGTCCTGATGAAATCTATCCACGGGTCCTGAAGGAGCTAAGCCACTGTCCATCACATTTGAAAGATCATGGCAGTCAGGTGAAGTTCCCAAAGACTGGAAAAAGGGAAATATAACCCCCATTTTCAAGAAGGGGAAAATGGATGACCCAGGGAATTACAGACCAGTCAGTCTCACCTCTATGCCTGGCAAAATCTTGGAGCAGATTCTGCTGGAAGGCATGCTAAGGCACATGAAAATCAACAAGGTGCTTGGTGACAGCCAGCATGGCTTCACTAAGGGGAAATCCTACCTCACCAATTTGGTGGCCTTCTATGATGGGGCTACAGAACTGATGGACAGGGGTAGAGCAGTTGATGTCATCTACCTGGACTTGTGCAAAGCGTTTGACACTGTCCCACACAACATCCTTGTCTCTAAACTGGAGAGACATCAATTTGATGGATGGACCACTCGGTGGATAAAGAACTGGCTGGATGGCCACACACAAATAGTTCTGGTCAATGGCTCAATGTTCAGCTGGAGACCAGTAACGAGTGGTGTCCCTCAGGGATCAGTGTTGGGACCATGTCAGTGACATGGACAGTGGGATTGAGTGTGCCCTCAGCAAGTTTGCCATTAACACCAAGCTGTGTGGTTCGGTTGACAGGCTGGAGGGAAGGAATGCCATCCAGAGGGACCTTGACACACTTGTGAGGTGGGCTGATGCCAACCTCATGAAGTTTAACCATGACAAGTACAAGGTCCTACACCTGGGTCAGAGCAATCCCAGGCACAGCTACAGGCTGGGCAGACAAGAGATTCAGAGCAGCCCTGCGGAGAAGGATTTGTGGGGGTGTTGGTCGATGAGTAAATGAACATGAGCCGGCTTCAGTGTGCACTTGCAGCCCAGAAAGCCAACCGTATCCTGGCTGCATCAAAAGGAGCGTGACCAGCAGGTCGAAGGCAGGTGATCCTGCCCCTTTACTCTGCTCTCATGAAACCTCACCTGGAGTACTGTGTGCAGTTCTGGTGTCCTCAGCATAAAAAGGACATGGAACTGTTGGAACAAGTCCAGAGGAGGGCCACAAGGATGATCAGGGGACTGGAGCACCTCCTGTATGAAGACAGGCTGAGGAAGTTGGGGCTGTTCAGCCTGGAGAAGAGAAAGCTGCATGGAGACCTCATAGCAGCCTTCCAGTATCTGGAAAGGGTGTGTAAGTATGCTGGAGAGGGACTCTTCATTAGGGACTGTAGTGATGGGACAAGGATAATAGGTTAAAACTTAACAGGGGAAGTTTAGATTGGATATAAGGAAGAAATTCTTTACTGTGATGGTGGTGAGGCACTGGAATGGGTTGCCCAGGGAGGTTGTGAATGCTCCATCCCTGGCAGTGTTCAAGGCCAGGTTGGACAGAGCCTTGGCTGAGATGGTTTGGTGTGAGGTGTCCCTGCCCATGGCAGGGGAGTTGGAACTAGGTGATGTTAAGGTCCTTTCCAACCCTAACCATTCTCTGATGCTATGATATATATGACTCTAGGTGCATTTCATTTATGAAATATTAAAGAAACTCTTTTTCTGTTCAAACATATGTTTGCTAAGCAAGATTTCACTCTGCAGAGGTTGAAATGAGAATGTTACATATTTGTCTCCTATCAGAATGGAAAAAGAAAGCTTTCAGTTTCTACCATTGGCTGCCCAGACAAAAACCAGGTTGCCAGAGTGCAGGCTAGGCAGCAGACCAATTGTGGAGCTGCTGTTGTGGAGTTGTGGAGCCTGGGAGCAGCTTTAGACTGTTCAAACAGATTATTGCAGAAAACTTTGCTCTAAAAATCTGGTGAAAAAGCCACTCTGCAAACAAGGGCCTTGGGTTAGCAATCTGTGTATGAGCCCCCATAGTAACTGAAAGAAGAGGGTTTTCTCCTGTAATAGAGTTAGTAGTTCTGAACAAATTTGTGGCAGGTGGTAAGAGGAGTGAAAGCAAGTGTTATCACAAACTCAGTGTTTTCTAGTTTGATACTCAAATGGATTTCAAATAAGTGTTGTTGTTTTGAAATTGTTGGCTGGGAAGCAGTTTGGAATGTGAGTACTGTACCAAATCAGACAGCTGTCCATCTGTCCTCTGGCTGCTGTCTCTGCTTCATGTATTTTTACTTTTGTTGGGTTTTTTTGGTTTGTTGTTTTTTTTAATAGAACCTACATTGCTTGTGGGAAAAGTGGAAAGAGAACTGCTAATCTTAGCCATGCTTTCTATCCACCTGATTTTAGTACATTGTAGGTTCAGAATAATAGGTTGTGGGTCAAAACCAATGGTTTCATCTTTCTATCTTCAGTCTTATGTTTTGAGGTTTTTTTATCTACAACATACACACTCTCACTGCAGACCCATCTGTAGTGATTATCAACTAATCCATGTCATATCTTTGGCTTACCAGATAAATCAAACCTGAGCTATGTTGCCTATAGCAAGAAATACCATTGCAATTATTCTGTTATCTCAGGAATATTCTAGAAAATATATTCTAAAACTTGCATTTTAAGTTTTATACTCTAATCACCTTCTCATAAGAACTGAAGCAGATATTTCTCTTCATTTTCATCTGCTGTGGAAGGAATGTGGCAAGAAAGGGATTGTCTCCGACTTAAACAGAACTATGTAATGTAAACTTACGGTTGCAGTATGGTTGCAGTTCTTAAGATCCTATGGAATTTTCTCTTGCATACAAATCTTCATGGATTTTTTACTTTGGATTTAGGTTGAAATTTTACATAGCAAGAGTTCTGACTATCTGACCTTTTCTATCAGAACATCTTCCTGAAATACTGTTTCCATTTTGCGAAACATATGGGCTGTAAATTAAGTCATGCACAATAACAAGAATGACGGGACTCTCTTCTTATCCATGTCTTGATTTTTAGCTTTGCTTATATTGCAGTTTGTTAACATTTTACTTTGTCTTCCTTGCTGCAACAGGGAGTGCTGTACATACACTGTAACTCCCTGTTGGTGGAAAAGTAGACTAGACCATACAGATGAATGCTAAACATGAGACACTGCTTGGATAGGAAAGCTACAGTGTAATTGTTGTGAAAATTATTATTTGAGCAATGGAACTAGGAATGAATGACACTTGAGTCTCAGGTAGTGTTCTAGAAACAGTCTCAGACTTGGCTGTTACAGGTGTTCAGACACATCAAACCAGAAGGTAAAGTTTGGCATGGACATTTATTTTAAAAGTAAAGAGATGGAAGCAAACATTTCAACTAGTAATACGCTAAATAATACACAGCCATTTTGTATTTATAAACCTGAAATCTGCCAAACATGCTGGGAGAATAATAGAGTTTATCTCCTAGGTGGGTTGGTTAACATTTAAGTCTTCAGTGTTGTGAAGATGAAACGTATTACATATCTTTAAGATATATATATAATGGCAGTTATTAAATACAAAACATTTTGTCTCAAATGAAAAATGGTAAAAAAAATGAAATTCAAAGTATGGAGGGGTTAAGAAATTTAGCACTGTAACAGCATACAGGTCAAGAGCCATGCTCAAAGAAATATTAGATGTATCAATAGTAGATAGACGGTAATGATATGAAATGTATAGAAATAAGCTTTTCCTCAGAAGATCTTTATACAGTTGATTGTTGTAAAATACGTGAGTGTAACAGCAAAAAAATCATGCTATATTTGTCTGGTTTTCTCCCCTGTAAGCTTTCAAAAATAATTTTTGGTTTAACTAAATCTGCTGATAGTCACGAGTGCACTAAGCAGAGGTTAGCTTGGGGGTTGAATCACTGACATGAGTTGTATTTGAATAATCTTTAAGGATGTTCTGTTCCAGTAGATTACCAAACTTGGTTGATACAATGAAAAGGCTGTCAATGACCTCTGATGACAACCACTGTAAAAGGTTTGGGGTTGTATATATTTATCTAAGGTAGATTAATATAATTGAGGCAGGTGTCAATGTAGTGCAAGGCATGACCGTTTGTAGCGCACAGAATAGAGATCTTTAGAAGCAGGTCTTTCTTGCAGTTTTGCATTTATCTGTTGTCATTAAAAAGGCTCTTTGTCCATGGGGCTGTCAATATTGTCAATATTGGAATTATTAGATATTTTATATTTATAATCTATATGCACATCCTTTCAGTGCCAGGAAAGCTGAAAGTAAATTGCCCAACTTTATATACCAGTGCTAGCACGACAAAATGCGTATTAAATCTCTTATCAGCAATATTTGCAGCACAAAATTAATGATTTTCCTTCTTGAGCAATTATATTCTATACGGAATATGTTTTCAGCACATGTTCTTGCATCACACACATTTCTTTGTTTTTTTCCTTAATCTGCATGTTTTCTGTCAATAGGTGCTGTTAGTAGTCAGATATTTGTATACATTTAAAATGTAGTATTTAATGCCACATTACATGCTACATCTATTTCTTCATTGGAAAATTGTCTGGCTCTGAGTATTAAATATGAATCTTTACTTAATGAAAACTCTTGTCTTTTTCATTCTTTTCTTCCCAGTGTGATCATTACTACAGTATTGTACCTTTCGGATGCCCTTCGTAAAAACTTCTTAAATGAAAACTTTGATTACAAGGTAAAGTAAATGTGTTCAACATGAGATAGTTGAAGTAGCTCCTACATCATCATGTGGGTTGATGGTTTATTATTAAACTTAGCTCCAGCATCTAAACAGCTACAACTTATCCTAAATCAGGAATTTCAAGTGGTCAGAGATTATTTTTTTTCTAAATGCAGGACTGACTTAAAAGTCTTAAAAAAAGCTATGGGTTGTTTTGGTTTTTTTTTTCCCCAATTTCTTTTTATTTTTCATTTTGTTATTTCAGGTTCTTTGTTAGACTACTTATTCAGGATTTTTGCATAGCCATTTTTTGGATTGTGGAAACTAATTTTCTTATTTATTATTACAGATTTGTCACAGAAAGGAAAATTATTCCATTTTTATTCAATGCAGATTTATAAAAAATATAGATTTGCATTTCTGTAATTTCTCTCAAGACCAATTAACATGCTGCATAATTAAAATTAGAACATTATGACACTGCATGGTGAATGTAGTTAAAGATGTTAGAGTACCTCATATAGTGAGAAACGGCACCTATGATAAACTGTGAGATACAGAATGATGCATCTAGGATTCAGATGAGAAGACCTAGGAATACATCTTAAAAGACCCATTCCCATGGAAACACGAATGAATATTCTGCCCAACAAAAAGACATTAGCCTAATTGCTTCTTCATAAAAAGTGCAGAGCTTCCTTCCTAGAGAAGATAGCAAGCTCCTGTTGACTTCCAGCAGAGCTGTGGATGCCTCTATGAAAATCGAGACTCCTGTTGGAGAAATTGCCAGGAATGCAGATTTATCTACTTGTCATAACTGAACATGAGGAAGCCTATCCTTTATGAAGTTCCAGAAGTTCAGGGGCTAAAACTGATATAAGAATTGCTTGTAGACAAGGTGTCTTATGTCCTTAAATTTGCTATCCTGCAAATAGGGCTTCCCATACACTTCTTTCTCCCTCCTACCATGAAGCATCTATATTGAGTTAAAATAATTAATATTAAATGATCTTTAAATTTCTCTTAAATCTTCTAAGTAGAAGATTCAACATCTGATTCATTAAGCATGTGCACAAAACATCTGTATATTTGCACTGTGTTAACAAAATCTGCCTTCGGTTTTGCCCAGTGAAGCCTGCAGTGAGACTTGCAAAGAATATTATAAAGTAGGACAGGCTGAAGAATGACAATTCTGTTATGTGATGACTTCTGAGGAGTCAGATTGTTTTGGGTTGTTTTTGTTTGTTTTGGATTTAAAGGCATAACTTTTTGTACTCTTGTCTTTAAAAATGCCCAAAATGTTTCAATGGTTTTAAGGTTTTCTGATTTGGAGGGATGAAAAAAATTATCTGGAACTCTCAAACTGTTACATTTAAGAGATGTAGAATATGTAAAACAGATGTATTTCTGATAAATATTGCGGGGTTGGTGAAAAATATATTTCAATGCAAGGTAATTTAGTCAAAAACAGTTGAGTAACTCGTTAGTTGAGACTGAAACAAATGATATGATTTGAAAATGTGCATCTTGAGTGGTGATAAAAAGATAGTACTGAGAAAATGAAATAACCAAATGCCATGTGCTTATTGTAGATATGGGATTCCTACTTTTTTCTTGCTGTCATTTTTATAAACCAGTTATGTCTGCAACTGGAGATGTTCACACCTTCCAAGAAGAAAAAGGTTTTAGAAAAGTAAGTACTGCTGTCAGCTTCTAGAAATCTGTACTAGATTAAACAATTTCCAAAATGTAAGACGTAAGAGGTTGCAAAAAGGCCTACCGAAAATATAACAATAACAGCATTTCCACTGTCTACGAGGGGAGTTGGTTCTGGCCCTTTGTATAGGTCTTCAGAGCTGATAGCCTTTGTAGATGTGTCCAAATTGGTTCAGATACTGGTACAAAAATATCGATAGGGTAGCAGTGGTAACACTAATTTCCAATTCTTGCATAAGTTGATTCACACTGGCTCAGGTGTTTCTGCCAAGCACAGCACTGTTGTCTGTATGAGTTAATTGTATTTCTTTAAGCTAGAGCAAAGCTATTTGTTTTCATATTACTGCAAAAAAAAAGATTTTGCTTCACAGCTGTTACTGATGTATAGCATTGAGAAAGAACCAATACTTTTGACAATATTGCAAACAAGCTTGGGTTTAGGAATCTGGTTTTAGCTTGGTACCATGGAAGGAGCAAAAACTTGGAAGAAATCATCACTTGCAGAGTCGTTTGGAACCTCAAATGAGACATTTCATTTAACAATGTCACGGAACGATATATGAACTTGATTTTCTTAAATGATCTTTCACTGGTTTAATACATTGCAGATACGGTGACATGCGGGTAACAATGGGATGTGAAATCTTCAGCATGTGGCAAAATTTAGGTAAGTAATTAAACACATCATCATAAGCTCGTAAAATGCAAACCAGTTATTACTTCTTATCTGTTAAATACACTTGCCAGTGATAGAGTTGATAACTACATTCACATGAAGTCTTGATTAAGGTTAGGAAAACCCTAGGCATCTGTAGCTCCCTTCTTTATAGCAAAACTCAGCTTTCTGAGCCTTGATACAAACCTTTCTGAACCTTGATCTGATCTATCCCTATTTCTTCAGAGAGAACTGAAAGAATGCCATCAGAGAAAATTAAAAAAGAAATTACTGCTCTTGCTGGGCAGAATTATTATGCCTGGAAATATACTTATGTTCACAATTTTAGATCTGTTGCCAGACAGTTTAAGGAACAGACATATATCTTAATTCTGAAGCTCTCTTGAGATACTGGATTTGCATCAAATCTTCCCCTGAGTCCTAGTTGCACTGAAATATAAAGGCATAAGCAAATCAGTGACTGATGTATAAATGACACATTGGACAACATGAGAAAAACACATGCTTGGATATAAAGTTATGAACATTTTTATATTTATAAGCAATAACCATGCAAACTGTTTGAAAGTATGAACATCAGAGAAATGCAGTTAAAAGTTGTTTGCATAGAAAAATAAAAGCTGAGGAGAAGATTTGGACAATACATTTGTCATCTTTGTATTTCAATTCAATCAATAGTTCACTTCATTAAAGGGCTCATTAAAGATATAAATACCGTTGGTGGTTAATGAGATACTGTCATCTCAATTCCATCCTTTCCCCAGCAAGATATGTAGTTGTAAAAAACTGATCTTTCTGATCAGCTTGTACTAGAAAGAGAAATGTTCAAAATAAGAAATACTTGCTTATTAATAGCTTGTTAACATTTGTTGTGTGGCACATTTTACTTGTTTACAGTATTTAGTATTGCTTACTCACTCTTAAGGCATCCCTCTCAATTATTTGGGTACATGATAGGTATTTCTAAACTGGTATAGCAAGGACTCACTCCTGCATGCTAGGATAAGACAGTAATGTGCATCATCTCCCCACTCATGTTGTTTTCTGCTGAATGGAAACCTGGTATACAGGCAAGGAGGGAATCATGATGCCTTTAGAAGAGAAGAGTTTTGTGGGGTACAATATGGAGTTCATCGGGTAATGTGTTCAATTATAAACTGGATTCAGGATATTTCATATAATTGGTATTACACTAGTCAGTATTTTAAGTTGTAAGCCTTAATCCTTGTACAGTCACCTTGCTTTCATATGGATATGCATCCCAGGATGTTTCCAGCAAAGGGAGTTCTGGTTTTCCTTTGTGCAGAGATACCAGAGTATCAAGCAAGGGTGACTGCCCACTGGCATATCCAGAGGTACACTGGACTTAAATTGGAAAGCTTGGAAAGTCAGTGCACTAACTACAGAAGTTAGTTTTCTGCTAAGTAGAATATGGTCAGTTAATAGAAGATGTTTTAGCACTGATTTTAAAGCAGGTTGTTTTGAGAACAGCTGAGTCACATCTTCTGTTTCCTGCAGTAAAAACAGGTATTTCCATTTCTGTACTCGCAAAACTAAAGATAGGTAAAAATCAAAATACATAACTCTTTTTGATGAGCAAAGGATATCAGATTGTTAACTCTTTTGTAAACACAAGAATGGAGAGCTTAGAAACCAACCCATGCCTGTGAAAAATAAGTGAAATGCCCAAAGAGTGCTTTGTCTCTCTTTGTTCTCCTTCTGGAAGACTAACTTGGGATACAGGTAACCGTCACTCCTGAAATCAGTATTATATAATAAAATCTGACAAGTTATGTCGGCCTTGTCTTGTATAGTCTGCAGCTTTTCACTTTTTTGGTCTTAAGAAGTAGCCCATGCTGTGATAGGTGTGAGATAAATCAACATTTAGTGTGCTGTCTTTTAAAATTCTTCAGATAGTATTTGGATCGCTTGATGGCTCGCAGGACACCCAATTCCCATTCAAGTTCATGTTCATTTTCATTTTAGGGGAACACAAGCTTCACTTTATTCCAGCATTGATTGGCCCCTTCCTGGAAGTGACCTTGATCCCTCAGCCAGACTTGAGGAATGTAATGATTCCCATTTTCCACGACATGATGGACTGGGAGCAAAGGCGAAGTGGCAACTTTAAACAGGTACTGTATGTGAAGCTGTTTATAAAACAGGACTGAAATTCAAGCAGTTCAGAGAGGACTGGTCCTGACCATTGGTGGCGGAGGGTGGAGAAGGTACCTGTTGGAGAGGGATCACCGTGGTTTTTCCTTTTTACTCTCTGCTGGGGTAGTAGGATTCTCCAATTAATGGTATCACGTTAGTAATGTAAGATGAGGGATAAAATCTGTGGTCTGCTGAAGTGAATAAGCAAGACTTGAGTTATCTTCAAACAAGGCTGATTTCATTGTGGTGGTTTTTCATCTCTGCTTTATAGCAGTACAGACTACTGGTTAGGCAGGATTCAACTAACTTCCCTTCTGGCTAGTATGAAAAAAGATAAGATGGTCTTTCTGAGGAACATCCTTCTGTAAGGAGCCAAGTATTCATGTTGCTCAGACACCTTCTTAACGGGCTAGGAAGGAACAACCAAGTGTGTGCCATCTGCTTCTGCAGCTCCCACTCAGTTCTTTCAGACTGCCTCAAACCATTACTTAGTACCCTCCTCCCTGCTGCTTCAAATGAAGGAAAGCAGAAGTATCTGAATTACTCCTAGGCAATCATAATGCTTAGGGTGGGAGCTGTGACTGAGACACAAAACAAACTATTAAGAACAGAAGAGTGCATGTGATGTAAGGAGGTAGCTTTCCACTATCAATATATAAGGTTATAGTTAAAAATCACTATAGAACTGTTAACAAGGAGTGAGAAGGAAAAAATCCACTTGTTCAGCATCTCTGTGTTTTCAGCTTCGGTTTAAATGGAAATTGTAATAGATTTATTCTCTAATAAAATATCCTGACAACAGCTTGCTTTCTTTTCTAGATTTGTGGTTGCTAATATATTACTGCTAAAAAGGAGGCTTGAAATATTAAGGCAGTGTAGCCTAACCTCTATATTTTTCATAATCAGTACACTTAAAAACATGTTGAGGGAGTCATTAGCTACCAGCTATGTACTATAAGTTTCTTTGATAGTTAATATGTAAGTCCAGCAAATTGGATTTCTAACCAAATTCACTGTCAGGTAAGAAAGGTTGGGAAGGTAAGCCTGAGCCCTCAAGTGTGCTGAACAGCACAGACATTTCTAAGAATTATTTTATAAAGGGTGGTGTGCAGGTCAGAAAAGATGATATTTTTATTGAAGTCTAAGAAAATGCCTTGTGCTTACAGCCCTGCAGTGAGAATTCAGGCAATTTATTTGGGCTGTGTGCTTTTTGTCTGACTCCATAAATAGATAGCTGCCTTAGCAGCAGCAAACGCTACTCAGCCTGTAGTTTTAAAGTCACGTTGCCCAATTTAAATTAGCTCCCTCCCTCAAAAAAAAAAAAAAAAAAAAATACCCACCACCAAAAAAAGAAAACCCCACAAACCTGGGGAATGGCAACAGCTTCAAAGAGATGAAGTGACTTATCGTCAGATTTACATGATGGAGGAGTAATTTTAAGACAGGCATTTAGCAAAGTCACTTACATAAAAACAAATCTCTCATCAAAAGCAAAAGAAGCTGTTTACACCACACTTATATGTTGCAGGTGGAAGCAAAACTGATTGACAAACTGGACAGCCTAATGTCGGAAGGTAAAGGTGACGAAACATACCGAGAGCTCTTCAACAGTATGTGAGTAATATGTTTATCTTACGCTAATTCCTTGAGTTTGGTTGCTTGTGTGAGATGCTAATGTCATTGTAGAGAAGTAATGCTTAAAACAGTTGTGAATCTTGTTCTTTTTTTTTTCTTTTTCTGAAAATCTGAGGACTAAAACATTTTATGTTGGTTTATGGCATCTGTAAAGCCTGTCTGTACTTCTTGCATACTGCTATAATTGGGAAAGACTTAAATCTGTTTTATCACAGAACATTCTCTTTTTCTACCTACTAATTTTAAAATCAGAAAAGCCAAAAATGTTTCATAGTTGCATAGGGGGTGCAGGTAGATCTCAAATGGAGCATTTTGCAAACAAGGCATGAGAATTCAGCAAAAAGGTGTTTAATAAGTAATTTTCTATTTCCAGAAACTTGTACTCATCTGTGTAATGTCACTTGTTGATTTCTTGACTAATGTAAACAATTTTATTTATTCTGATACAATTGTTTCTTATAATTTTCTTTTATAAATTACTTCTTAAGCTTTTGGTATATTTTAATAAATGATATAGGACTGAGATCTAATAGAAAAAGCTAATAATAAGGTTGCTCTTAAGTTATCCTATTGACTGAAATAAATGAATGTCACAGAGCACAGGTACAAAATAACTAACTGAGCTCTGTCTCTGCTGTTCCTCAGAACTCAGTTTTACCCAAGTGGAAGATTCCACTTATTTTTGGTGTGTTTAGTATGAGATGAGTTGTTCCTCTTCAGGATTCCTAGCTGTATATTCTTCAGTAGTATTAAACACATGATCTTTTTCTTATATGGCTTCTTAACTACTCCTTCTTCCTTAAGTATTACTTTTAGCTCTCTTGTCTTTGCTTAAATAACAACATTCAGATCTCAGTGTCTGTGAATAGCAAATGTATAATAATCTGTAACTGTATTGAGGTGAAAAAAAGAGAGCTTCTAAATGTTTATCATTTGCAGAAGGAAAAACGTGTAGAGAGATTAGGCAGAATATTACAGAAATGGATGAATAATGTCAAACAGCACAGTATGCTAAAGCAAAACTTGTAATTATTCATGTTATTTTTCATAATCTGAGTAAAGATAATAAAAGGCAAGATGAGTTCAATATTTTAATAAAACAGTATTTTAACCTCAAAATTAAGTCATTAAGAGAAAAGCTCTAATTATAAAATGAAGTCTAAATGCATTCTCCTATGCAAAATACATCAGAATGTCTGTCACTGAAATAACTTAAAATTCTATAAGGAAGCATAATGGTATGAAATACAGTTCCGATTTTCTTTTGTGGTTTTGAGTTAGATTTAAACTGGGGGGGTGTTAAACAAGATACAGTGGAAAATGGTGAGAGCCTTTTAGAAATCTAAATGCTGAAGACATAATCATAGTAATTTAAATTGCAAAATGTCTCACAGCATCAGTAAACTTGTTGTTTCTGTTCTGGTACAACAGAAGTTAAAACTAAACTCTGGGAAATTTCAGAGTAACTGCTCAAGTTCACTTCCAGCTTAAGAAAAATTAGTATTTATCACTAGTTTTATATCTGATTTTGATTTGACTTCGCACGTTAACACCTCTCAGGAGGAAAGCTTGAAGAAGATATTACTCTAAAATGGAGGATAGCATAGTGTTCTAGGATATATGAAGGAAAATTATTAAAATGAGATGGACAGTCTAGGGAGCTGAGTGCAAGGGACAGGGTCAGATTTCTTTTACTTTCTGCCATGGATAATTTAAAATGAGCAATATTAGAGCATCTTTAGATAGTAACAGTGACAGAGATGTGGTATCTACCCAAGGACTGTGAATCAGTAATATAATTTTACAGCAAACAGTGGTTTTGTAGTCTGTAATGAAACAATATTACCTGATCTTTCTGAAGATTTGGCGTGGTTGGTTTTGATAGGTACAGTTGAGAGCCAAGGGGATGCACACTTCTGCTTTGGAGCCAGTCTAGTAACTGCAGTGGGTGTGACACTTTCAGGTTTTGTCATGCTTTTTGTTTATTTTGTCTGAATCAAAAAATGAATTTAAATCTCTTAACTCCCACATTAACTGCTTTTTTTTTTTCTAGAGACAATCTGTTTTCAAGGACAAATTATAAGCATCTCTGGACATACCTAAAATATTATGTGCTTAGAATTTACTGCTTATAATAGAATTATCTTTATCTAAATGAAAAGACGTAGTGAAAGTAGGGAGAAGATGACTGCTGTTTGTTTTGAATCAATGTCTTTCTAGGGACTTGGATGTGACAACTCAGTGATTAGCTCCTAATGTCATTTGAAGAGCTGCAAAGCATGGAGTAGTGAACATTTTGCTATCATGAAAAACTAGATGTTGTAATTGGCACCCAGTGTAATCATGGTATGAAAGGTGTCCTGATCTACATTTACACTCTAAGACTGCAGTTGAATTCCTAAGTTAATTAGCACAGGTAAAAAAAATGATTTCACTTTATTAAACAGTTGGTGGTTAGATACAGAGATATACTCCATTAGCTTCTAAATCCGACGGATGCTACCCATTTATTACTTCTGTAGCTGTGTTCCAGTTTGGCCTAACACAATCCATTTCAGGCTTGCAGGTTAGGTAGCCACGTTATCGAAGCATAAAACCTGTGCTAGTGAAGGGGGCCTGAAGATGAGGCTTCTCTTGGGGGAAATTGGAACTGATATTCAAGCTGAGCAGGCATTTAATATCAAGCTATGCAAATTTGTGGGTGATTTCTGTAGCCATGAAGCTACCACATGAAAAGTGATGACTGCTACCTCTCCCATGTCTTCAGTCTTCTTAATTTCTTCCCTCAATTGCATGGCTGAATTCAGCACTGCCCAGTCCATTAGACTCTGTCTAGACTGGTTCCTTTTGAATATTTTTGTGGGGTTTGAGTACTATATCTTTGTTATAACCATGTTATAACTATGAGGAAGTTGAGGGATATATTTGAGTAACTCAGTCTGAGTGTTTGCTCTGTGCATTGTGATGAAAGATGTATGGCAGAGGGGGGAGGCACGCATCACAAGGCAAGTCACAAAATTGTTCAACTGACGACATTGATGTCAGTTTGAATAAGTACTTTGAATGTATCTACACAACCCATTTGTAGAGCTTGTATGCTTATAATGAATATGCCAGTACATTTATAAAGAACGTGCATTAGTCAAATATAGATGAAACCCATCTGGTTTAAAAAACATGTCAGACTTCTGCTGTTTTTCTACAACAGGTAATTATTTTGATGAATTTAGGTTGAAATGTTTCTGTTTAACACAGGGTTGAAAAGCAGTAGAAAGGAAAAATCGGTGCAGTAATCACTGCTTAATAATGTAACAGGCTCTACTCTTACTTCTTCTTAGATACAAAAACTTGTATTGAAAGGAACATAAAGGTCTAAAAGTTAATTAAGTTAGCCTGTGTATTCTGCATGGAAAGCAGAGATGCCAGATTAGTGCTTTATCCTCTGGTTAGGCACGGCCTTGCCATCTGTCTATGCTAGCAATTGACAGGTAGCCAGTCTCTGAATGTGAGGGAAATACTCTGATTGCCTCCTAAAGAGAAGTGAGTCTAAGATCGATATAAGGGTGCAAATGAAGATCAATGCTTCCTATTGCTTCCTGCAGAACACAGCTTCATTTAGGTTGAATTAGTTTGGAGAACTGCATTTGTGACATCCGCCTGTACGTAAGGAGCTGAACAGAGCTGGAGTGTATAGCTAGTGCAGTTGGCATGTAGGAGTTATTGGGCACTGTTATATGTTTGGTAAAATTTGGATGTAGGAGTTTTATGGGACTGAACATGCTCAGTATAGATGAAGGTCAGTGGAGCTGACAGCTTGCCCACTGCAGACAGAAGGTTTGTAGATGCTATTAACGACTCTTTAAAAAGCTCTAAGCATATGGATGTGGCAATTTTCAGACACATCTAAGTAAACCATACCTGAGTTCATTTTCAAGGAGACTGCTAAAATATCTCTATGGGCATGTCAGTCATCTGAAGTCCTGCCCCAAAGCATAAAAGTAACACAGCTCTGTAGATAAATATTTCTTTGTTCATCCTCAGAGAGGAAACGTGGGAAAATCATGGCCAAGTGATTACTATTTAATAAACTTAAGCAGTGAAATTCAAAGGCCTTTGACGGAAAGAAATATGAAGTGTAATTTTATTGATGGCTCCACTTAGAACATCGTTTTGAAATCTTTTCACTTCACTGTGTAATCAGCATTTCCATTAGTGTAAGAACTCAACACAACGGTTTTTAATAAAGAATCTTATGACAATTTAAGCTAATGGAATTTCTAATATGCATGACAGTATGTTCTCAGAAGGAAAAAATAAGCGAAGAGGGGAAATAATTTTACTAAAATCCCTTCTTTTTGCATACTGAAGAGGAGAGGAGAAGAAAGGAGGGAAGAAAAATCTTTGTTAAAAAAATTGAGGTCTCATTGAGAAGGCATATTGACTTGATAAATATTCTTTTCTAGGTACATCTTTATAGTCCCCATTTTCTGATGTATCAGCATAAAATTAAGATATATATTTTATGGGAGAGTTCTGTTAATTCCTTGGGATATTAATATATTCTGAAAATTAGGTGTTTGATATATTTTAACCTGATGCAGCTAATATAAAAATCATTTGTTTTGTCAATGCTTCCTGGACTAGAATTCCACTTTTTGGTCCTTATCCTAGGTAAGACAATGTTTGCAAATTGTGCTTCTTGGGAGGGTGTTTGTAAAAGAAAATCTAACTATCGAAGATGTTGCTAAGGTATTAAGGTACTGGTAAAAACAGAGTGGTTGTCATAGTGACAGTTAAAAATAAGCAGTGAAATTGTTCTGGCTTCTCTTTTTTTCCAGTTTACTGAAGAAAATTGAGCGGGAAACATGGAGGGAAAGTGGCGTTTCGTTAATTGCCACTGTGACTCGCCTCATGGAGAGGCTACTGGATTACAGGTGAGGGATTATCATGGTTTATAAATAGGGTTGCCATCTTTGAAGTATTAGAAGGCAAATATGGTGACCTTGTGGGAACAGCGACTACACATGGACACATCAACTGTATGTGCTCAGGATCTCGGGCAGCAGCTGCTTAGTCAAGAGGTAAATTAGACAAGCAGGCTGAAAATTAATGAAGTAGCCTTCCCGTAGTATGAAAATCCAGTGACGTGCACAAGTTTTCTGTCAAGGAATATAGGAGTTTTGCCAGTAGGTTAGTGACTCAGGTCTGTCTGAAGGCACAGAGCTCAATGCTAATCACCTGACAATTTTTTTACACAGTATGTAAAATTCTTATCACTATGTCAATCATGCTTAGTTGCAGTGTCAGCCAGCATAGCAAGTATGTATACAAAGGATATCTGGGTGAGGAGCTCACATCTGACTGTACCACATGAACAAAGAAGAGGGAAATGAGAGACACATACTCTCTTTCAGGAGTAGGAGACTAAAAGGGATTTTCTGAATTGGTTGTGAAGTCAATGAAGAAACTTCAGTTTTTAGTGTAGTCCTCCTTACCACCATCAGTTGTAGCATGTCCTAGAGCTTAGGTGTTAGCTTGTTTGCCCTGATTCCATAGGGACACATGGTGAGACCTAGTACTCCACTTGCTGTTGTCACTGGCAGTTTGAAAAGAAAGCTATTTCATCAACAAAGAAACCTAGACAGTGCTAGAAACCTGACAGTGCTATTCCCCTTCAGAGAACTGGGAAACCCTTCAGGGAGTTGCGTTAAAACCCCCAGGGCTCTCAATCTTTAGAAACAATTGTTTATACTGTAGTTATGAAAGTATTGGGGGATAATGGTTTAGCTCATGTATGCAAGAATGTGTTAAAGTTACATTTCTTCTAGTGACTGCATGGTGATGTCTGCCTGTTGTTTGTTTTACTCCAGCATGGTTATATACTCTCTTACTCTGTGTGATAATCAAGCTCTGCATGTTTGAGAGGAAGAATTAATGCTGAAATTCCATAAACGCTTTAGGTGTACACTGTCTCTGAAGAAAGCAAACTCATCCCTACTCATTCCTCATTCACATCGCTCCCTTGTGCTAACAGAAGCGTTTGTGCTGCACTGTGGTAGTCTGACTGATATGAGCTAAAAATACCTCAGCAAAAGATGCTGCCTAACCTCTGTCTTTCCCTGAGGTTTGTTCGGGCAGCAGTGCAGGATTGGGAATGAGTGCCTGAGAGCAGGCGGGGAGCAGGACTGCCTCTTCTGGCAGTCATGCTGGCTTCTGCTGGCATGATTTCAGCCCAAGGTATGAAGAAACCAAATAATCTCCAGCTGTCACCCAGCGAATCAATGACAGAGCCAGAAAAGAAACATTGACTTCCTTGATGATTGAGTTATTCCATGTCCTAGAAAAGGAGGCATTAAATCCCTTACACACCTGGGTCAGCTGTTCATCCAAATGCATCATGTCCATCAGCTTGCTGAACCAAATATGGAGTGTGCTTCACTAAGAGGATAAAAGTGATTCCTTTTGACTTTCATTACTTTCTGTTTTAGGGACTGCATGAAAATGGGAGAAGTGGACGGCAAAAAGATTGGCTGCACTGTTAGCCTTTTGGTTTGTATAAAACTTTCATTTCAGTTGAACATTTTCTAACGTACAGTCACACATTCGAATAGGACATACCTTGCTTCTTGATGCAGTTTGAGTGGAAGTTGACAAAATAATACTAATTTTAAGATCACTGAAATTGATACAGTGGGGAGTTAGTTTTCAGTGGCATATTACAATTGGGCTTTAAGTGATCTCTAATACTGCTTTATTCAGTTTTCCCTCTCTTCCTACCAGATAAATTTCACCAAAGTGTTATTTCCCAAGTTTAATCAGTCTCTAAATTCATAGAAATATGCCTTTCCTCCTCCAAACTCAAGAAAACGTACATGATTTCTACTGGTTTCTTTCTCCTCTTGTCATGTTATCATCATTACAACAAACCAACAGTGCAAATTCATAGTATGAAAAAAGATTAAAATTTTGTTTACAAGATGAATTTTGGTTTCAGGCTAGTTTCCACTGACAAATCTGTTGACTTTCGTTAACCTTGGAAAGTTTCCATTTTTATGGTGAATGTTTTGGAAAGTTATATTTTTAGCCAGGGGTAAAAACAGAATAAGCTGACTTGCAATTCTGCATTTTTGACGTCAGTGAAACAATTTGGTGTCACTTCTAAGTAGCAGTTATACATAAGAGAATAAAGGATTTCTTCAGTAGGAAAATGGTGCTCTAGAAATAGGGATGATGTTTACTACATAGCCATAGAGCAGCTGGCTTTCTGTCAAAATATCTGGCATGATCTGAATTCTGTAAAACACCTGGATTATTTTTATCCTATCCCCAAGGAGCTTTTAAACTACTGTTAGCAAATCATCCAAAATTTGCACAAAAATGAAATGCAAATATTTTAAAACCTCAAATGATCATAATACTTTTTAATTGGATTTTCATTGACTTGTAGAAGCTAAAGAAGGTTTCATATACTAATTATTTTCAGACAAATTTTAATACTATTTGCATGCCAGAGCAACATGCGAATTTTAGCGAATGCTAATTTTTTGAGAAGAAAATCTCAATTGCAGAAAGAGCACACAAATTTTAAGACATTTGCTCGCACATATGATGAACTGGTTGTCATCTCAAAAGATGTTTCATGCAACGAGTAATTAGGAGAATGTATGATGTTAAAATCATTTGAAGTCCAGAGAAGGAAGCAATATTTCATTTTTCACCACTACTTTGAATGTATTCTGACTTCCAAAGATAAGAGGACACGTTGGCATGAAAAGAGAATTTTTACATTGTTTTGCCATAGATGTATATGCATTTCTTCCAGAAAATAGAATTGTTCAAGTTAACCAAGTTAACAAATTAACTGGAATTGTGCTACATTATGAAATATGCAGAAGGGGTATGCACCAGCAACAATACCTTAGATGAAAGGAAAAGGTAGGAACTTTTTCCTACTCTCCCCACTCTCTGGATCATCTGAGGTAATTTCACATTAGTAATCCTTGTTTGGAAAAGCTTGTTTAAGAGATATCTAATGGAGTTAGTTCCTTATGTATAAGAATCACCTAACTCCAATTTGAAAGTTGAATTCCTAATGAAAGAACTTGGCCATCACAAAGCTGTGCAAAAGCATTGAAAGTGTATTGAATAACTTTTGGTAACTCACTGAGGAGTTTTTCTCAGGCAACTCTGGGCCTCATTGGGGTTTGATATTTCATGGATATTTCAGGTCATATTAATTTAAAACTGTGTCTTTTTAGAAAGAGGATGTTTCCTGTGATACCCTATGATGGTATACGACAGCATGTCATTGAAGTAGAACATGTCCACATTGCCTGTGTTCAAGTTGTTTTTTTCTGGGGAAAGCGAAGTCTAAATTACCGAAGTCTACCTTTCACATCATGTCCCCTTTTGAAGACTACATCTGTTCTATTTCATGTCTTGAAATAGTTGAAAAATCACATGACACCTTTGTTAGCACTATACATTTCCTCAGCTGTGACTTGGTTGCCTTGCTGTGGTCTGCCTTACAGACCAGCTGGACACTGGCAGAGCTTCAGAGAAGATTTCTGTAGTTTAGACTTGTGTCAAGCGCTGAAGCCTTTAGTGCTTAGGGGTAAGAGCCAAGAAGTCTAGTACTGCAGTTCAATGCCGTATTTTGTCTGAATATTTATTGCTGCAATTCTGTATTGTAGATTATGCCTTTTTTTCAGACAAGTAAATATGAACATACAAACAGATATTTTCTCTTCTAAAGAGAAATATCTGTTCCTGATCTACACCTTGTGAGAGGAAAAGAGAAGTCTTAGAAAGGCAGATGGTGGCCTAAGGGCTGCACGTCATTACAGAGCTATTGTTGTACAGTCATTTTTTCAAGTCAGTTAAAAAAATTACTTTCTCTATAAATTTTGTATTTGTATGTTTTCATAATGTTCCTCCCAACTTTCTCTTTGATAACTCAGTTTAGAAAACAGTGGCACAGAATAAGAATACTGTAAAACAGGGGGGAATGCTGGCCACTTGCTTAGAGTTCAAAATAGCAAGTGATTGAAATAATAGAAATTCTTAATTGCTCATGAGGACTAGTGCTAGATTCTTCTATCCTATAAATTTTCATTAAACAAAGGAGATTATCCTGAACATTAAGTATGGCTAGCACAGGGATTGCATGTCCATAGTGAGTATGGCAATACTTGTGAACAGTGCTACAGGGTTGTGCTCCTCTCCCTGTAACTTTTCCATAGTTTGTTTTAGGGCTTGTAGATAAATAATGCATGTTTTGAACTAAGAGTTTTGATGTTACATTCTATATTTTATTCATGTAACAACAAATAGCAGTTATACATTCAGAAATCTTTACCCACTGCTAGAAATATTTCCTGGCTATCACTTTAGAGCGCAACATTATGTATTTAAATTATGCAATGCAATATTTATCCATCAGTTACCAGTTCTCAGCATCAGTTAGGACTGAAGAAATCATGGTTTTCATTTGGGATTATGTTGTTTACAGTACTGAATAGTTCTTCATAAAGCCACCAAAGTCCTTCTGGAATTTTGCTATGACAGAAGGAAGAGCAGACATAGTAGATAGTAGATTTTTTTTTTTTTTAATATGAATACCAAAGTCAGAGGGCTGTTGATGTTTTAAAATCAACATACAGCTTTGCAAGATGTTAAATGGCCTAAGTAAAGATGTATGGCTGTAGTTTTTGAACGGATTAGTATTTGTTAAGAAAGAACAGTCAGATTTCAGCTCTGTCAGGTATCAGGTTCTTCCTCTTACGTTCTATCAGAATTTAAATAAAAAGCCATTCAAAAGCATGTTGACTTATCTCCTGAAAATTTAATGTTATGTTTACTATTTCTTACTGTATTACTGCAGTTGTGTAATGACTTTGTACATGTGAAACCTTCAAATCTATGCATGTATTTCTGAAGTGTTAAGTTTGAAGTCTTTTGTTTGCAACCATTATCATATATTTACTATGTCATTACAAAATTCGATTTTATTACAGAATTTTTACAAGACTGAACTGAACAAGGAAGAGATGTATATTCGCTATATTCATAAACTCTATGACCTACATCTGAAAGCACAAAACTTCACAGGTAATTGTGTACAAACTAGAAAAAGATATTTAGGACTGGTCTATCCTTCACAGTCTTTTACAAACCCGTAAGCTGTATGTATCCTCAGTCTGAACATACCAACCCAGGCAAAAAGCTGAGTATCCTTACCCAATTAAATCTCTCTCAAAATACGGCTTTTTTTCAGCCCCAGAACTACTATTTGCTGTGCCATGTTGAATGTAAATGACTACTATTGACATGCACTAGCAATGAATGTGTGATACGGTCATTCTTCACCCAAGAGGAATAAAGTTTAGAGGAAGTTTTTGTGAGTCCATTTGGTAGTATCTGAGTATATATAAATTTTGTAATGCTGCTGGTTAGCTTTTTGGTGTGCTGTTTCGACACAGCTCTGTTTCAGCACCTCACTTTTAGGTTAAAAAAGGAAAGAAAGAAAGACCATTTCTTTCTGAAATCACTTACTAATGATGAAAGAGACACTAAAACGTGTAACAAATATAGTTCTTTGCTGACTTCTTTCTGAATCTTCATGTACCACATTTGCAGTATTATTGTCCAGGATTTCTCAATGCAAATTTAGTGCCAGGTCAGGCCATTATCTTTTAAATTAGGAAATAAGAATTTATTGTGCTTGGTTGTTGTTTATGCAACATAATGAGCAGTTCATTTGCACTATATGCCATCAATAAATGCTGGAGAATATAAAATCTCTATCTCTTTAAATTAAATAGTCTTTGGTTGTCAAAATATTTCACTGATGTTATAATACCTCCACCTTTTCTCCAGGGTTTGCAATTGCAGCTGCATATGTTTAGATTCTCTCCAGAATTTTTTCCTTCTTAAAAGCGGATTTGTTGGCTGGGGGGTCACTAGTAAACTGGCTACAGGTGCTTACTGCCACAGCAAATTTCCTTATGCTTTTTACTATCTATAGAAAAGATCCTTCCTTGAATTTTCTGCAGTCTGTTTGCAGTCCATGGGTTTAAAGTGTAAACTAGATAATAGGATATATTGAGATGATACTTTAATTTCCTCATGTGACCTGGCAGTAGTGAGTCACAAGAGAATTTAGATTATCAAACAATATCTTTGCCACAGCTGGCTTTTGTGCCAAACTGTTAATTTCCTGATTTTACATAACAAATCTTAGTAACTCTTTAAGCAATGTTGAGTTCCCTTTACACATTGGCTGATTAGCATGTGTTGAATTTATCTTCAGCAGTGAAATGAACTGGATTTTTTTTTTAAACTCTTTTGCCATCTGTTCTTATTTAAACAGTATTTTGCTCAAAAATGATTTCACAGACTTTGTTGTATTTCCTGTGTATTTATTATTAAAATATGTGATTTTTGCATTCTTTACTGTGGTAGATTCCACTACTTTTGATTTTTGTTTGGGTTTCTTTTGCCATGAGAGATTTAAGGAAGGATTGTCTCACACCCATGACAATGTGATATTGACGGTCTTTCCACTAGAAAACAGACTTAGGCAGTCCATCGGTTGCCTTATTAATCTGTGACAACACACAGACCTTTTGTAGATCATCTGATCTAATGTACATGGGAGTAGGCAAAGAAGTTCAGTGCTTCAGCAGCATTCCTGCATGATTCACCATTGAGTTTACTGACTTCATAGTTTCATTCTAGGGATGAAGCCAGCTAGCCCTTAAAACAGTTTTTCCTTCCTTTCATAGTATGATTTACAGGCTGTTTCTAGTAATCCTCTGTTAAAAAAAAATGAACCAAAACAAAACAAACTCAAAACAGAACAAAAAAAAAAATCCTTTATAACACAAAACATCCTTTCAAATCTTTCTTTACACTGCATTCAGTTACACCTACAAATATAACTATCTTGAGGCTGTAGCACATAAATGCACTGTTCCTTTTTGTGTCCCCTCAATCACCAGAGAAATGTAATGAGATTGTCTTTGTATCTATCCATCTTAGAAATGTTTAGGTTTTTTGAACCTTTCCTGTATAAATTTACTTTTCTACAATGTGAGTCAACCCTGTTTATCCCTTTTTGCTGTTTTCCTGCACAGCCAATTGATACAGACGTCTCTCAGAGGTACCCGTATGTTGTTTGCTGTGCTGGCCACTTCCAGACCTAGGATGCTGGGTAGAGGGACCCATGTACATGTGATCCCTCAGGTCCCTCAGGCCTTTCATCCAGTATGGCCATTCTTATTTTAGAAACTTTCTTTATACATTTATGATAACTGTAAAAAAACCAAACAAAACAACCCTATTTGTGTGGCAGACAAAATTTGTTAAAACAAAGGACTTGTATGAAAAGTTAAAAAGGAAGGCTCATAGTGAGTTATCTTGACATGTACTTATGCTTTACTATCTTTTGCTTATGATTTTGAATGAGTTCATTTTTTACATTGGTGCGTAAAAATGCTGCATATTTTGAATACCAAACTGTAGCTTGAAACTGTAACAGAGGTTGTTACTAGTGAAGCAGCCTGAAAGCTATGTGATGCCAGAATTAAGATTGTCTGCAACTTCAGCCAGTCTCCCTTGCAGCATCATTTTACACCATACTTAGCATTCTTAAACACTGGCATTCAAAGCACTCTCTCCAACAAGTATCTGCTGCAGTGATGGTTTTTCATCGACAGGTTCTTAAGCTGGACAGATAAGAGGATTACTACTGTTAGAAAAATCTCTAGAGAGCTTGGTTTAAGGTGCCTGTGTTGTGAGAAATCTTATGGCAGAGGCAGACGTAGGATATGGTTGTCTTAGGCAAATTTACCTTAGCAAAAAAGTACTTTAGTACTTCATGGTTATTTTTTGCCTTATGTACAACCTGTAAAACCCACAATAAAATAAGTCCAGTAGGCAACTTCTTTCTCCAGTGCGGTACATCTCTAGAACATGGCCCATCTTTGTACTGACTCACTCATGCAAAGTGGTCTTGTGAGTGCAAAAACAGACTGTGACACTAACTTGGAAAACAATAATGCATATGCACAGTTAGCCAAACTGAATTGTCATAACCAGTATTAATTCTGGTGTTTCATAGTTGGCCAAAATTTGACTTTGCAATAGATTCACTTAATATTAGTTTCAGTGTATTATTTCTGAGGAATTCTTTAAATTAAAATAAAAATCATAGTATTTTTTTATATTCCCAGATAATTTCTACCAACTATGACCTAAAGATTATTCCACAGTTTTCTGACCAGAGAGCAACAATAGGTTTGATTTGTTTCAAACCTAAAAAATAACTAAAATAAAGAAATGTGTCTGTGTGCCCTTCTAAATTACTTGTTAAGGCTCAGCTATGAGCGATTTATTTCTCTCTGGAGTCTATTAAGGACACATCTGCCTCACCACTTCCCTCCCAGCCTTGTTCTCTTTTGGGCTGAGTCCACAGACCTATCTATCTTCTTTCCTCTGTCTCTACTGATGTTCTCATCCTCTGGTCCTTGTTCCCTCAGTCACCAGAGCCATAGGGCTAATCAGAATTTTTTTTCTTAGTTTCCCTGTCCCCTTTGTATTGTCAGACTCCAGGGAAACTGTCCCAGTGACTCCACTTTAAATAGTGTGTGAAAATTGTAAGCTGAATTTATTATAGCTGTAGATAGTAACTGTCCAAAACCAGCACTACTGTCTTACACTTGAAGTAAATCAGTTACCTATTAAAAAGGTGCATCTCATCAAAAACATTCACATTTCTGTGTTCTTTGTTTGCCTGTTTTATTTGGTTGGTGTTTCATAAGTACCATGCTATAATTTGTCTTGTAGAGGCTGCCTACACACTCCTGCTGTACGATGAGCTGTTGGAGTGGTCTGATCGGCCACTGCGAGAATTTCTCACCTACCCCATGCAAACAGAGTGGCAACGTAAAGAGTGTCTCCATCTGACCATCATTCAGAACTTTGATAGGGGAAAGGTAAAATAGTCCTGTTTTACCGAGGGGATCTGAAAAGAATAGTTTATTCATTTTAGGGCATTACTGCCAGGGTTGCAGTCTTTTTGCATATAGAGGGGAAGTGTTTGTCATTGCTGATTACGCAGTTACTTAGAGACACAGTAGGTTTCTCCTGATCTTTTGTTTGTATCCTAGAAATCCTACACATACATCTGAGAATAATTTGCATTTGTGTAGTAATTTGCTTTGTAACTGTCAGAGTACTTTATGAAATATAGTATAATTTCGCCCCGTTTTAAAGGTGGGGAAAATGAAAGAAGAAAAGAAAGCTGATGAAATTCATTTAGTGACCAAGTGAGCAAAAACAAACATATAAGTACTATTTTTACACCTTCCAAATTCTATTGTATCTTTTAGAATAGCAGTTGCAGAATCCCTAAAATGGAACAGGGTTTAGGGATCACAGTTCATTGTCATTATTGAGAATGCTTATTCTGAATTAAGCAAGGGCATTTACCCTGTAGTCTAAATTTTATATGCATTTTGTGTGATGATTTGTCTTGCTGATAAACAAGCAATCATTTGTCTTGCAAATAAGCAAGCATTGCAATTTTGTATAGATGGTATAATATCTATCTATCTATATATATGTTATATATTCCAATCTACAAAAATTGAGGATGTATTAAGAATACAGTTTTAAAATCTAAAAATCATACTGTTGAATGAACCTCAGATCCAGTATCAAAAAAGATGTCTATCACTCTTGTAATGATTTTTATTTTATGATAGTCATAGAATCATAGAATAGTTAGAGTTGGAAAGGACCTTAAGGTCATCTAGTTCCAACTCCCCTGCCATGGGCAGTGACACCTCACACTAAACCATCTCACCCAAGGCTCTGTCCAACCTGGCCTTGAACACCACCAGGGATGAAGCATTCACAACCTCCCTGGGCAACCCATTCCAGTGCCTCACTAGTCCTGTGAGAATAACTTATTAAGTAGGTCTCTAAATATATTCTTGATTCTTCAAAGAATTCATCAGTATTACTCAGCAGCTCTCAGTATGTCTAGTGAACAATACGTCCAGGTATTTTCACTTACTGGAAGTATGAGTTACTACAGAAAGAGCAGACTACTAATAAATCATGAATTGCCAAACACTTGCTTTGAAATTACTGAACATCTTCTACTTGCTTGCAGTGTTGGGAAAATGGCATTATCTTATGCAGGAAAATTGCAGAACAGTACGAGAGCTACTATGACTACAGAAACCTCAGCAAGATGAGGGTAATGTACTTGAGTACTTTCCATGAATCAGATCTCCAAGAGCTTTGGAATTTGGGTTATAAAATATTACTTAGAAAATTAAATTTGCCATGGAATTGTGCTTACATTTGTTTTGCAAACCTTTGGTTTTTAGCTTTTGTCTTTTTTCTGAAATAAGGATTATAAAAAAGGAGTATGAGCTTTTTTAATTAAATGGGAAAATAGGTTATCTTGTAATGTTTGTACCTGTACAGCACCCCTTTTATGCACATGATTATGAAGGAAAAATATATTACAGATTCTCTTCCAGTGGTTTACTATGGTTTATCCAGGGAATGCTCTCCATGCATTTCTTCACTAGGAACAGCAATGTATCTGTGCAGTCTTAATTGCAAGGGAAAAGCTTGCAACAAGCAGCATACACCTTTGCAAATATATATTTTTTTTTTAACTGCTTAAAAATATGGTCTGCTTAATATCATATAGCCAAGACGAATCTTCCCTGGCACAGTCTTCCTGCTTTCTCTTCCATTTTTCTTAGAGCACTAAGCATTGTTTCTTTCTTTCTGATACTGTATTTTAAAGATTATTCACTCTTTGCCTTTCTTGTTTGCTTCTGATGGATTGAACTTTATATTACAGCTTCCTTTTTAAATTTTCTCTATGTGTGGGACTGACTGAAGTATACTTAATCCAGAGCTGCTTAACAGCATCACGCAAAAGTCTCAACACAGAATCATGTAGCAGTATCCTTGTGATCTGCTTGTTCCATATCAATCTAGATATCCCAGTGGCAGAATCCTAGAAGCAAAAGCAGACTATCATCATGTGAATAAAATAATTAGTTAACGCATGTTTCATTAATTGTAGTTTATGTGGTTTGTGTTTGAATTGTGAAATATCATTCTACTATATCTGTGCCACCTATGTTAATCCAAAAATGGAGGTATGGGGATTTCTCATAGAAATATAACTTGGCAGCTATTGATATATACACATTAAATAGCTGCCCGCATTACCTAAAATCGGTCTAATATTGTTGGTTAGGTTTTTTCCCACAGTATTAAAAACTTAAGAACAGAGAACGCTTTTCTGTAATATCATTAGAAAAAAAGAGGACTTTGACATTAAAATCACTTTTTGTCAGTGTTTTGAGTGAAATAAATGCAAGATGTATTGATCAAAAATTATGTTAATTGCTATTGTGAGATTTTTAAAGGAACCCACATTTGGTGCTTAAATCGTTGGAATTTGGTTTGATTTGGACACAACTCTTTTGAATATGGAAAATGGACTTTGCTGACTAAACTGACCCCATAACTGCCATGTGCTTGAATGATTATTTGATCCCTGGGTAATATGTTTCAAACTGCATTTCTATTACTTCCATTTTTCTTTAAAGATCTATGCAGGTTGTCATTAATCTAATATTTTACCCCTTTAACATAGGAACTCTATATTTAAAAGCAGGGTTTTTTAATTATTGAGAATGTTCAGGTTGCTAGTAAGTGTAATTATTTAATCTGATGCATACATAGACTTCTGGATGTCCTTCTTGCTGCTCAGAGATGCACTGGGGTACCCCAGAACAGTGTAATGAAAGCCCCTCCCTTTAGCAATAGCTTAAGTTAAAAATATGTTTTCAAAAAAGACTTAATTGCATTTCTTATCAATCTCACCCAGATGATGGAAGCATCTTTGTATGATAAAATAATGGATCAACAGCGTTTGGAGCCTGAATTTTTCAGAGTTGGATTCTATGGGAAAAAGTTCCCATTCTTCTTGAGAGTAAGTCAATTGAAAATGAACAGAACGGAGTAATTCTGGAATTCATGCTGTCATTCATAATCACTTTTTCTATGTAAGAATTTGATCATACCATATACAAGTTCTTATCCTGTGAGAAAGAGGGAATTCTTTGTGGCAATTAATAAAATAACCTCATGTTTTCAGAGTTAAGAAAAGGTCCTGTGTAATGGAATAACTAATGCTAGGCTTCCAGAATCCCACATAAGCTTAATTACCATGTTTATGTTGTAAACCATGCACCTATACTATCCCATTGACCAACATCTTTCCATGGTAGTTTGTTCCCTTTAACCTGTTCGGTTTCTGCTGGCAGCTATTCAGGAAGTGCTCTCAGAAGAGGTATCCCTTAGCAGTGGGACAGTCACTAATTTAGCATTTAAGTATTTACATTACAAAGTTCCATTTTGATTGAAATTACTTAGAAATTCAACATGCTGAGTTTCATTAATTATCAATGTACTAAAGCTGACAAGATACATTAAGTTATTCTTGAACATTAGTCTTGGATCCTGAAGTGCCCTTGAAAATGTTAGTTGTCTTTATACTGTTCCCCTCTTCCACAGTCTGCAGTGGTTTAGCTGCACTGACTGTCACATTGGAAAGATAACAGAATCCAGCCTGTTCATGGAGCTGCTGCAACCATAATCCAAGCTCCTTTTCCTATGGTAATACAAATAAGTGATGGAGAAACCTCCTCTGTGTGGTGGAGGCCTAAAAAGTCTGATTTTTCTTTGACTTTGTGGTGGGGGAAATGACAAATTCCAAATGGTAGATATAGCATGAAAATCCTCTCTTCAAAAGTGGTACACAAAAGCAGTCTGATAGGCATGTAGTTTTTGATATTACCTAGTAGTTGTTTGAATAGAACATCTTTATAAACCAATTTAAAAATGTTAATTGGAAAGGATTTAATGCTTAGATTACTAAACATCAGCTGAGGAAGTAAAACTACTGGAGGAAGTTGCATGATAGTGCAGTACTTTGACATCTGTAGGTCTTTCACTGCTTATGCATCTGCCCAGGAAGTATTTATGCCTTTTCCAAATTAAATGTACATAGCACAGAGTTATGCTCACAGCACCAACAAGGGATACCTCAAAACTTTGTATGTTTAAGTTTTTTCTGGCAAAGCATTTTCTAATCTGACTGTCTTTGCTAGAGAATAAAGAAAGAATAAAGCTTCAGAATAAAGCTTTCACATTTTAACTTGTAGTTGCACAGTAATGCTATTGCAGCTGATTTCTTTTAGCAATTCCCATGAAAAGTCCAGGCTGTCAGAATTCAGTGCTTTATGTCTCTGTTATTGACATAAGGACAACTCTTTCTATCTAAACCTGCTTCAAGAGGAATAAACGAGTAATGACTTTTTAAAATTTTCTAATATAGATTTAAAAATGAAATTCATTTACCACTGTTTTTAGAAAAATGGTTAAGATATTTCCTTATTTTGAACATGTGTGCAAGCAGAAAAAGTGCTGTCCACAGCTCCAGTGTTGTATCTGTATTTTTGTTGCATAGTTGCAAGAAAATAATGGTGCAGCTTCATAGTGGGCATTTTTATTAAAGCTTTAAGTGTAACCATTCCAGACTTTGTAATAAAACATACCTTTTATGGTAGAATTTCCTTCTTCTAAGTAACCTCTTTTATTCTTGCCTTTTGTTTCTTCTACTTTCCTTCTTAAAATGATGTAAAAATTGCACAGGATGTCTATATTGAAGAGTGTGTGTTTGGATCTATCTAATGATACCCAATTATTTTCACGTAACTTGCTCTTGTGTTTTGTTTTTTTTCTTCTGCTCAGAATAAGGAATTTGTTTGCCGAGGACATGACTATGAAAGGCTGGAGGCCTTCCAGCAGCGAATGTTGAATGAGTTCCCACATGCCATTGCTATGCAACATGCTAATCAGCCAGATGAGACCATTTTTCAGGCAGAAGCACAGTGTATCCACATAATCACAAACCTATACGCTGCAGTTACATATTTCATGCTTTTAAAAAATGTAGGTACACGTATAGCCAATTCCAATCACAATGTACCTCCACTGAAATAAATGGTAACTGAGAATTCCCATGCAATTTGTCCCAGTCACTATTATGTTTGGAAGTTTTTTTGTATAATTTTTGGTTTTATTTAAAAATTTCTTTACATGTTATTAAAATTCTTACTTTAGCCAGAAATACTTGTAGAGCTATCACCACTGTGATAATGGTATATCAGCTCAAGTTAGAGTAATTCACATTCATATAGTACAACATGTCACCATTTCATGGCATATTGTGTGTAAGAATATATTTAATTAAACCCTTTACTCCATGTACTATTCTATAACTATTTCAAAAATAAATAGGAAGTTTCAACAAAACAGCAGAAAGATATCCCAAATCATCAAAAAATATCCTAGGTTGCTTTCCCAAGCCATTAATAGTCATGATACACACTTTTAAAAGGCTTTTTCTTCTGTCATGCTTCAGGAGTCAGTATGCTTTGCTAATTTGAATGACATGGGGATAGCCTTGACTCTTTATATACAGATTTGCAGATTTATGCTGTGACACCAATTCCAGAAAACCAGGAAGTCCTGCAGAGAGATGGTATTCCCAACAACATCAAGAGCTTTTACAAAGTAAATCACATCTGGAGATTCCGATACGACAGGCCATTTCACAAAGGGACCAAGGACAAGGAAAATGAATTCAAGGTAAGGTACCATGCGTTCCAGTACCAAGCTACTGGACCTTTGGATTTCTTTGTAACATCAACGATAGTTGTGTTATTCAACCCTGTGTGGTATAACAAATTCTCTAGAGGAGATAATAGCTCAGGTTTGACTATTTCACTTCTCATTTTTATTAAAATAATGTGAAAAACATATGGTAGATTAGAAGGTCTTGTTGTATATGGAAATAGGATAGAAAAATTACCCATTTGTTTTTCCATCAGTGGTATATAGAAGGCAGAACTGGAGACAGCAGAGTAGCCTCCAGAGAAATTTATAAGGCAAATGGGAAAACACTGTTAAGTAGATAATCTGGGGTATGAGAGGATTGCCGAAAGCTTTCTCTAAAACAAGGGAGAGGCAATTTTGATGAACTGCAACATAATGTTCTGTTCCTATTAAGACAAAAAAACTACCTATGAACTTGGAGATTATCCCAGAGAAGAACAGTAGTTCCTCCTGTAATATGTAAAGGACTTCTGTTCCTCCTAATAAAAATGTCACACTGAAAATTGATCTTACATTCTTCTGGTGTAATTTTATTTCTGACCCAACAGAAACACATTCTGGTGCAGAATATAGTCTAGTACTCAGACGCGGAGAGAGAATTATCCTGTAATAATTTTGTTACAAAGTTAGAGGAAAGAACTGTGAGGATAATAAATCAGCTAAATTAAGTCATTGTTGTCCTCTAATAAAAGCTTAGGGTTTAATTTTAATTGTACAGCTTATATTTTGTGTAAGCACTATCCTGTATGTTGATTTGTCATTTTACAAACCTCTTGCATAAAGTGTTTAACAGTAGTACATTCGAGTACCCCATCAGCTGTGCATTGAAGAATCTCTAGTAGGACTTCATAGAGGAGAGCTGGTCACTTTGTGATCTGTAAGTTGTTCTGCTCCTGAGCTCTTCCTCTTCTCATATGCTACCTCAGAGAGAAAATATTAAAATGCTAATTTAGTTGTGAGTGACCTTTGGACATTAGAGGGCCACATATAACATAGAATAATACCATGTTTAAGAGCAAAGAATCAGCAGAAATTTCTGCTTAGTAGTAGAAAGTAAGGAGAAAAGCGAATGTCATAGGCTTCTGGGACAGACATTTCAGTAGAAAATTGGACGTTAATACTTTTTGTTTAATGTATACTATTATTTAAATGAAGGTATTCATAATGAAAAGTGGGAATGATTAAGCAAAACATAGAGGCAAATTATGGAAATAAACTGATTTTGTATATTGTAGAGTCTATGGGTGGAGAGAACCACACTGATCTTGGTGCAGAGTTTACCTGGAATATCTCGTTGGTTTGAAGTGGAAAAACGTGAAGTAGTGAGTATAAGATCGTTGGCAATACATATTATGGATTGGTTTACTTCCTTAATCATGCTATTTGATGAACTACTTTAAGATTTGTTACCCATATCTCATTTCTTTGAGCAAAATTTCTAGCTGGCTACAGCAAAATTATTTACGAAGTATTTTGAGTTGTCTGGTTTCTCTTATCTTGAAAACTATTATTAAGAAGTGCACTTACGATTCATTTAAACAGCTGAGGAAAAAAGCTGAGAACAGTAATGGGCAAAGGCAACTCCTAATGTCAAAAAACTTACTTTCTTAAAACTCAGCCTGATGTAACATCTAATACTTAGAATATCTATAGCTTAACATATCTTTCCATATTCTTAAAAAGTAAACACTTTCCAAGTTCCTGTACCATAATAAATGCCATGTTCCTGCCTAGAACTCTGTTGAAGTCTCCAGTTCTCAGCATGGGAAGGGAAGCACGCCTACGCAGAACCTGTAGGAACAGGGTCTTATGTAGCAATCTGTTAACCACACATTGTAATTCCTTCTTTCTTGTTATTATATTTCTTAGAAAATCCCCAAATACATTTCAAATGTATTTGAAGGAGTGCATCTCCTATAACAATCTCTAAATAATTGGTCATTGGTTGAGTAGAGGAGTATAACGGCTGTAACTATTTTCCTTCCTGTCAAAGCCAGTCTTAAAATAGTCCCATTAAATATAGGGATGCAATTGTACCACTGTTTTTCTCTACAACTATTGTGTTTTTCTTTTAAAATAGGAACTAAATGCGATTTGTTCACCATCCTGGTAATCTCCTGTAGAAAATCAAAAATGAAATTTAATTATAATAAGAAAAAGCATGTAACATGGGGAATTTTGTTAGTTGACTTCTACTAAGCCCTTCCTAGGTTAATATGACCCTCAATATAAAGATCCTCATCTTACTATCTTGTTACCATTATAGTCATAATTTCTGAAAGTTAACCATGATAATTTTTCTTGGGCATGTACTAAATCATTAATTAGATTTGTGCTTGCATAATTTGGTAAATTATAGCAACTGCAGGCCTGTACTCTGCTGGTTGCAGTTGAATGCTACCCGTGAGAAAAGCACACTGCACTCAAGGGCTGCCTTTGACTATAATTTGATTGTCATGTTAGATCAAAGCTTGCATTCAAACTCCTCATCCATAACGTCTTGTTGACTTCACCTTGGGTGGGGAAGCTAGCTCACCCATCCTTGAGTTCTGCTCTGTGCCCTTAACCATGGTGAAGCTCTCCCTGACCTCAAGTCTGATTTAGGTGAAGTTACTAAGGACAGTTTAGCCCTGAATTCCAAGAGTTCCACCACAGGCTGAAGTGTTTTGCTGAGTAATCTCTCAAGGTCAGATAATGAATCTGCAGGAGAGGGACAGTTTTTTATTTTGATCCTTGATTACATTGTAAAATTAATTCTTTTTATGCCCAGAGAGTATAGCCTAGCTGAGAAGAAATTTTTCTGCCCTGATACTCTAGAACAGAGAATAAGATTGTTTCCTTTCAAGAAATCAAAAATTACCTTTAATATATTTCACCTTTCAACTGAAGATTAAGTGTGTTTGCCATGTTCCTCACTCCCCTTTCAGGTGGAAATGAGTCCCCTTGAGAATGCTATTGAAGTCCTAGAAAATAAGAACCAGCAGCTGAGAACATTGATTAGTCAATGTCAAACTCGACAGATGCAAAATATTAACCCTCTCACAATGTGTCTAAATGGGGTCATTGATGCAGCAGTTAATGGTGGAGTTGCTAGATACCAGGAGGTAAGCAATTTATTTTCTGTTTATTAAAAAAATCTATCATAAGACAGTTTCTAACTTTTTTTTTCCTCCGTACAGATATAGCTCCTCTGTATGAGTTCAGGACAGAAACTATTTTATCAATAATAATTTTAGTTATTATTGTTCTCTAAGTTTTTAAGGAAAGCTATTTTCAGAAAAATCTAGTAATATTACATATAATTAAGAAATGTCTAGCACTGTTTTTTTTCCCAGAAGTTATTCCTCATCATTATAATCTTGGACCCACCTTAGGAGAACCTTAAATGTTTGGGATGCTGTATTTCTGCAAAGTTCTGTGCAGTTTTGAAACCTCAGTTAAAAGAAAGAAAAGATTTTGCAGCCCAGGTTGATCTTCGTCTTTCCCCTAGTCTTATAAAATACTTGAGTCTGCTGGTTGTTCGTTTTCCATTGAAAATGAAAAGTTCAATAATATTCTGAACACTTCTCTCAAAGACTGCAAGATTTGGTGTTCGCTCAACAGTGTCAAATTGGATAAAGCTGCATCTAGATTAAACTAAATTAAACAAGAAATTGAGTCCACTATGGCATTAAAATCTGTCATCAAAACTGCAGTTTTATGAAAATTGTGAGACTAAAGCAGAGCAGTACCATATTTGATGTTTACCAGCTGCCTTTAAACAACAACACAACTGTTTAGCATAGTAAAGCACCATAAAGGGAGTCCCTTGAGAAATACAGTTGTGTCAGAACTGTCTGGTTTGAATTAGCAGTGCCAGAGCTAGCTCAGTGTCTTTGCCTAGCTTTCTGTTCTTCATGAGCATATCAAAGGTTCTTGTTTGCTGCTTTGTTAGCATTGTTCTTAGCTGCAATTCTTGATCTCCTAAACAGTCTTCATGTTTCAATTCCCTCCTGTTCCCTCCCTCTTGCTATATATCTAAAATAGGGCTTTTCAACAATTGTGTTGTAAAAATATAATTGTGAGATTTTTTTGGGGTATTTTTTTCTGTTTCACCCCCATTCTCTTTACATGTCCTTTTTTTCAGTGTTTATGTATCTTCCTGCTGTTTTGCTATGTCTTATCTTCTACCTTCTTTTCCTCTCCTCTGTAAATGTTTTTCTCTGCCTGTTTCACTTGCTTTTGCCTTCTGCCCTATATAAAGCTCAAAACTCAGTCAGTCTTGAGGCAAGCATGACCATGTCTTTACAGATATCTTCCTTTCCTTCAGGCAACTTCCAAACTTTTACAAGTGTTAATACCCAGCAGATAATGTCCTTTGGCCTGCTGCTGCCTTCTTGATTCTTCCTGATGGGATAAAAAGTGGCTATCTCTAATTTTTCAGCACTTTGGCTAATATCGCAGGTGCTAAAGCTACACTTTTCACTGGTTTCAATACAGGAACAGATTCCAGAAAATCTACAAAAGTAATAGCTATTATGCAGCACCTTCATTCATGTGTGCTAAGTGACTGTAGACTGAAACACTGATTTTAATTTTTCTGTATGATGCTAGGAAAGCATGAAGAGTATGTTTTGTGCCCTCTAACGCCTCTCAAACTGTGCTTTGTACTCTCACTTACATTTCTTTTAGCTCCTTTACATGTGCTAGAAGAGTAGAAGCACTTTTATAATGAATTATTGGAAACCACTTGTCCCAAGAATGTTCTTGGATTTAGTCAAATTCTGATTTATTTTTTTTTCTTTCTAAAGAGCTGGTTATTTTGTTTGAAGTTAGATTATTACATCTTTGACTCATATTACAGTTCTGTATAAGTCTTAGCCCAAAACCACTGGAACACCACCTGCCTGATACTGAAAGAATATTAAGCTTGTAGCTGAGGGGAAAAAAACCCATCAGCTGGCACAAGTTTGGGATTTGGGATTTTAGCAAGTATCAGAGGGCTCCTTTTAACAACTTAAACATGAATTCTTATAATCTATTCATCTGTACTGAAAGAGCCATGTGAGATAAATCTTCATTACAGGACCAGGATTCATTTTCTAGGTAGGCCTCAGCACTTCCTTGTTATGGGTTGTCACCGCATGAAATTTTGGAACTGAATCAGAAAAGGGGTACACTTATTTCTAGCTTCACTGCTCCCATATTTGCAAATAATTTTGTGTACCAAGATTTTAGCAGCTAAAGTTGGATGGAGAGCCTTGTAAAAAGCATATGAGGGAAATGTAAAGACAGGTGAAAAAAGAAAAACACAGCACAGAGCAGCCTCTATTATCCTCTTAACTCTATGGATAGGGAACCATGAGTGTGTATAGGTGTGCCTACAGACACTTCTTGTGACAAATGCATTTTTGAGAAGGTCTAGAAATCTCTCAAATGAGCAGCTGTGCATTTTCTCTACAGAGCAGTGTCGAGAACTGTTGTAAACTCAATATAATCCCCTTGGAGGGTAGGACGTTTGCCATGTAAAGAAAGATGGGGAACGCTATGTTCAGGCAATTGCTGGTGGGTAAAATGACTTTGGGGTACCTAGCTGGTATAATTTGAGCACTGGAGGTGGGTTGGAAAGTCATGTAAGCTCACGAACACACTTGGATGTTGATCATATGCTCTGAAGTGAAATGTGTGGCTTTTTGACATCAATGACAAGAACTGTGAGTTCTTGAAAACTTTTTTTTTTCCTGAAGATATAACCTAGAAACTTGTTTAAAAACCCTAAGTGCTGTGGTTTTACTCATATTAAGTTACTTTGTGGTTTTATTCTGCTTAGGCGTTCTTTGTCAAAGAATACATCTTGAACCATCCGGAGGATGGAGAGAAGATCACACGCTTGAGAGAACTAATGCTTGAGCAGGTAAAGTGGGGCAAAGACTGAGTAAGTGGCCTACTCAGCTGTTCTAGCTGAAAGTGTCCCAAAATAAAATACAACGTTTCAGAGGTTAATGATTGGCCAGAGGTCTCCAGTATCTTCTGAATTAGATTCCAAGCAGACAGTAACTTCCTATACAAGCAGGTTTCTGGGTCGTGTTAATATTTTTTTTCCCTAGTTCCTTTCATCGTCTTAATCACTTCGTTCTAAATTAAAGGTTGAACGAGGGGGAAATTTTTGTCTTGTCATGTTCATATGCACAACATATCTTATCACTACTACAGAATAAACATTATGTCACTGAAACATTTGATGGCTTCAGCAAATATTTGTATGATGTATTTTACCAATACTACAGAACAAATATTTTTACTTCAAGGTTTAGCATAAGAGCAAACTAACATGGAAAATGTTATTACACCAAGTGATTAAACAGGTGAGTGTTCCGTGTATTACATGGTTTTGGATTATTTCTTCATATATTTATAAGAAAATGACCTACCAGCCTCAAATATGAGGTGTGTCCATTTGGAAATGCACAAAAAAATTGCTTTGATCAAGTGCTCTTAGTATTTCAGCTTTCATGTTGGCGTTTTTTAACTGACATTTACCTGTCTTTGTTCTATGCAACATGTTGAAATTTCAAACTTTATTGCTAGCTTGGAATAAAGAGGTCAGAGGATTGGAATTTGGCAAAATGGAGATTGCCTTTTTTGTTAGCGTTGCGCTAATGTTTGGTCAGATCAGCTGAAGCGCAGATCCTCAGACAGTATAAATCAGAATAGGTTCACTGAGCTCGCTTTAATTTCATTTAGATAATATATAGTAATTTATGTTGCAGTTTTGGTTTTTCAAACTGCAGTTAATCTCAGTATCCATTACAATTTAAAACTGGAGTGAATAACTTGCTATGATAAAACGTGATAGCAGTTAAACCCTGTCTGGCACATACAGATGGTTTAACAGAAAACGCGGAGCATTCAGAAGGGCTGTGTGCGCAGAGGGATGGATGTGCTGCAGGCCTGACCTTGGGTCAGTGATGTTGTACAGCCCTGTGCCAGCTCACAGCCTGCCTGAAAACGTCAGCCAGTAGCTCTCATCCAAAGATATTACAGCATAGTGTAGCTATTTTGTTTTTCAATTTGAGTAACTGATGTGTCATGTAACCAAGTGACTATTTTAAATGCCTGTGACCAAATTCAAGCCGGGTTGGTTTTAGCAATGTTATTCTGAAACCTCTTATGCTTGCGTCAAGAATATACGTAAAGCCACCACTTTCAGAGGTGTCTGGGGAGTTGGAATAGGATAGGGAACCATGGACATCATTGAAAATATATTAGGAGGTCTCTGGTGGGTGTGGCCATTGCTATTGTTTCCTACTTTTTATAACTGTTCTTGTAGAAAATGGCTTTTATTTAGAATTTAGACCTGCTCCTTTGTAAAACTGCCATTTAGCCAGCATTTCACTGAGTTATTGATAATGGGTTTTATATCAGAGTTCAATTTGCAGAGGCCAGATCTTTGGGAAAGTTTGAATAGTAAAATGGGAAGAGGCATAAATCCTCTTGTGTATTGATTGGTTGGTCTTAGGCCTTGTTTGTTTACAGGTCTGCCAGGGATTTAGATAGATGCTTTTAATACAACATGCATTTTGTTGGTTTTTTTTGATCAGTATCTTAATTGATGAGCAAAGCTTAAACAAAATGTATCTAAAATATTCTTCCTCTCTTTCCTTCTGTCTTTTCTGCAGGCCCAGATTCTAGAATTTGGCTTGGCAGTGCACGAGAAGGTGGTGCCACAGGACATGAGGCCGTTGCACAAAAAGCTGGTGGATCAGTTTTTTGTGATGAAGTCAAGTTTGGGAATACAGGTAGATGAGCAGGTGCATTGATAAACCAGGAGACAGTTTTGCCGCAGTAAGGGGTGTTTATTTTTCCTGAGCAACAAATAGTGACATCTTTTGGTTGTTTGCCCACATTACATCTAGCATTCTTATAGTACCATAAAGGAGAGAGAAAGATAACAAACTTTCCCTACAGTTCCAAGAACAATAGTCACATTCTACTAATGGGAATATATCATCAGCAAAAAGTTAAAATATTTTTCTTAGTAATGATGAAGCTGATCCAAATGCAGCTATGACTAGTCAAATGACTATACATATCTTAATGGTATTATGTTCATGGTAATCTTTTTACAAATTGCCAGGAATTTTCTGCCTGTGTACAAGCTAGCCCAGTTCACTTCCCAAATGGAAGTCCTCGCGTATGCCGAAATTCCATACCTGTTTCTATGAGCCCTGATGGTGCCAGGGTAATACCACGACGCAGGTAAGTTAAAATCCTAGAAACGGATAGATTTTGTTACTCACGGAAGATGACCCGTAAAAGGCTTCTATTGTGTGCATGCTTCCTTGCATGGTCTGCATGAAGTATCTTCAGTCATGAATAGCTGATATATATACTCTCTCCTTCCCCCTCCCCCCCCCAATAAATCCAAATTAAACTGTAGAGATTAAAAATATCTGCTGTTTTCACATTAAAAATATGATTGACAACTACTGTTAACCATTTTGTATTTCATTACTCTTACAATAGTCCCTTGAGTTACCCAGCTGTCAATAGGTATTCGTCCTCATCACTCTCATCCCAAGCTTCTGCTGAAGTCAGCAATATCACTGGGCAGTCGGAAAGCTCTGATGAAGTATTTAACATGCAGGTACACGTTTTTGTTAAACTTCAAACTGAACCGAATCTTTCTTGCGAGGTTATTTACTAAATTAATGCTTGTTATTTTGTTCAGAAATCTCAAAGTTAATGCTGATACTTCTTTATAAAAAAGTCTTTTGATGGGCTGTTAACATCTTTAATTTACAAAGAACATTTTTTATATGTTTCTTCTTCTTTAACTTGGATTTTTTCCTGAAAGTAAAAAGCAGCAATGCACTATTATGCAAAGTCATCTGACCTTACATAGACTTTTCTGTCTAGTTGACACAGTTGTGATGTAAATATTTTAATATATTAGTTACACTTCCATTTATTTGATATTTTACTACATCTTTGTAAGTTACATTAATGCTCTTTATACTGGTTTGCTATTTTGAAATACTGAGAAACTAGTCTAACAAATTACAAGTTTTTTGTTCTAGTGAAAAGTATATTACAATTTTCTGTTTTCCAAACCAGTAAATGTAATGTGATATAACAGCAGCATCTCTTGTATACGTAGCCTAGTCCGTCTACCTCAAGTCTGAGTTCTGCTCATTCTGCTTCTCCTAATGTGACCAGTTCGGCTCCATCCAGTGCCAGAGGTCAGTGCTTATCTCCTGTGGTAAACCATGTTAAATGATTCTTGATACGTTACACAGCTGAATATCTGCATGCTGTCACTGGTCAGATGTCAAAATTTAGCCAGTTGTTTGAGGAATATGAATTACTGGAGACAGAGTATTTCTTTGTCATTAACATAGACTTGAAACGTTTGAGTTTCACTGAACGAATTTAATCACTTGACATATTTTTATTCTAGCCTCTCCTCTTTTGTCTGACAAACATAAGCATTCCCGAGAAAATTCTTGCCTGTCTCCCAGAGAAAGGCCCTGCAGTGCCATCTACCCTGTTCCTTTGGAAACGTCACAGGTAGGAAGCTTGTGGGAAGTCCTCGCAGATTCAGTGCCTGCTCACTGCTGTTAATTTTCAAGCTGGTTTTCTTTTGTTGTTGTTGTTTTTATAAGAAAATACTCTAAAATATTTTACACGAAGGAGATGTGATCAAGTACCATGTGTTCTATTCACATTTCTGCTTGCTATGACTAGGTTTAGATCTGGTTGTTTATAGTTGCTCACTGCAGTGAGAGAGATGCAAAGACTTGGCGATGACACAGCCTGCTTGTGTGAAATTGCAGTGTTTGTTCAGTCTAGGGAAGAAGAAGGAAAAACTTATCACAGCAGTTGTCCCTGTTGACCTCCCCTTTATTTCTTCTGAAATAGCTAATCTTAGCCACTCAGAGATAATAACCCACCAATGTGGCAATTCCCATTTTTCAGTGTAGTTTCAGAAAAGATAGACTTTTTGTTACTCCAGAGAGAAGAATGAGTTGAGTTCTTACATTAAAATTACTGTTACATAGGTCTGTATGAAATTCATATCTTTTGACTTACCTGAAATGCAAAATGAGCGTGGTGAGCTGGCCAACTTTGAATTTTTTTTCATCTTTTCTTCTTAATGGACCTACTTTCCTAAAGTGCTTTCCTTTAACACAGTTGCTGTTTAATCCCAGCCATCACACAATGCACCTCTTGCTGAAGCTGAGAAAGACAAGAACATAAGTACAGTGTGAAAGGCCCTGCTCTCAACACTGGCATTTCCACCTTAAGTTTTACCTCTGATTAAAAAAAAAAAAACCAAAAAAAAAACCAAAAACAGCTTGGCAGTCCAGCATCTTTTCGTTTAGAAATAATTTGTTGGTTTCTCATTAGTTGTATTCTTGTCCCTTGCTTCTTCGGTTATTGACTTAGCTCTTGATTTAATTTTTTCCTCTTTTCATTGAAGTCCTCATGCTGTTACCTGAGGGCTTAAGAAGTAATACCAAAGCTTAGCCAGACTTAAGGGCATTTCTTGGGAACTACTTGCTGATGTATCTGCTGGGCACTTTCTCAGCTTCCAACATACAGGAAAGAGCAGATGTTCTTTAAAGTGGTTTTACAGTTCGGTGCAAAGAAAAAAATTATCCCATTTTTGCTCTCAGACTGCAAACTCTTGCTTTGCCAAATGGAATGCGACTTCTGTCCCACACTGTACCCGTGATTCGATAAGGGAGGCTGAGGAGCTCGTAGGCCCAGTCTCTGCTCTCTCTGAGACTCGCCCAGCAGGAAAATCTCCCAATCTGTCTCTACCCTCAGTGTCCCAAGACAGGGTAAGTAGAAAAACTGACTTGCTTGTGCAGTGAAGTATGTCTCAAAGGTCTGACAGTTTCTTTCTGCCCTCGTAACCATAAATGAGGATGTATCTTTCTGGGGAAGGTGCAATTTCTTTCTCTGATGCTCTGTCTCTATCCTGAGCAGTAAAAATGGGCTGATGAGAAACAAGATTCTGATTCTCTGCCTTCTGATTAAGAAGGGAAAAGAAATCCTCAGGACGATAGCAAGGAGATACCTGCAACTCTCATTAGAATCTAAATGCCAAAACTATTCCTTATCGTTTCTATTTTTATCCTAATGCCAGGTAATTTCAACAGTCCTTGCTGGAGCTTCACACTAAGTTAATGAGGAAGGGACCACCCATTTATGAACATACTTGTTATAGCTTAATGAATGCAATATTCACAATAGTTTTTCAACCGGGAAAGATGAGATACAGAGGCAACTTCCTGCATTTCAAGTCCAAGTCAAGTCTTTTCAGGCCATAGCTACTTCATTTAAGGAAGTTTGATGGACTTATGAAAACAAGGCCACAGCAGTACTGCATCTGCTTCCCTCATTGAAATTGATGCTCAAGCTTATCTGTGTTCAACTGTTTTCAGTTAACATCCATTTGTGCTTGCTTTTTGATCTCTGGCTGAGTGACTGTAGAGTGTCTCTCTTACTCCTCCCATACTCTGAAGAGGAATGCCTGCTATCATTGACTTGTCAACAAGCGTCCTCAGTTTTTTGCACTTTCTAATGGAGCTTTTTGGGTTTCACATTTTTGGGGGGTTTTTTTGTGCATCATTAAACATCCTGTGATTGCTCTTGTTCTTCCATATGGGTTTACATTTAATTATTTTAGTATGTCTTCATTTCTCTGTATTTCATTCAGCCTTGTCTCTTTATCTCCTTCAGTTTCAGTTGCTTTTTCAGGCTTTGCTCTTTACCTTCATTACAGAAAATGGACTTCAACACTTGCCCACCAGATCCTAGTGCACTGCAGACTCACTAGGCAGTGAATATTCAATCCAGACCAGGCAGGAACATATGATGACATTTTCTGTCACGTTAGAGTATACGTGTAGTTGCGCCACCTCAGTTTAATGGTAACTTCAGGAAAACAGCTGTTACCTGTTCCAGTATGACTTTAGCACAGCATAGATAGACAAACTTAGTGTAGCTCAGTCTAATAAAGCATTTCCTCTATGTGATGTTTAAAGTCAAGTTAAATTGGCCAAATGTTTGTTCATCACTTTGTAACAGAGCTGCAAGATGTTAGATCAATGGCGATTACTTTGTGGCTGGGTCTGCCGTCTTGTTGGAACCACAGTGTAGTACCTCGCTGACTCAGCATGGTCTTCTAACATTGCAAGATTTAGGAATAGGATTTGATTTGCATCTCATGGCTTCTCTGACCTTGCTTTAAGGAAAAAAGATTGGGTTGGAGGAAGTAAAGTTCTGATTCTGCAATGAAGTTAAACAAGTGCATGGATAGATTTGCAATAATAATCTGCCAAGATACCACTTGAGGAACGAGCCTTATTTTGTTTTTTAGGGAGCTGGAAACTGTCAGAAATTAGTACATAATAATTCTCTCTCTGATTCCAGTGTGTTCAGAAAACTAGTCTACTCCCTATTTTATGCTCATATTTTTATTAAACTATTTACATACTTAGGTGATGTTTACCACCACCTCCTGACCTGTGTTAGGTCAGTAATTATCTTGTGGGGATAATAGCACTAAGATATTTGTTTTCATAAAGGCTACTGAAATACAACAGCAGCTATGCATAAACCACGCTGTTCTCAATTTACAGAGAATACTATTTAATCATATTGGAGATGGTGCTTTGCCACGAAGTGATTCCAATCTGCCTGGCCCTGACAAAGGTGAGTGGAAATGCTGTACCATACCAATCTTGGAAGCAATGAAAATGTAATTAATCTGCCATATTCCTGTGGAATGCTAATTTTTTTGAATGCATACTGTTATCTTCAAGTTTTAAAACATTCTAATTTAACTGAAATTATGCTAACGCTTTGAAGTTTCAAAACACTTTGCCAGAAAGGAGGGAATATAGTGTTTGTTTGAACTGAGTGTTGCACTCACAGGGGCCCAGAAGTTGGCAGGAAGGGGTGATGGAGCAGCAAGTTGCAGCAGGCTGCATGAGAACCGTTCTTTCTGCTTCTCAAGAGAGACGTGGGGTGATGAACTCTGGAGATTAACTTCTGGAGACTGGGGCAGAGAGAAGCCAACGAGATGGGTATAGTCCCAGAGTTTGGCATCTGCTTGTCCTCTTTACCAAATACAAATCACTGTGCTTTTGGTTACACTTTGGAAAAGAAATTATCAATTTGTGGTTTGTTGGGGTTTGGGTTTCTTATTAATTAGAGTAAATGAGAAACCTATGAATTTCCATAGACAAAATACTGCCTTTCATAATTCTGCACATGGGGAAATTCAATATTGTTGGCACAGTTATTGTGCCATGATTTCACTGTGCATTCCACATGCATAATATGCTCTATCATTTCATTATGTGCTGCCCTTTGTGGTGCCCTGAATGAAGGATACAGTGAACAGATGTATTGAAAAGAGATATGTTAAGAATCCACTGTAAAAACTGACCAGGAATCAGATTTTCATCAATAGGAGCTGATTTTTATAAGTATTTTTGTGTCCCAGTTTTTATGAAAGCTGAAGTGTGGAATTCTTCACAGGGCTGAAAAAACATGAAATAATTCAACATGGAAATGGCAAAACTTTTCCACTGGCCTATGCAGCCAAGTAAATTACAGAATTATTAAAATCAAATATTCTCTCCTGGAGACTTTAGCAGTCCAAAGAACTGACTGCTTGGATGACTTATAAGAAAAATTTGACTTGTCAAGAGACCCAGGCACTTGAAGTACCTACATCTGGTGCCAAGTCATTTTTAGTATGAGGGCAAAACCATACTGCTAGGTGACAGCCTACTATAAAAAAGCAAACAATGTATTGCATGTTTTGGCAATAAAACAGCAAAATGATCCTCCAGAAAGCGGATCATTCTGTGCACTGTTCTTAGGATCAACTAATGTGCAATTATACTGTAACAATGTTGTTACAGATACGAAATATCTGTAACAAATATTTGTGCTGTACTTTTTGCATTAATTTGGTATATACTCGTATAATGGGAATGCAGCCCTTCTGAGAGCCCTTGATGTTCCTGTAATAGCAATAATTGGTACCGTCAGTATAGCAACAAAACTTTGCCTTTTTGCTTTATCTTTATAAATGAGCACAGCGTTCTTGCATGTGGTTTTCTACTCAGAACTATGAAATAAGCAAACAAGAAGGAAACTGTCATGGCAAGACAAGAGGTTTGAGATTTTGAAGGTGGGAGAGGTTTGGTGATTTTTTTTTTCTGGGGAAAAGGGAGATTTGAAGCAGTGTTCTCCCACTGTTTTACAGGACATATAAGAAAAATTGTGGGATTTAAGTTAGCTTTTGTTCTGTCCATGTTAAATGCTCTCTTTCTATCTGAGTTCTTTCCAGTATTGGTGGCTCCTTGATAACGTAAGATAATCCAGTTACGGAAGCTGTTTCAGACCTTATAGGATCATACAGTTAAAGTATTTGTGTTACGTTTACCAGTTCCATGACAACAGCCAATTTTACATGTGTCACGGTGGTAGTCAATTTACATGATCAAGTAGAGATCCTTGACCATGGACACAAACAGCGTATATAGATTTACTCAGTCCACAATAATGTCCTTTTTTTTTTTTTTCCACCGGACACTTTCATTTCTTCCAATTTTTACTCGCTTCATTTTGTGCCCTTCTTTAAATTATGAATTTGTAGCCTATGCAGGCAACAAAAGACTGTTTGCATGGAAAGCTTTCTGAGGGAGGTCGATTGGAATTTGGCAATTTCCTTTCTCTAGTCCCTTCTGTATATGAAATGAGTTAATGGAAACAGTTTATGTATAGTCTGCTCCCCTCTGTCTAGAAACCTCTAAGAAACCTTTAAGTAGGAGTCTGGTGCAAAGATAAGCTGATTATATTAACAGGCTTCAAGCTTATCTCCCTTTGTGGCTGGTTTTGCAGTGCACCAGAGTGCTCTCTCAGCTGCTATTCTTGCTGATGGTCCCAACTGCTATACAATCATAAACTGACCTGAGGGCCAGATGCATACATCAGGCAACCAGAAGATTGACAGGCATTATTTAAGAGCTTTTCGAATGCTGATGTGATCATAAAAGCTTTTCAGGCATGCTTGTTGTTTAATGTTTTCACTCTGTGTAGTTTTACCTTCCTGGATAAAGGCCAGTCAGAGATATGGATGTGTTGATGCATACGCTAGCTTTTTCATTCTCTTCCAGCTGTGAACAGCACACCCAGCAGCTGGAGCCTGGACAGTGGGAAGGAAGCCAGAAACACATCAGAAAGTGGAAAGCTTATATCTCCTCCTGTACCACCAAGACCTGCACAGACTGGTGAGTTAATGGACATTTCAGGCTAAGCTCCAGTAAAAAAATTATTTACTTGGGGGCTTAGATTCTTTCCACTCTGATTAATATTTAACTTCTTGGACAGGTTAATTTATTATTTGATTACTTACATAGAAGGCTGTAGTACTGCCTCTACAGGTATTTTCATCTCATTAATGTTCTCTGTAATATTCTGTTTCTAATAATCTGCCCCTTCACTAAATGACTGAGTAGCTTCAGACAGCTCATGCTACTACTAGGGAGGATGATCAAATTTAATCTTTTGGTCTTAAGATAATTGGAGGTTAGCAGTCAGAAATGATCATTAATCACAAAGAATCTTACTGGACAGAAAAAGCACTCATGGAAGTACATGAGTTCTGTTACAATAACCAATTTGCCTTTCAAAAGATTAATTTTCATTTAAAGGAAAGGCTGCTTAAGTGATACTATAAATTTAATCATTCTCAAGACAGTGAAAATGCTTTTTTGAGTTTTAGACTTATGCCTCAAAGGATGTCCAGTCATGTTTACAGTATATTTACAGCTAAATATTTTATAAAGGTACGTTATGTATTGTCTTTTTGCTTATTTGACATGCAAATACTTAATATATTTCTTAAAAGAAGAACAAAAACAGGAGGCGAAGAGTTGTTAAACTGACTTACTTTGAATTCTCTTATCGTTTGATAGGATATAAACCAATTTAGTGACACAAAATTTGCCAGAAAAGATGGATGCAGAAATCTCTTATACTTAATTAGTTGTACCGTGACATAATCCTGACAACAAAGACACAAAATCTCTAAAACCATTTGCAGCCATCAGGCAAATACCTGGAGGGAACCAGATCTAATGTTTGTGTATCAAATGATTTCCTACCCACTTAAAAAGATTTCTTAGTGAAAATTGTAATTCCAAAAGTGCACTGAAATCTTTCTGACTTTGCAGCATCACCAGCAAGACACATAGCCTCCGTTTCCCCTTCTCCTGCTGGCAGATCACCAATGAAGGTACCGTCTTACTGCAGTGAATTGCCTTTGTGGGACAGGTTTTATGTGTTGGAGTACATAATATAATCCCAAATAATGTATATTAAATATGTGCATTTTTGTTTTATTATTATATGCCTATACAAAAAACATTTACATGAGTAAGCAGGCATACATATCTCCTGAAGAGGAGGAAAGTGACACCCCAAAATGTCTCTTTTTCCCCTCGAGGTCCCTAATCACAAGTCCTCAGTCATTCTCCTGTTTGCCATCCCGTGAGTCTGTAACATTTCCGCTTGTGACTGCACAGTGGTTGAGGTTCAACACAGAGCAATTACACTGGCCACCAGTGCCCCATAGTCCTGCTATCATAGTATAGCTGCTGAAGAGAGCACTAATCCAAGGGTTCACATTAACTGCTTGCTAGGAAGCTCTTCAGAACATTAGGGGCTTTGGGGCCTCCAGCATAAGAACATGGACCTGTTGGAGCAAGGCTAGAGAAGGGCCACAAAGATGATTGGAGGGATGGAGCACCTCTCCCAGAGGTGCTCTGGGAGGCTCTTAGAGAGTTGGCCTTATTCAGCCTGAAGAAGAGAAGGCTCCAGGGAGACCTTACAGCAGCCTTCCAGTGCCTAAAGGGGAGCTACAAGAAATCTGGGGAGGGGTTTTTTCAATGCCATGTAATGATGGGACAAGACGTAATGGCTTTAAACTGAAAGAAGACAGATTAGATATAAGGAAGAATTTTTTTACTGTGAGGGTGGTGAGACACCTCAACAGGTTGCCTGAGAAGCTGTGGCTGCCCCACCCCTAGTAGTGTTCAATGTCAGGTTGGATGGGGCTTTGAGCAACCTGGTCTAGTGGAAGGTGTCCCTGCCCATGGCAGGGGAGTTGGAACTGAATGAGCTTTGAGGTCTTTTCCAACCCACACCATTCTATGATTACATCTTGTGCAAAAGGTGAGTAACTTTTTCTTTTTTCCTGGATGGACTCAGTACTGATGATTCTTAGGGATGTTTGAAGATTGTCCTAACATTTTCTTCCGAAGGCTCACACAGAATTGAAGCATTTTGCAGTCAGTCTGGATTACCACCTGGGAGAGGAATACTGGCCCACAATACTTCTGAGAGATCCTGGATCTCACTTCGAGCATCCATGAATTTCCAGGCTGTTTGGTGTCTAGACTGTTACTAGTGGTACAAGCAGTCTGAAGTGCTGTCAGGAACCATGTGCTTACCCCAGCTCCTAGATTGAACGAGGCAGGGTTTGCACATATTTGCTCTTGTTCTGAATGACAAAAGCAAAGGTCCTAAATCTTATCCATGGTTACTTAATCCAAGTGTCAAGAGTTCTTGGAACTTGAACCAATTACATCCTTTATTTGAAAACTTTGACCCCGTTCATGTGTGGCGTAGGAGCGCAGCTGCAGCCCCCTCATATGCAGAGGAATGAAACCTGAAACAAGTAGTTAAACAGACTCGCAAGGTCTGAAATGTCTTCAACATGTATTGAGCTTCAAATAAAACTTGCTTTGCTTTTCCCTAGCCATATGCAGGGCTCAGTTTTTAGCCTTTGTTCCAACTGTTATGTGCTGCCAGAAAAGGCCATCTTAGTACAAAACCCACTGATGTAAATGAAGATTTTTTTTCCATTGCTTTCAGTACATGGTGGATCCAGTCCTAGACGGATAACTAAAGTTATCTCAACAGCATAAAGTCAGTTCAGCCAGCTCTATACACCCCTTCTCACTCCTTCTCCTCTCCTCCCCACCTTTTGTTGCATGGCTCACACTTTCACCTGAAGCTGAGTGGCTGAGTGCCAACTAGTCTAACAAGAATTGAGTGAGAAATTTGTCTTTAATGTGATTTCTCCATCCCTTCTATATCCTGTGCTTGAGGCTGTTAACTCTAGATTGTTGCGGATGGCCCCAGTCAAAATTGGATAAGTTGCAAAAACTTTATAGTTGCCAAGTATGGTCTAAGCTTTTACAGTTTTCAGTTGAAGCTCCTTCACTAGAATGGAACTGCTCAATGATTTTGGGTAGGGCTTTACTACCCCTGCCTTTTACTCTTTGTCAGTACTGTTGTTGTCACTCGGGTCCTCTGCTCTCTGTCCCCCACCGTTCCCCCAGACCTGTGAGGCTGTTGGTGCAGCCATTTGCAACCGTTGCCCTGCATTGGACCCCATTTTGTGCAAGTGTCATGGTGTGCTCAAGCAACACCTGGGAGATGGGGGAAAGGAAGGGTGGAACAGCTGTAGTTCAAAATGCCATCTGCAGCAGCAGCAGTGCTTCATCTTCTGCCTTCCTGCTGCTGCACCTGGATGGGCTGGTGCCCAGCTTGGCATCTGCACTGCACTTCACATCTAACACTGGTATAATGATACACTCGTAAATGATGTCACGATGTAAATGTACTTTTCATTGCATGATGGTGCACTAAAACTGGGGGGAAAAGCTTTGAAAATGAATTTGGAACTTAATAGACTGAAGTAGGCACAGTGGCTGAGATGCATGTCCTGTGCTTTGACATTAGGGGGCAGGACACCACTAGGTATGCCAGGCGCGGGGTTCAGCATTTCACTGCAAGCTAGGAAAATCGAGTGTTCATTTTAAAGGCTTCCAGATTTTTCCGAGGTATTTTGATAGTAAGATAACATTTAAGCACAGCTTTTTAGTCTCACTTAAATGAATTACTGGTGTGAGCACTGATTAAGGGGTACCTGGGCACCTGGAAATGAGCTTTTTATTGCTTTCTCACTGGATCTTAATCACAGGGACGCAAAATGTATGTTTATCAAGCCCCAGAATCCATGTGCTGTATCTCTGTACGTTTCTGATCTGAGCACAGAAACGCTCTCCCTTGTTTACTCCAGGTAAAATATTCTTCTGCCCTTTCTTTCGAGCAGGGGTCTGTGCAGTCGTTCACACCATCTCCAGTGGAGTATCATTCCTCGGGGCTCATATCCAACTCCCCAGTGCTGTCGGGGAGTTACAGCAGCGGCATCTCTTCGCTGAGCCGATGTAGCACATCAGAGACATCAGGCTTTGAAAGCCAAGGCAGCGAACCAGCAGTGACTGTCTCAAGCTACAGCGTCCCTGAAGAGCCTGTGAGAAAAGAAAGTAAAACCCCGCCACCTTACAGCGTGTATGAGCGGACTCTGAAGCGCCCTGTTCCTCTACCTCACAGCCTCTCCATTCCACCCGCCACAGACCCCCCGGCACTGCCACCCAAGCCGCAGCTGGTCCGGACAAACAACCTGGAAAACAGCAGCAGGAGGACTGAGCAGGTTCCCCGGCCCAGGCCTCTGCCCCGAAAAGTCTCTCAGCTATGAGAAGCCACTTTTGTATTTACTTGCAACCAACCCTTTCCCATTTAAGAAATAATATTTTTTAAAGATGGTAAAATGCATTTAGTTAGGCACTTTAATATTTCGCCCACCTTTTGTTTGAGTAATTTTGAAATGCTTATTAATATTGTGTTGCACATTTGAAATGAAATTACTAATTTAGGTTGCCAGCTATTATAAGAAGCATGAAGGAGAGGATTTTTTTCTTTTTTAATTTGGTGGTGAATACTGATAAGTGCTTTTATTTGTACTTTATTTTTATTTAAAGAATTAAATCTAAAACTCTACAACTCTCATCTGAGTTAGCCAAATGCTTCTTACAAAATGCAGAATATACTGACTGAACCTATACTACTAGAGATAAATGCACACTTTCTAACAAAGTAGTCTGTAGATTAGGATGTTTCTGCAAGTAGACTGAAAGTTGTTTCTCTTACCCAATGAACAGGTTGGTCATTTCAAATGTCTATAGAAATATGGAGATATAATGCAAGTTATACTGCAGAGAACTGTTGTAAGAATGCGGTTTGGAATTTCTGAAACACGCACTTGGCTTATGTTCTTTTTAAGATGGAAAAATACCTGCATTTCATTCAGTGTACAGCACCATTCTGGTGAATCCTAATGAGGTTTGGTGCCATTAGTGTATTATTGTACCTGACGTATCCTTTTCTTTTTGAGGTGCAATTTACTTTTATTCTTCCAGTTAACGTTTTGATGTTGTTTTGTTTTGTTTTTTTTTTAAACTAGCAGTTTGCTAGTGGAGGCTCTCTGCTTTTTTTTGAAAGTTCACCCTAAAATGCAGTCTGTGTATGGAACAGGTACAAATGAATTGTTCATTTAACTTGCATACAAGAATCATTACTGACTAGTAACAAAGCAATACTTTAAGCAAACAGATTTTCAGAAATAGAAATATTGATCAATAAATTTCAAAAGCTAATTGCAAAAGTCATTAATAATTCTGTAAAAGCCTAGGAAGGATTCTGAACAGCTCTTTGGATGTGTGTGTATGGATGGAGCCAGGGTTTGGATTTACTTTTTAGCTTGAGTTCATCACCATCTTTATTGTAGGAGAATGGTGTTTGGCCTTAGGTTGTATTTTAGCGACTGGCTTCTGAAGAGCTCTGGAAAGTTAATGCCAAGCCGTAGGAATGTGGAAGGGAAAAAAAAAAAAAAGCATCTTCTGTATGTATTTTTTGTATCCTCTTTCTTTACTGACTGTTTAAATGTGCTTGGGATCAGATGTGTGAACTGCATTTTAAATCATGCTGTTAAAACTATTCTCCCTCTTTTGTTGGGAAGCTCATGTTGATTTTAGCTGTGTTTGATTTGTTGATAGTTTAACTGGAAGAAAGTGACCACTTTTTATATTCTCTCAATTAAACCTTCAGCAGTTACAAGCTGCTGATGGTAGTTATAGAGGTTTTCTATAATAAATGTTCAAGTATTTTTGTACATAATTGGTAAATTTTAATAAGGAGTGTACCATTATGTGAAAAAGAAGCAAACAGTTGTGTATGCAGTAAGATTGTTATAATTATGCCAAATACTTTATGTATGGAAAAAGAATATTTGTAAATATGTGCTTTTAACAATAATTCTGCCATATTGACTTTACAATTTTGAATGTCAGAAAAAATTAATATATGTTAAAATATTTATGTTTTAGTGAAAGTATTCATAACTTGGAAAGGAACATACACATTTTAGCTTTGTATCTTTCTGATTTCAAAATCTGAAATTCTTTGAACTAGCTCTTGCTTTCTACTATAACATTTTTGTGTCTGTAACCACATCATAAAAGGTGTAGAAAGCTCTGTATTTATGCTGATGTAAAGAAGTAATGCCTGAGATTTAAATAAGGTGTCACAAGTAAGATAACAAAGCTGCTTTGATTTTTTTTTTTTTTCACCCATGTAGTTTAATAGGTTTTGTTGACTAGTGCTTGAGCACAGTATGAATCAGTGTTATTTGCTCCTGAAGCCATCTTCTTTTCTTTCAGGCAGTGAGCAGAGTTGATGACTTTATCATTTGCGTGCATTACTGAAGTCAGCTTTGCAGCAAAATGTTTCACAAAGTGAAAAAAATGGTTGCTGCATAATGTTAATATGGAATAAAAGGACTTGGTTAGTCTTTACAGGACAACTTGTTTTATACAGAATGAGAGATTACAATTCAGTTTGTCACAGAATTAAAGTTCTGACTCCTTGTCTTGCTAAATCCAGTTTTCTTTCTGTTAAAAATCTCCAGGTGGATCTAGTTTTCTCCCTGTTTGGATCCATAATTGCTTTGTGAGACAATGTGGGAAGTATTGACCTGCTCTTCTGAACAAGTGAAGAATGTAAAATTTATTAGGAGAGTTCACTGTAAATTAACCTGCATGAGCGCTCTGTTTTTATAACCATGACATCAGGAATACTCTGAATGGTAGCAGGTGGTGTAAAATTGACAGAGTACTCTAAAAACCAAGCTGACACATTTTCTGCTTAGCCAGTTTTGACAAATTGATTCTGTAGATCAGCTTTTCAACCTGATTACCTATAAAAAAATGTAGTATGAAATTTTGTTTTGTACGTTGCAGCACCCAGCGCTTGAAAACCTAAACACCTAATGTAAATAAAGTTCTTGTTTGAATTTTATGTATTATAAATGTAGTTTTATCACTTTCTGGATGACAGTGAGTAATTCAGAAGCTCGTATAGGAGGACCTATGAGAACAAATTGCTGTTACTACTCAATAGCTTGAATGTTAGGCAACATAGGCATATGTGAGTTGATCTTGTATTCAAATGCTGCATTGGAGATGGTGGTACCTCTGGGATGCCACAGAAGCAGCTACTAACTGGGCTGGCTGGCTCTGAAATGGTAGAATTTAGGCTAGTTCTCATGATGGGCTAATACCTTCGTTGTGTGAGTGAACTCAATTATTATGATGTCTCAAGTCAGATCATAGCTGAAAGCCTGTGTCCTGAAAGATGCACAGAGCTAAAGTTACCCCTTGCTAGTAAAGATTTTATGGCAGTGCATATGTAGCCCTGTCCACCTGGAACAGGGTGTAGCTGTACGTAAACCTTCCTTTCTGTATGAAAGCAAGACCTTTCCTTCCTGCCTAACCACTCTTGTTCACAGACTGTCCAACAGTGCCTGCAAAAAGCACAGTGACTGAGCAAAAAGATACCAGTTGGCAGGAGTCAATGCCTTGAGGTATAAATGGTGAAAACCATCTTGTTTTGAGTGCAGTCGTGGTCAGCGAGGCATGTGGCAGCATTGTATCAGTAACCCCAGCTGCTGACAGGCACAGCTCTTTGCTCCAGAGCTCTGCTAGTAGCTCAGTTTTCCTACAGCACCAATGATCCAGGTGGACCCTTGATAGCTGCTTGCTGGAGGGCAAAGCCCCATCTGCTGGGACAGTGTGAAAGAATAGTCAGCACCGGAGCCCGTGCAATTCTGACCATGAGTCAGATTCTGTAGGAGAAAGACCTTTCCGTATTAATTGAATTTGTCTTTATCTTTTCCTTGTCATTTTAATTCAGCTTTTGACATATATTTCATATAATAAACTAGGATGATTAGTTACTCTGGATAACATTAGCGAAAGCATCTTGTGATTAAATGTCTACAGTATGCGAGCCTCAGGAACATGAAAGGTTTGGAGCTGCATACCTCATGTGTGCAGTAAGCAGCAGGGTGGTGTGACTGACTCTTCCTGGGTGGTAAATTAAGGCTGCTGAAGAAAGAACAATAAATATATTTTTAAGATTGGATTGCTCAGTAAGGAACTCGGTGTGCTTGTAATGACAGGCTGATGGCTTTGCAGGCTTCAGTGGGGACAGAGCCTGTGACACGAGCCTCCCAGGCATGGCTGGGCAGGCATACCCAGGTCAGAACTTGTGTTAAGGATACAGTTCATGGCTCCTCTGTAATTGGTTCATGCTAGGTTTGTATTTATTTCAGGAAGACTGGTTTAGAAGAAGAGAAAAGAAAGAGAACAGTTAGGAGACAAAAGGGGGGGGGGGGATGCAAATAAAACTTGGGCAAAGCCCTTGATGGCTGGGTAATTAATCCAAGTGTGTTTTCATGTTTCACCTTTTCAGCCAGGAAAAATAGCAGTGGGAGAAATGAGATGTTAGCTAAAACTGAAGCATCAAATGTATTTCGTATGCTTTTGTAGAATTATTGTAGCTTAAATGCTGGTTGAGCTGAAGGGCAGCTGGAAGTCCTGATGAAATATGGGGGGGGAGTGGGGGGAAACGGGGTGTGGTATTATTTGGCAAAGGCTTTGGGGTGGGTTTTTTTTCCTCTTTTGCTGTGGCTTACAGAGGACAGGGAAGTCACTGCATGACTTGCAAGAGCAAGGACTTTCTAAATCACAAAGCCCTGAAAAATACTAAAATCTTTCCCTGGGTTTGCTAAACAATTCTTTCCTTACCCAGCGGTGCAGAATTCATGGACTATTTTCAATTAACATCTCAGTATTTTAGAAAGAAAATCCATGTAAAAATTTCATAGGAAATAGCTGCTCTGATAGCTTATAAGCTGCTGAGATTTCAGTTATGTATTTAAATGGTTTACATCATTGATTTACTATTGGTACCAGATCCACCAGCATATTTCAATTTGTTCCATTTCCTGAGAAATTATTTTGCAGAGGGATTTTCTGCATTACATTCTTGCTTATTTGTGACAGACTGCTATCGCTGCTGGTTTTCCTTGGCCTCACTGGATTCCCTTGAAGTGTTTCCTCTTGCTTTTCAAAAGAAAGGCCACCAGTGAAGAGCTGCTTCAACTTTTTCCAGGGGGAATATTTCAGAAGCGCAGCCCAAAAGGGATGCAGCACAGGCATGCATCCGCTCCCATGGGGAGGATCACAAGAGCTTTCAGAGCAAAAACTGTGGGGGAACTTTACCTGTGAAGCATCTCTAAGAGCCTGTGTTCACAGACATGTCGGTAGCTCCAGGACAGGGACTAAGCTAATTAAGCTGATTTACTAAAACCAGTAGGTGGCTGTAGGTAACGTCCTGCAGGGACTGAGTTTTGCTAAAGGTTGAAACTCAGTTCCAAAACACCCTGTAAATGGAAATCCTTTGCCTTGTTTCCTGACCTTTTAGCAGAAAAATAATGCCAGTAGATACACTGGGTGGGGGTTGAGGGTTGCTGAGCATGGGATAAGGGGAGACAAACTGCTCCAGTACGGGGAGCAAATAAATACTGAATCTACACTTGAAACCTTAGATGACTTCAGAGACCATTGCTCTGGATCTCCAGATAAGCTGCTATTCAAGGGATGTAACATGTGCAATGATTTGTGCTCGTACTCAGAATATGCTCTGATAGAGGGAAACCAAATAACTCTGAAGGCAGCTGCCTGCACGCCTTGAGCTGTGGTGCCAGTCTCGCTTTTGCCATCCACTCCAAGAGGTGGGTGTGCTGCAGGAATGCCGTCTGGAGCAGTGTGATGCGGCCTGAGCACTGTGCTGGTTTGGAGATGCTAACAGCCTCTGTGAACATGGTGCTGCAGTAAAGGCAAGGGTGTGATACAACACCCAGTAAAATTAATCCAAAGGTTCATATCAATATTGTTAGAAATTGGCATGTGCCCAAGAGGAGCTGGGTGGACAAAGCTGGTACCTAATGAATTCAGTCCCACCCGAAGAAAATAAAACAGCCTAACAGTGACCACAATAGGCTTTTACCATGAACAACACACATCAATAAACTCAGCTATTTTGTTTCAGGTGGTACATTGGACAGAGCAGCGTCACTGTGCTGCACCCTCCTCAGGCCATTAAGTGCAGCAGAGAAAGACTCTGCACACTGGACAGAAGCTTTCTATGTTATCAAGGAGAGTTTTCCTGCATCTGCAGTCCCCTCTCCAAGTTCTTTCTCAGAACTGAAGCACATCCTGTCAATACCCCTAAAGCTATAATTCAGTGGAGTTTTTATAGCTGTAAAACCTGAGGTGCATAACAATCAGCAAGCAGAATCAAAGGAAGTTGTAACCTGATTCTTCAAATTTCCAGGCAGGGTCTGTAGGGCAGCAAGCAGAAAAAGAGAGAAAATTGGTTTTCAGGTCATAAAGATCTATTTTGACTTCTGAAATATTTGCTACTTTTTGAGAAGTGCTGGATTTTTACCACATACTTTACTGGGCTTTTCCCCTCTGTGTGAGACAATGCTGTCTAGTGGTTTTCTCTGGTAGTTATGTAGGTTTCTATTACGTTGTACCTAGAGAAGATGTTTCTTGGTTTTGTTTTCCCCCAGTCCTGTGCAGAGACAGGGTAGAAAAGAAGAAAGAAGACAGAAAAAGTCAGTGCTATATAATCTCTTAGCTCAGAGGTGGTTATGTTCAGAGAAGTTCTCTAGCCTAGCCCTTGATCCCAAACCTTCAAAGAGTAAAGATCAGTTCTAAATTGTGTATTTA